GCCGACGACCAGTGCGCGTGGTCGGTGTCGACACCGTCAGGGGTACGCGTCCGTTGATACACCGGCGCTGGCTTGAGGCGCTTGTGCTCGAGCACGACGGCCCTTGCGCCGGCCGACCGTACTCGTCACCAGTGCTCGTGAGCGCAACGAGCAAGTCCACGAGCTCATCCATCGTCGCTGGGTCGTCGCGACGCAACGCAGAGTGCGCAAGGAGCACGACCGTGTGCTCAGGGCACGTGTGGCGGCAGAAGATGTCGATGGCAAGGCTGTTGGGCGCACTCATCTTGCGTTGCAGATGGGGAGATACCGCAAGTGCTCGCTCCACGTCACACCGTACTGCTTGGGCTTCCTCATGAGCTCCAGGAGCTGGTCGCTCAGCAGCTTCGTGTTGTACTGAAGCTGGACCTGGTCGACGAAAACATATTATTCATGGGCTTTATATTTCTTACCTTGCACCATTAATATACCTCTCGGATGCATAAATTATCCACTATGCAATTAGAGAGAGTCGACTGTAGTGTAATGATCACTTTTTGCCGGCAGCAATCTGATGGTGCCCTACAGCAATCAGCAAGCGAGCTGGCGACGCAGGGCTGGCGAGCAGCCGCCACGATGCGCGCGCCAACGGTGTCGCGGCGGAGGTGGTCGCCACGTGCGCGCCTGGTCAATGACGCCTCGCGGCGGCTTTTATGTTGTGGTCGAACCAGGCGGCCAAAACTCCAAACTTTTCAATCGATTGGGAAATCATACGGAGCCGATCAGTGCAAAAGCGACGGGCCAGTGCGCAAGCGAGATGGAGTCACCGCTGGACGCCCGCCCGACCAAGGCCTCGAGCACGGTGCGCAGTCCAGGCCAAGACATCGCCCACCTCATGGTTCTTGTGCCATAGAAGAAGAAGATCCTGCTTGTTACCGGCGCGCTCGTCATTGTCGCAGGCGCCGCCGCGGCCATCGCAGTTGTGACCACCTCGTCGAGCTCGTCGACCGTGTCGACGTCGCCGCAGGTGGCAACGACGGAACCGATTGCCGTGACGACGCCGACACCAGTCGCGACGCCAGCGCCGACAACGACGATTCCTGTCAAGGTCAAGACGCCACACCACATCAAGATGCCACCGGCGCCGCCGGCCTCGGACATTCCGACCAAGCCCACGTGTCCATCGAGTCGCAAGGCCGAGAAGGGCGACACGGTCTTCATGACGCTCGACGACGGGCCGTCGATCAAAGGCCGGAAGAACCTCCTCACAGCGCTCATGCAGATCAACCAAACGATTAGCTTTTTCGAGTCGTCCTACAACTTTTGCGGCGCCGAGACGTACTACGAGCAAGAATTGCACTGCCAGTCGCCGAGTCCGTACAGCGAAGTGACCGACCTCTTTGCCTATACCATCAAGGCTGGCCACTTTCTCGCTGCGCACTCCAACACGCACTACTATAGCAACTCGTCGCGGCTCTGCGAGTACGCCAACATGGCCAAGTTCACCAAGATCGACGCGCAGTACGAATCGTGCGGCAACACGCCAGTCGCCGACATGGTTCGCGGCGCACTGCGTATCCAGACGGCCCTCAACAACGAATCGCTCTGGGACAACGATGACGAGTTTGCCATGTACCAAAAGGCGATGGCCAATATTTGGACGTACGCGCGGCTGCCGTGCACGAGTGCATGGCGGCTCCCAGGATACCAAAAGATCACGCTGCTCGGGCCAAAGGACGGACTCCAGCCCGAGCTTGGCGCCCGCACCGAGGTGGCAGATGCCATGTTTCGAGGCTCGCTGCCGTGCCGGAACGAGACCTTCCAGAGCAAGCCGTGGAACACGATTGGGTGGGACGTCGAGGTGCGTCCGGACGGCGCCAACAACCTCCCGCCCAAGTGCAACATTTTTCGCATCATCGAACAAGGCTTTGGTGGCGGCCACGACCCGCAGCGTCGGCAAGAGGTCGTTGTGCTTGGCCACGACTACCACTACGACACGCCTGAGAAGGCCAAGCTCTTCCGTGACGTTCTCGTCGAGCTCAAGCTCCAGGGGTATGCGCTCGACACGATCGACCACCTCAAGACACACTAACAAATTACACATTTACAGAGTCATGGGCTATACTCTTGTACACTACGAAAACCAGGAATGAGGCGAGTGCTTACCATGGGTCTGTCAGTTTTGAGCTCGCTGCAACGCATTGTAGGTAACGCATCGACAGACAATATGTGCACCAAGGTGGGTTGAGGTGCAGAAGAGCGCCCCAAGCGGAGCCTCTCACCTGTCCACTGGCTTCCGCGCTCCAAACTTCCGCGCTCCAAACTTTCAGTCAGTGAGTCACGCCACATGAACGGGGCGTGATTTGCCTGAGCAGCGGCCAAAGGGTCGTCGAGTGGCATACCTTTGAGCACGTAGTACTAGCAGAGCAAAGTGGAGAGAACCTTCCTTTGCAACCACCAAGTATTTTCCTTCTTATAGTGATCACGAGCTGTGATCAGTGCGGCTCTACGATATAGCACCGCATCTGATACTACCCAGGCTGGTACACCTCCGACCTGCGCAAACCGATCAGCTCTGACGCTGCTATACGCACGCCATGGCGTTGCGCACGGGTTCAATTGAATGATCATACTATCTGCGTCGTTTGCAAACTGCTGGGTGGCGTCTCTCGTGGGGCTGTCGGGATGTATTAGCTGCGCGTCATTGACGATTCTAAAACCCGGTTCCCTTCACCCATATCTTTCGCCCCTCGGACAGAGCCTCGCAGAGGTTTCTACGCTCCACCTCGCTCGCGCCATCGAGCGCTGACCCTTGTCGCACCGGCGCGCTTCCAAGATTTGCACTGGTCGTGCTGGTCGTGTGGCAAAGTGCAATCTCATTACGCGCCTGTGACACATCCAGCAGTTGGCCAATCACAGTGCCCTTTCGTCAACGCCAGCAAGATCAACGGTCACTTGACCGACCAAGCAGCCTATACATATATCGTTCAGGCACGTACGCTGTGGCTTGCCAAGCGCGTCGCACGACCGAGCATGAGATAGCCAAGTCTATGGCTCTGGGGACATAGATCCTCTGCCGCAGCTCTGCGCGTGAGCTTGTTGGCTTCTCGGGAGGGTGCTGCATATTCACTCGAATATTTGGGCGTATCCGGTCGCGTGACACAGCACAACAGGACCTTCCGGCGCTCGAGCAACACCTGCTCGGTCGATGCCATTTCCCAACTAGCTCTCGCCTCTCGAGACGAGACCAGTATTCCCGCTCTGTACTAGCATGCCGCCCGTTGAGACACCGCCGGCCATCATGGAGTCGCCCGTCGACCGCCAAGTCCAAGGAGGCAAGGTACAAGGCCTCATGACGCCAAACCATCCGATCTCATGCTGGCTCCGTACTAATAGCGCAAAAAGCTCTTCCTGGGTGTCGGCGCGCTCGTCATCGTCGCCGCGGCCGCGACAGCCATTGCCGTTGCGACGACCGCCAAGTCCAGCACGGCCTCGAATGGCAACAGCGACAACACAGTCGTGACGCCGCAGCCGCCGTCGATCGCGATTCCGGTCCCCAGCGCGACCGGCGCGCCTGCGTCCGTCCTCAAGGTCAAGACGCCGCACAACATCAAGATGCCGCCCGTGCCGCCGGCCACGGACATTCCGACCAAGCCCACGTGTCCATCGAGTCGCAAGGCCGAGAAGGGCGACACGGTCTTCATGACGCTCGACGACGGGCCGTCGATCAAGGGCCGGAAGAACCTCCTCACGGCGCTCGCGCAAATCAACCAAACGATCAGCTTTTTCGAGTCGTCGTACAACTTTTGCGGCCCCGAGACGTTTTACGAGCAAGAATTGCGCTGCGAATCGCCGAGTCCGTACAGCGAAGTGACCGACCTCTTTGCCTATACCATCAAGGCCGGCCACTTTCTTGCTGCGCACTCCAACACGCACTACTACAACAACCAGTCGGCCTTGTGCGAGTACGCCAACATGGCCAAGTTCACCAAGATCGACGCGCAGTACGAATCGTGCGGCAACACGCCGGTCGCCGACATGGTTCGCGGCGCACTGCGAATCCAGACGGCCCTCAACAACGAGTCGCTCTGGGACAACGAGAAGGAGTTTGGCATGTACCAAAAGGCGATGGCCAATATTTGGACTTACGCGCGGCTGCCGTGCACGAGTGCGTGGCGGCTCCCGGGCTACCAAAAAACGACACTCCTCGGTCACAAGGACGCGATGCAGCCCGAGGCCGGCGCCCGCAATGATGTGGCCGACGCCATGTTCAAGGGCTCGCTGCCGTGCCGGAACGAGACGTTCCAGAGCCAGCCGTGGTATTCAATTGGGTGGGACGTCGAGTGGCGCTGGGAGTCGCTCACCGATATGCAAGCGGCGAAATGCGCCATGTTCAAGACGATTGAAGGCAACTTTGCGTGGGGCGGCCGCGACGCGCAGCGCAAGCAAGAGGTCGTTGTACTCGGCCACGACTACCATTATGACACGCCTGCCAAGGCCAAGATGTACCGGGACCTCCTCGTCGAGCTCAAGCTCCATGGGTATGCGCTCGACACCGTCGACCACTTGAAGATCTACACCTAACCCCATCGCACGCATCTACACGCCTTTTGCTATCGTCTTCATATTGCAACCGACATTGACAGTCGTGTGTGAGGGTTACGAAAGTACAAAGGTAGGCTTCGCGCCAGCCTACAGTATGTTGAACGCGCTGATAACCAGCCACTCGAAGGACGTTGGGATGAGCAGCGACAACCTCCGTGGTTGCACTCGACGAGGACGAGACAGAGAACGATGCAGTGCGTATTGCCTGTCGACGAGGAGAGTGCAGTGGCAATATTGCCGCGCAGAGAACCGACCACAGCTGGAGCAACGAGAAGGACATCCACCCGAACGAGCCTATTCGGCATTGAAGTTGGCATCGCTGCGATCATGATATACTTTTCTCGGCTCCTGTGCATCCAGTCGTACCCGCAGTTATGGGAAAGCGACATTGTCATCCGGTCGCATATTGCGACGCGCGACTACAATTTGTACGCTTCATGACGATAGCGCCACCCAGTGCGCAAGCCGCGAGGGCTGTACTTCCTTTTCCCGCGTCTTCTGGGTGCTGAATAGACGTGACTTGTTACCAAGAGATGGACTTCGTCGGAGCTACATGTAGTATGGCTGGTTGGCTCGAAAACCGACCGCGATGTCCTTCGCAGACACTGCAACGGACTGCATGACGCAAGTCGAAGAAATTGCTTGTAGTCGATCCGATGTTTTAGTTGGTAGAACGAACTCAACTTCTACTAGTTGGCTTGGCCCATGACAAGGGAGCTCTTACCGACCGGTAGCCCAAGACGCCAAGACGAGAATGAACTTGAGCAACCAACTCCTCGCAGAATCGGCCATACTAGATACCGTCTGCACAAACTCCTCGCATCCGACCAAGTTGCGTGTTTTTCGACCTTTGCCATTCGACCTTCGACCTTCGAACTTCGACATTCAACTTCGACGTTGCTGGATTTGCGGCGTGAGATGGACGACATCTCATCACCCGGCGGCGGGTCGCCCGAGGGCAGCAGCACTGCACCGAGAAAAGGCCGCCCGCTGCGGTCACTATGGAGCGTCTTCACCAACAAGGCCAACGCGCACATCATCGCGGAAGGTCCGCGGGCGCCATGCAAACATTGCAACAGCGTCGTGATGCACCACAACAAAACGGCGTGCGTCGAGCGCCACCTGCGCAAGTGCCGCACCGTTCGTGAGCCTCATGGCCTCGCTGCCCGAAGCACAGCGCCCAGAGTGGTACGTGCGTCCGCCCAAGAAGGCGCCGTCTGAAGCGGGCAATGACGGCAAGGCCGCGCGGGAGCGCCGCATCCTCGCACCCGAGATCGTGTCGCTGAACGTTGGCGGCACGCTATTTCAAACGACGAAAGACACGTTGTTGCAACATGAGCACTCGCTCTTCCACCTCATGCTGGCCACGCCGCCAAGCCACAACCACGGTACACACTGGACGTTGGATCATCCTGCTCACGCGATCGACGATTAGACACGTACTTTATCGATGTGAACCCAAAGGCGTTCGAAGCTGTGCTGGACTACCTCCGGTATGACGAGCTCTGTCTCGACGATATGACAACGTGGGAGCGCAAGAAGGTGCTCAAGACATTTGCCTACCTCAAGCTGCCAGTGCCCAACGTCGGGTGGGACCCATCGACCGGCGTTATCTCGACGCGCAATGGCTTCTCGCCGGGCGGCACCATGTAATACTATCTACGTGTTTTATTCGTTTCCGTCTTGCTGCCTCCAACGAGTCGCATGGTGGCACGACATGGATAGAGGCATGGAATTAGGTCAAGTAGAGGAAGAGCACCGACGCACACATAAACGCGGTCACACCGACGACTTTGTGCGCGTGCTCGGCGGCCATGAAGAGCTGTCTCTGCAGCACCTCGGTCGCTCCTGCGATCTCTTCTTGAACCTCGTCGTCGAGCTTGGGCAGTGACTAGACGCTCTATCCATTGACATCAAGAAGATCCAAGTGCAATATCGCGGCATACGTGGCAGCACGAGCCGTTGAGATTCGATGCTCGCGAGATAAGCAGCCGACCAACGCCTCTACGCACGGCCGTCACGTTGGCTTCGAGTACCGGCGACGCGGACGCAAGTCCTGCGGCCGCAAGCAGGCAGAGGCCGGCCGCGATCCGACGTCGCATCAACGCCCCGGGCTGTCGAAGGCCAAAGATAGATTGCCGCACCTCGATGCTGATTGGCTCGCTCCTCGCAAGCAGGCTTATCTAATGATTTGAACATATAAAGCGCTCGGTTGATGCCAGATGGCGGCCACCACCTCATCCAGCTCTGTCCAGCTCATCCCGTGCAGTATCTCGCCGTACATGCCGGTACTATTATGAGACGATTGTGGCTTGCTCGTGCTTCGGTGCTGCGATGTGGGCTAGCGCAACTGCATGTCGGTAGCAAGCGGCAGTGATATGGCCCAGATATGGCCGGCAAGCTTCTGGCACCTCGCCCAAGGACACCACGTGTGCTGGTCTGTGAAGTCCAAGTAACCGCTATACTAGTATACAACGTGTATGTATCACTTGATATGAGCCGCAACGGACGGGAACAATCGAATCTGGGAGCAAATAAGATTGCAGCCGAAACCATATAACGGCTCGGTTTCGCGGTCTTGGATTTCTTACGCTCCATACAAGTACACCAGCGTGTAGGTGTCACACGAGCGTCTACTGTTAACACTACTATAATATAGTAGTTCTTACCTTGACAGTAGGGAGTTGGGTCGGCGGGAGTGGCACCGCTCGAGTTCTTTGTCGCCCGACGAGGTTGTCGAGTACCGACAGGCGGTCAAAAATATTAAAAATAATAATAATTTTAATATTCAAATTGGCGGCTTCTAAAATCTCCCTGCAGAAAAACGATCTGCCCGTTTCCTCTTGATTCAATTGTATTTTTATCTCGAGCCATCCTGTAGACTCGGTGTTTGTAGCGACTGTGCGTCGGGAGCGAATATTAATAATCGACCCCACCAAATGCTCATCCCCGTGCATTCCGTAAATAAAGCCATCACGAAGATGAGGCCGATGGCGTCGGAAGCATGCGGCTGGAGCATGGGCTGGCTGTACATGCTTGGACTGCTCTCGCTCTGTGTACATGTGGCCACGGCGGCGTCGCCCATGGCCACGACCATCGAGTACAGCTTTGACAAGGTCCGCGCCGGCGGCGTCCTCGGCTCGATCCACGTCGTGTACCCGACGCCGTCCTCGACCTTGGTCACGATCCTCGCCGACATTGACATGCGCGCGCTCAATATGACACAAGTCCACGCCTTGCACCCGAGCTGCGGCCACCACATCAAAGAGTACAAGTGGTATCTCGTCGTGAACGAAATGGGCATGGTGCCCATCGTCGGCTTCCTCGACAAGTGCGACCACTTGGACTTCACGCGCGTCGTCACGCCGCCGACGGTACCTTCGCCATGGCCTCTCGAAGTGTGACGCTCATGTGCACGGCCTGTAGATTGAGGCGCTCTCGGCCCTCTTTGTGGACGATGCGACGTGCTCCAAGCCGACAAGCGTCGCAAAAGACCGCCTTCTGGCCGCCCACGATAGTCGCCACAACGTGAATTTGTCCCACCAGCTCGGCCGACTCGTTGTCGAGGACGGACGCATCTCCCAAGCATGGCACAATGTCTCGTTTCCGGCGTACGGCCACGTGACGCCGCGCTGGAGCATCGTGCTGCACGCAGTTTGCGGCGACTCGAGCCCGCCCGTGGTCTGCGCGCAGGTGGACTTTGAGCTCAAGGTGACGAACCGCGTCCAGGAAGCCCACGCGCTCTTGGGCATTGCGAGCTTTGTCGTCGCGTCGAGTCTCCTCCTCTTTTTAACTTAACTCCTCCGCCCTCGCAATCCTCTTCCACATGGCTCCTGGCATGACGATTGAGGAGTACCATACGTACGTTATGAGCTAATACTCCTCGAGCAAGAAGCAGAAGTGCCGCCGCTATACCGCGCACACAGTAGGTGGGATGACACGCGATCGGCCGTCACGCAAGCACTGACGACGCGCCACGCACATGTCGCATCGAGCGCAACACCAACGAGTTGTGCGTCGGCTGGTGTCTGCAGGGCGCGCGACAGCAAGTGCCCCGAGTCGACGTCCCAGAGACCGACTTCGTGCGCGCTGGCGTGGCCGCACAGCACCGTCTCATTCGCGTCCTAATCCGCAGACCCATATATCACTCCACACGACCACCCTGTCAAGGACGCACCACTGCGAGCCGCGTGGCATGTGCCTGCGCTGGTGCCGGCAATGCGTACGTCAGCACTGGTGCGCGCAGAGCGCGGAGGTCGTAGCGCTCGATGCCGCCGTCGCGCGCCCCGAGGATGCACGAGACGTCGTTGCGGAGGATCGCCACGTCGCTGATGGACGCGGCGCGGGGCAGGTTCAGTTGCAAGCACGCTGTGTGCGCCCGGAGGTCCCTGCATGTTTGCTCGTCTATCAAGGCAACACGATCGTTCAACGTACCAGAGCCAGGCGACACCGCTGCGCGTGCCGTTCAGAAGCACTTGGCCCTACGCGACGACCGAGGTTCATGACGTGGCAGCGACAGGTGACGACGTACGCAGCTCAGAAAGGCTTGTGCAAAAACATCGGAGTTTGCGCTCGACGACGGCCCTCGAACGCGCTGGTTGTGCTCGATATCTACGACCATGGCCCGCGCCTTCCTACACCGCGTACGGTGAGCGTAGCGACAGCAGGCGGCGCACTCTACTTGTGGGTCGCTCCGACGGCGACGTGCGTCGACTTGTGGGGATGCCTACGGCGCGCGGTATGCAAGGCAACATGGCGAGCGACAGGACTCACCACGCAAGACACCACGCGTCCTGAAGAGCTTGGTTCTACCGACCATCATGAGCATGCTACGACGGGTTGTCGTCGTACGTAAAGCAGCGTATTCTCGCGATGCACACGAAGAAACCCTGGACGATTGGCACCACCGAGCGCCGTGTAGCCAAGCGCTGGCGTACTACTTTGGTAGGCTCGCTGCCACTGTACGCGCGTCATCTAATCCGAGCACGTTGACGTCTTCAGCAGTCGTTGCAAAGGCGTCGTACTTGCAGCGCAGCGTCCGCTGCAATCTCGACGCTGCTTTGGACACCTGCCTCTGTCAATTCGCACACGGCAATACTGCCGGTGGCATCTAGAGCACACGTGTGACATTGTGTAATGGGAAAAGGGCGAGCATTAGTACCTGCGACGGCGAGCCGGCCATGGGCCAATGCCATGTCGACCGGTCGGTACACGGGCGACAGAAGCGACGTGATGCAAGGGGCCTGCGCGAGGCTTAGCGCATCGTACGCACAGCTTGTTCAATGAAGCGAATGTACTACCTTGCGCCACACAAGACGCGCGAGATCGTGGTCGTGACGACTTGTCCATTCAGCGCGCACTTGGCGCATCGAAAGGAACGTTGCGACGTTGGACCGACCGTCGAAGCGCCGCGCGGAGCTCGCTGTAGGTGTCGACACAACGAGCTTGTGCAGGCTTAGATGCGTCTTCGCGGGCGGCTTGCCGCGAAAGTACTTTTTCTGCTCGGCGTCGTAGTAGAACCCTGGCATCGCGCGGGGCGTGGGCGCCGGTGTTGGCTCGGGCGCCGGTGTGGTGTGGCTCGCGCGCTGGGCCTCGAGAGCTGCTAGAAAGGCTGCGCTGGGCTCATTCGTTGCAGCTGCGCGCTTGGCGGGCTTGCGCTTCTTCGTGGGCCGGCCATAGTCCCGGCCCGCGTCTGTCTTCCTCGCCATGCCGATAGTCGGAATCGATTGGCTCGTTGGCTCTTTCGCACGCGCGTTTGATTGGTGGACACAAAATGATCGGTTCGTGGCTCGATCGGCTTTTTGCTGTCTAGAAAATGCAGACAAGACACCCAATATACCACCTCTACGGCAATCGCGTCCCAGTCACAGCCATGGAGGCTGCTGCTGCTAGATATTTATACCAGCACACATTATCGATGGACGAAGACGGGCCGCGATATCTCGTCCTGAATCCATGAATCCAGCAAACAACTGATCTTTTCTATTGGCCACGTTTGATTGGCTGGTTGGAATCCAGACACTTTGATTGGCCAAAAGAAGTTTCAAACTTCATCATGCTTCGACGCAGCTTGGCGCGCCTCCCGCTCCGGCGGCTTCTCCATCATGCAAGCACGACGCCCAAGAAGACAGTCGTCGTGGGCATGTCGGGTGGCGTCGACTCGTCTGTGACTGCGTACCTCCTGCACCAAGACAAGTCGCTGCATGTGGTCGGCCTGTACATGAACAACTGGGACAGCTCGGACGAGGAAGGCAAGGCGACGTGCCCCGCCGATATGGACTACGAGCTCGTGCGCCAAGTGTGCGAAGAGATTGGGATCGAGTGCACACGCGTCGACTTTGTCCAAGAGTACTGGAACAACGTGTTTGAGCCGTGCCTGGACCAGTTTGCCAAGGTAGAGAGAGGCCCGCGATAGCTCTGCTGCATCTTCGTAGGGCTTGACGCCCAACCCCGATGTCCTCTGCAACAAAGAAATCAAGTTCGACGTCTTCGCCAAGCATGCCATGGCCCTCGGCCCTCGGCGCCGACTACATTGCGACGGGGCACTACGCGCAGCTCAAGCGATTGCCCAATGGCACCAATGCGCTCTACGCCGCAACAAGGACCAGAGCTACTTTCTCTCGCACGTCACGGGCGCCCAGTTCCAGCGCGTACCTCTACAACCCATGGTCCAATCGTCCGATACTTCAAGTAGGTCATCTTCCCGCTCGGTGGTCTCTGCAAGCCGCGCGTCCGAGAGATCGCCGCCGAAGCGAACCTCTGTACCGCTGCCAAGAAGGACAGCGTGGGCATTTGTTTTATCGGGAAACGCTCCTTCGGCTCGTTCCTCTCGCAATATGTGCCGCCCCGCCCGGGCTCGTTCGTCTCGGTATCTTGCACGTGTTCCATGATGGCTCATAACGACGACGCACAGGTTGTCGACGAGCAGATCATGCACGCCCATGACGGCTACAGTGCATACACAATTGGACAAGGAGCTAAAGTCTCGGGTTTACCCACGAAATGGTCCGGTCTCCATAGACATTGTATCAAGATATCAATCAGGTTCCCATCTCCGGATAGGTTTGTCGTCGGCAAGCGTGACGAAGACGCCGCCGTCTTTATCGCCCCCGGGACGCACCACCCGGCGCTCTTCTCGGACGAAGTGTTTGTCCGCGCGTCGGCCTTCAACTGGATCCAAGGCCACATGCCGGTATACGGTCCCGTGCACGAGTATCCTCTTGAGCTGGAAGCGTCGTAGGTGGCGTTGGCCGAGAATGGCCGTCTGCGTTGCCAGTACCGGGCTCGCTACCGCCAGCCATTGGCGTACTGCACGATTTCGATGGCCTCGGTGGACGATGTCACGTCTGGCCTGAGCGTCTACCAACCGATGGCCGCGGCGCCAACCGACGAGCCATATTTGCGCGTGCAGTTTGACGTGCCGCAGCGGGGGGTGTCGCCCGCGCAGTCGCTCGTCTTGTACGAGGACGACGGTCTTTGCTATGGCGGCGGCCCGATCCTCGGCGCAGGCCCTTCGTACTGGGAGCAGCAAAAGCCGTTGCCGTCACCCCTCTTTGACTGGAGCATGTAAGGGCAAATGCATTGAAACACGTCATGTTGGATGCAGACGCCTTCCACGCCATCATTAGGTCAAGTAGGAGTGAACAATGAGGGCGAGGGCGTTCGGGCGATTGACGGCGCTTGGCGCCAAACACTGGCGAATAAAGTCCTAGAAACGTTACGTCAGCATCCAATAAATGACAAGTTGTCCACCTTGGCATCGTCGTGGATGTTGTCGGGGCGGGCCGGAAACGAAAGCGACGGTCCGGTCTTGAGGCCGTAGGACGAGAGAAGCACGCCATATGCAACCTTGTCGGCCGGGCAGAGGTCCAAGACTCCGTCGCAGAACGGGTGCTGGCCGTAGAGCATTTCGTAGAGCAGAATGCCGATCGCCCAAATATCGGCGCACGCGTTGGTCGTTGTCTCGACGTTCGTATCGCGCGAGGGAGTCCAGTGCCGAAAGCTCTCGGGCGAGAGGTACATGACGCGGCGACTCGGCATCGCGAGAATGTCACGGGGCGTCACGTGGTAGATCGTGTCGCGGCGGTTCTGGATCGACTTGACGCTCGTGAGACGCACGTCGAGATTGGGCGGCGACGCGACGAGCACGTGGCTCGGCCGAAGATCGCAATGGGCCACTTTTTCCTAGTTCCATTTTTTCCATTTGCTGCTACGACAGAGGTGGAATTGTACTTCGTCGTGGAGGAATTGAATGGCTTGGCAGAGGCGAAAAATGATCTCGCGCGCCTCAAAGGGCGCGAGCCGCCCGCCCGGTGTGTTCTAGAACACCGACATGCCATCGATGCCAAGGGATGTTGACGTACGTAGAGAACGCTCTGAAGGTCATGGTGCATGTGCTCGAGCGGAAAGAGGTGCACGGATTGGCCGTCGTGTACGGGCACTGATACGATGCCATCGCCCGGAAGCGTGGCCACGATGCTTGCAAAGCGCAGCGACTAGGGGCCAGATGCGATGCTTGATTGCCCCTTTACACGACGTACCTTGAAGGCAGCATACTCGAGCCGCAAGAGGTCCAGGTTCGCAGAAACTTTGAGTGTCACGAGCGACTTAGTCGACCTGTCGACGGCTTTCCAGAGCTCCACGTCGCTCGTGGTCGCAGACGACGTGCTTAGCAACTCCATGAGCTCGTACCGGTCGAGCACAAACGGCGTGTTTCGGAGCGGTGAACCTATCCGTGCTCTTATCCAGTGCAACCGAGAGCGCTCAGCATGATACATAGCTCGGCCTGGAACTGCTTGTTGCGGTGGTTGTGAAGAAGCGTTCGACGAACATGGTTCTGCGTCGGATGAGCCAAGAAAAAGGTAGAGCACAACGTACGTCGTAGGCGAAGCACGCCGTTTCGTACGACTCCATCGTCGTCTTGTCGTACGTGCGCGTCGGCTACGAGCCAAGAAGGCGTCAATAGAGGTGCGAGCAAGCGTGCGAGTACCTGGGCGAACTTCTGCATGTAGCTTTTGAGCGTCTCGATGCGGCTGAGGTTGATGAGCGGGTTGCTGTCGGCATGCATCGTGAGCGCCTGATATAGAACTATGCAAGGCCTACGCGCTCTCGCGGCGAAGCTCATCGCGCATGCGCTGGAGCATCTCTTGGCGAGCGCGCTGGTCGTCGGTGAGCGGCCCTTGCATAACCTCTTCTTTGTTTTCTTGGTCGAAAGATTTGCCTCCGGCTCGCAACGCATCTGGATTGGTTGAAAAGATCTTCGGTGCATGCGGATTGGCCAAAATCTATCGGGCATGAGACTAGAAACACCTACCTTTGCGCATCATCTCAGTGCCACGAGCCGTCCCATCCATATACAACCGCCCTAAAGATTGCCCTATTATGATCACCGACGAATTGGATAGCCCATTGCGACAACGCGTGAAAATGCTTCTTGCGTTGTATATTGCATGGACCGGGATCCGAGAAAAGTGGGTGTTTTCAGCCATGACGGCAAGCGCAAAAAGAGGTCCATTCAGCCATCTCATTGGCCGAAAACATAATATGGATTTATTGTGGCCGTTGATTGGACAAAAGATGTCCAGGACGATGCCATTGGCTGAAATCCACCATTTGGACGAAGCAAGCCGAAGCAACAACATGGGCCAAGGTGCGTCGCTCGTCAAGACAATCATCGCCGACTCGCGCGAGCTCGTGCGCATGACCAACAAGGACGCGTACATGGCGCAGTACAAGGCCTACGCGGAGGCGACGGCCAAGCTCGAGGCGGCCAAGAAGCAGAACGTGCTTCTGCAGGAGCAACTCGAACGGACAAAGTCGCATGCGTACGCACAGTCCGAAGCCTTCCAGAAGCAGAAGCTCGAGATGGACAAGCAAATCGACAAGTTTGTGAGTCTGCACTCGATCGGCCACGACGTGCGCGAGCGCCATGAGCAGATTCTGGACCAGATCAAGAAGACGCCGGGCACACCAAACACCTCCAAATAGACATCACCCGAGTACACTCGATGCAACCTTAGTCTCTGAGTGGCTTCTATCAGCATGTTGTGTCATGATATCTACTCTCCCAGCTACGACTACGGTGGTCCGCAATAGCGAACTATCCACGGGTGTTCAACCACCTTGTCGAGCGCTAGCCGGTCGCCGGGTTCCTTGCGAAGGATCTTGCGCACGAGGTCGCACGCCAGCGTCGACAAGTGCGCGGGGAAGCGCAAGTCGATGCTTAGAATGCGGTTGTACGTCTCGGTGTGTCCTTCGGCTTCGAATGGCGGTGTGCCCACGAGGAACTCGTACATGAGGATGCCCAAGGTCCAGACATCCACCTAGTATGCGAACCGTCAACCATCATCATCATCGTATGCAAAGGGCACAGACCATTTCGTTGTGTGGCTTGTGCTCGCACATCTCGGGCGCCAAGTAGTCGAGGGTACCGCACATTGTGTTGCGGCGTGATGTGGGCGCGTGGACGGACCAGCCAAAGTCTGCCAGCTTGAGCTCGCCCTGTTCAATTTCATAAGCCTCTTTCCGTTCATAGCAGTGCGTACGTTGTAGCCGATGAGGATGTTTTCAGGCTTGATGTCGCGATGAATCACATGCTTGCTGTGCATGAAAGCCAAGGTGAGCGCGATTTCCCGCACGTAGCGTGCAGCGACAGCCTCGGAGAACGTGCCACGCTCCGTGAGCTCCTTGTAGAGCTCGCCGCGTGCAGCATACTCGATGATCAAGTAGATGCGCTTCTCGTCGTGGAAGAAACCATACAGGCGCAAGATGTTCTTGTGGCGGAGGTGCGATTGGATCTCGATCTCTCGCCGCAGCTGGTGCTCGACGTTGTTCTTGACGAGCTGTGCTTTTTGCAGGACCTTGAGTGCCACGATGTGTTCCGACTTGCGCTCGCGAGCAAGGTACACGGTGCCAAACTTGCCTCGTCCGAGCGGCTTGCCAATGTCAAAGTCTGTGAGCTTCCAGCCTTGGTGCATGTTGTTGCCCGCTGACGCTGGCGCAGTGGTGAGCTTGTGCGTCTCTGAGATGCTCGAGAGCCCTGGCGGCGCACATGAGCTACTCGGTCGATGGTCGATCCTTGCAGCACGTACCTGGCTTGGCCGCTGGCTTGGCTGCGTTGGCCGCGTGCTGGCGGAAAAGGCTGGCGCTGAGCGAGTTGGACATGGCCGAGCTTCCGACTCCAGCGCGGTCGGTCTTCTTGCTGTTGTCCTTGTCCCAGCCGGCGCGCGGCCGCACGAGCTCGGCCGTCTTGCTGCTGGCCATCTCCGCCAAAATACAAATCTTGCGATTTGAATATTCAAAAGAGTACCAGCGTATACAAACGCCAAGTGCATCCTTCAAAACCTCTAACAATCTATACGCATTGAGTTCTATCCCGTGATTTTCGTCGCCGCAAGCAATCACATACAAAGAACAAATGCATATGGCGTCCAGTAATTCCAATTGAGTTTTAAGCCTCTAAAAATAAATATATCTCCGCCTTGGAGATTGCAATCTTTCGCCGACCACCATGCTTGCAGGGCCCGCGCAGGGCAGCCGCTGGCCGCCGCCGCCGATCCGCACCGCCGATGACCATACCAAAGAGAACGATGCATCCAACGCTAGCCTACAGCAATCGACCCACGGCATTAGCCCGGCCGTGAAGGCCCCGCTGCGGCCACCTGCCATGGCGCCGCTTTGCAGCAACGAGCCGTCGCGCCCACCGCTGCGTGCGCTCTCGGTCCCAGCGCAGTCGCCTCGTGACCACAGCGCCCATCCGGCAAATAGCCACGTGTGGAAGCTCGTGGACTTCGACATTGGGCGGCCACTGGGCAGCGGCAAGTTTGGTACCGTGTACCTCGCGAGGGAGAAGCAGTCCAAGTACGTTGTCGCGCTCAAGGTACTTCAGAAGAAGCAGCTCGTCAAGGCGCGCGTCGAGTACCAGCTGCGACGAGAGATCGAGATCCAATCGCACCTCCATCACAAGCACATTTTGCGGCTCTACGGCTACTTTTACGACGAGAAGCGCGTCTACTTGATCATCGAGTATGCCTCCGAGGGCGAGCTCTACAAGAAGCTCACGCACGAAGGCCGGTTCGACGAGCCGACAAGCGCCAAGTACATATACCAAGTCGCTCTTGCGCTGCAGATGATGCACCGCAAGCACATCATCCATCGCGACCTGAAACCGGAAAACATCCTCGTCGACCACAACGTACACAGACGCTTCTACCGCCTTGCACTTTGAACGCCGTTTACATAGGGCGACCTCAAGCTCGCCGACTTTGGCTGGTCCGTCCACGCAGTCGCGTCACGACGCCGCACTCTCTGTGGCACCCTCGACTACCTCGCGCCCGAGATGGTCCAGCACCTCCCGCACGACGCCGCCGTGGACATTTGGACTCTGGGCGTCCTCATGTACGAGTGCCTCGTGGGTGAGCCACCGTTCGAAGCCGATGGGACCTCGGCGACGTACCAGCGCATCCTCCGCGTCGACCTGCACTTCCCCGACCACGTCTCTCGGGCGGCGCAAGATCTGCTGACCCAGATTCTCCAAAAGAACCCGGACCAGCGCCCGTCCCTCGAGACTATCTTGGCGCATCCGTGGATAGCGACCCGGCACGTGTAATCGTTTCCTTTGTACACTAGACAGTCTTTTACTTGCGACAATATATCAACTTGATACTTTGTAGTTCAAGTTGTGCCCACATGGGAGCTGGCGCGACCCTGGCCACCAGCGCTTCAAGACAGAGGAGCACGATAAGGCGCGTCCAGTGATCCAAGAGGCAAGTGCTCTCTACCGATGTGATATTATTCAAGTACTTTTTGGATATGACGCGATACACGTCCATTCCGAGGCCATCACTTTCACAGACAAGATTGACCACAGAGTATATGTCTACATATTGGACGACCCCTCGAGTTGCACGCGCGCCGTTGCTTGCATTTGCGCCACGAGCGCGTCAAAGGACGTCGCGGTCCAAGTGGCCACCTGCGACAGGAGCGGCACTGACGCCTCCTGCGCGTCCATGGTGGCGCGCCACGCTTGGATCCACTCGACAAGCCGCTGCAGCTGGGACGACGTGGACGCCGCCACCACTTCAAACTGCAGTTCGAGCGCTGGGCGCAAGTGCTCCGAGTAGAGCGCGGCGACCTTGCGCGCACTGTACGCCTCGATCGCACCCAAGAGCCCATAGACCTAGTTTCGTCCCGCAGCATGAATCTTCTTTGCCAAAGTCAACCGACAAACGTACGCAAAAGGCAAAGCTGAGCCACCAGATGAGCGTGAGCGCGACGTCGATGAGCAGCGGGCGTAGTGTCGGCGTCGCGGCAGTAGCTGCAATCGGCGCGGGCGATGGCGACCAGTTGTCGGCAGGTGGTGGCGCCACCGCCGTCGGTGGTACACGCCCGACGAGACGTCCATGCGGGACACGGTACGTCGTGGGTGTCTTTGGCTGTGACGCTCTTGTGTCGTGGCGGGGTTCGAAGACTGGACCAAGTGTTGCGCCAAGGGGACGACGCGTATTGGTCGTTGGTGGCGTCAACGGTTCTGGACGCTGCGATGGCTGGCTCGTCGTGGGCAATGGTACTTCACGCAGTGATGCGTCGCTGCTACGGGATGACGCGCCCGACCCCACACGATGCCGCTGTCGCAGCGGAATCTCGGTCGGCGACGCGCGGTTCTTAGTGACCACTGGCGTGACCACAGGCGTCGAGTTGTTGATTGTGCGAAGAGGCAGCGGCGCCATCGCCCACTCGGCTTCGTGATGCGCCGACAAGTCGATGGTCAACGCCGCGTCCGTGGCGAGTTGCAGTGGCTGCTCCAGTGGGCTCGGCCGTTGTGATGCTGGAACGGTGACACTGGGCACTGCTGGCTGAACCAATGGTGATTGGAGCTGTAGACCTGTTGAAGTCGGCGGGGACGAGGTCTCTGGCGTTGCAAGTGGCATCGGCGGTGGCGCAACTACCTTGTGGTGTGGTGCTTCCTCGGTCCTGCGCACTGGCGACACGAGGGACTGCGAGCCAACGAGCGATCGGGGCGAGGGCGGGCGGACCTCGTTGTCTGCCGGCTGGACCCATTCCGCGTGGAGCATGCGCAGCGCCTCCTCGTCGTCGTCGTCAAGGAGGTTGCTGCCGATGCTCTGGACGCTGCAGTCAAAGTCGTCTGCCCAGTTGGCCTCCTTGGGCGACAGCGTGCTCACGCTCCAGCTCGGGCCAAAGAGCTGCTCGCGGGCGTTTCCAGCGTGCAGAGATGAATCATCCAATGACGTGCTCAAGTCCGCGTCCGAGTCGAACGACGGTCGTCGCGGCGCCCAGAGCTCTTGCAGGAGAGCCGACGCAGGTTGTTCTTCGTGCAGTAGTACGTCGTCTGTCGGCGGATCCACTGGCGCCACATCTTCGACCACAGCGGCGGCAATCTCCTTGGGCTTGGCGACCGACGGAGGTGGCGAGAGCGTAAAGATGGTCGCTCGTTGGGGTCGAAGCGATGGCTTGCTCGTTGGGATGCGCGGGTCGCGAGTCGGCATCTCGGGTATCGGTGACGCCACCTGACCGTGTGCTCCAGAGGCCACAACCGCCGGCACCATCGACAGCGTCATCTGCCGCCGAGGTGTCGGAGCAGCAAGTGTCACCTCGCGCACTGCAAGTGGACGTGCAGTGGCAGGCGCAGTCTCTGTTGTCGGTGGCGGCGTGGATTTCACGGCGGTTGGCGTCGCGGATGGTGTCGGTGAGGATGCCGATGGTAGGCTGCGTCCCTTGAACTTGAGACGGGAGGGCGGGCGCGGGATGAGCGACGGCGATGGCGGCTTGATGTCGAGAACGCTGCGCGCAGGTAGCGGTGTGTTGACGGACAAATCGCTTGGTGGCGGCGATGCTTTGAGAGGAGTCGACGACGCGCTCGGTGGCTCGTCGCCCTCAGTGATCGCCGAGAGGTGGTCCGGAAGACTCGCAAACGAGAGCTCCAACTTCAGCTCGGTCGGCGTCGCAGCGTTGCGCAGCGTCACGAGCGACATGTCGCGCGGTGGCAGCACGGGTCGCGCTCGGAGATTACGCCGGCGCAAGACACTGTCGTCCGACTCGTGGTCTTCGTCGTCGAGCTCGAGGATCGGGGACAAAATGATATCGTCATCATCATCGTCGTCGTCGTCTTCGGACGGCGATTCGAGGCACGCTGGCGGCTGCGCCAGCATCGAGTCGGGAAACTCGTCAGCAATGCACGCAAGGACCTCGTGCGGGAGTTGCTCGAGGAGGAAGCGGATGTGTTCCTGCCTAGAACGCCGAGCATACTCTGTATTGGCAATGGGATGGAGCAGTACAAAAGAGAGCGCACCCGTATTCACAGAGGAGGCAGAGCGCGAGACGGGCTTGCGATTGCACGGCGGCGTCGTCGTCAAAGAGGCTTTGTAAAATCACACGCCGCATCGCCATGTAGTTGGCCCGTTCGAGGACTTCATACGGGGGCCAGAAGCGCAGGACGAGCACGATGAGCGAGACGCAAAGCATGCGCTTGTCGCCGTCTAGTCCGCCATGATGTACGATCGAGCGCAGGAAGGTCAATACCGTCTTTGGCCTGCTTGTACGCGCGCTCGAGCAGTGCCACGGGGTACCGCGTCGCCTTGGTGAGGCTGTGCAAGCACTGGCGCGCCGAGAGCGCGATGACTTGGGTCTGCTTCTTCTTTGTCGCGAGGTGAAACACAGATAGGAGGAGCGCCTCGGAGAGCGGCCGCAGTGGCGGGCCACACAGCCATGCGAGCGACGAGAGGAGACTGCACGCTTGCTTGGCCACGGCCGGTCGACAGTCAGCCAGCGTCTGCAGAAACCCATTCTAGGAGCGCAACGTAACGTGATGGAATCGGGAGACGGAGGCGCGTACGACAAGAACGAGCAGATGGCCCACGATCGGCGCCGCGTTAAAGTTGGCGCCGTCGCGATCACCGTCACTCGTGGCCATGCCCATGACGGCGGTCTCGAGCTGCTTCATGGCGGTGACACGGCTCACCCATGCTGCGTCGGGCTTGCTCAGGATCTCCTCGCAGAACTCGATCTACGCGCATGTGCATCGTCGGCGCCGGCCATCGCCTGATGCTGCATACCTTTTGCCGCAGCGACTCCATGCGCCTCTCGGCGTCGGCGGCCATACCGGTAAGATCTCTTCCCCTTTCGACTATCCCTCGAGTCGCCATGGTTTCGAAAGCCTCCGGATAATGGTAGCGATCCGGATGGGACATTGGGTACGTTTGTCCCAAACGATATTATTATCCGGCAAAGCAAGTACGAATTCCGGATATATTCGGTTTTTAAAAATCAAACCGCAACATGGCCTGCGCCAACCCAGCGAACGAGGCGCTTGCCGCAGCGCTCGAGAAGATTGTCGAGGCCGAGGCGATCAAGGCGGCCACGAGCACCCGCAACACGGGCAACCAGAACCACGTTGTTGCCAACTACAAGCGCGCGCTCTATTCGATCCGCCACTGCGCCCACGTGATCCGGACCGGCGACGAGGCCAAGGCCCTCAAGGGCATTGGCAACTTCATCGGCCAAAAGATACAAGGTATCCTCACTCGGCTAGCAAGCGGCAATGGCAGCGTGCCCGAGCCCGACGCTCCACGGCCAAAGAAGCGCAAGGCGACAGTCCCGGACGCACCGCCTGTCGCGGTCGTCGCGCCGCGTGAGCGCGCCGCGCCGCAAGAGCCAGGGCCCAAGTACAGGCCTGCGCGAGGAAAGCGTACGAGCCTACTGCGTCCAGCATGTACGCTCACGCTACCTTGTAGAGCCATGGTACGTTCTCGTGGCGCTGGCAGAGCTCGAAGCGACCTGCGAGGCGCTGAGTGTGGACACGGAGGCCGTCATCGCCCGTATGAAAGCTCTTGGGGTATGTAGGCCCTTGACGACATACTCGCATGCTTGTGCTGCGTAGTGTACCAGCGACCAAGGGCAGCTGCGGGCAAGTCTGGTTTCCCTTGTCAATACGCACAAGGTCGTTGCCAAGTCGTCGCTCTACGGACACCTCTTCTTGACGGCGGATGGTGCGCTTCGCACAACCAGCCACTGTACCTCACTCCTTTGTAGGGATCCACAGTGCCCGGTATTGCCAACGCAGCGACGCCGCCGCCCAAGCTGCAGAGGCTGGCCCGGTCGCCCGGCGGCCACGAATGGAGGCCCCAGCGATCACGAGCGACGAGGCGCCAACGACGACCGACGCGTTCGACTGGATGTCGACCAACTTGTCCAAATTCGAGCCCAAGGAGGTGCCGCTCTCGCACACGCAGGACGAATGGGAGATCGTGCTGCTCCTCGACCACCGCGAGGTGTCCTCCTACTGCGACGACTCGTGCCGACCGACGCCGTGTAGATGGTGTCTCGCAGCAGCAAATCGGTGTTTGAGCGCAAGCTGCTCGAGGCCGGCGTCACATGCGAAGTCCGCGGCCTCCACCTCGGGGACATGATGTGGATCGCGCGCCGCCACCGCCCCACCTTTGGTAGACCTTTCTTCTGTGTATGAACCGCCGTCGATGCTGTCAGGCAGGCGGCCGCCCCATCGAGGAAGAGTTTGTGCTTGACGTGATCGTCGAGCGCAAGGCCGTCTCGGATCTCGCCTTGAGTATCATCGACAAGCGCTACACGGAGCAAAAGCAGCGGCTCGCAGACGCCGGCCTGCGCTACGTGGTGTACCTCCTCGAAGGCTCGCTCGCGGTCGAGACCATCTTGGGGGCCACTGCCCTCGCGACGGCCCTGACCCGCACACAAGTAGGTTCCTCTCGTCTCGTGTGGCGCATCGATCCATGGCGATTACTGGCAGGTGCTCAACAACTACCTGGTGCACCACGCCGCGTCGCCCGACGAGACCGTCGCGTTCTTATCGGCGCTGCACTGGCACACGGTGCGCGCATTCAGCGCCGTGTACAAGGTCCGCAACGCCGCGCCGCCGGTCGCCGCGTCGATTGGTCGCCCGCCGGCGTGCCTTCGCGACTTTACGTACCGTGACGAGAGTCGACCGCGTGTTTGACGCGCGTGGGTAGGCAACTCATTCCGACCACGTGGCAGTCGTTTGGCGAGTTCAACGAGACGTTCCGCAAGAAGGCGGCGCCGACGACCGGCGAGCTGTACCAGATGATGCTCATGCAGGTGCCTGGCATTAGTGCGACCCGCGCCCGCGACCTTGGCGCCGCGCACCCGACGTTTCTGAGGTGCCCGCTTGATACCTTGATACTGTATCGACCCGAGCGGCTCTAGTTTGTGGCAAGAGACGCAAAAGGCAGCGCCGCAGCTTCCATCGCGCGTCAACGCAGTCGGTCGCGCGGTCGTCACCAACCTCTTTCGTGCAAAAGACTATGCCGCGCCGTAGAAAAGTCTTACCCTAAACTCGTCGAATATTATTAGCTGTCACATCTAGTTGCCCCGCTGGATCTCCAGCGACCTCTGGTAGGCGAGAATGGCCTTGTCGTGGTCGCCCTTCTCAAAGAGGATCTTGCCGAGCAGCGTCGAGTTGGCGGCGGACGGGACCAGGTCCAGCGACCGTTCGAGCGCCAGCACGGCGCGGTCGAGGTCCTCGTCCGCATAATACGCTTTGCCGAGGTACGAGTAGAGGAGCGGGTCGCGCGGCAGCAGCTCCACCGCCCGTTCAAACGCCGCGACTGCGCCGCTTGCCGACCCTTTCTGTAGCATGGCAATTCCTAGCGTCACAAGCGTGTCGACTTCCTGAATGTCCTCTTCGTGCGTCGTCGTCGTTTTCGTCGTTGTGGACGCGCGGAATGTCGTCGTCGACGAGGTCGTGCACCGACATGGTGTCCTCGTCGTCTGCTTCGTCTGCTGCTGCTGCCTCTTCTTCGTTGTCGTCAAACTTGACGGCCGACGACTCGGGGCTCTCGGAGATGTTGGCGAGGTTGGCCACGGGCGTCGTCGGCTTGAGGTACTTGGCGACAAAGGTTTCCCGATCGTCCAAGCTGTATGCGGTATCGCGCTACAAAAGACGGTGAGGGACATACGTCATATGAGAGCCCGACGCGTACGAATTCAAAATACGTGTCTCGCGTGTCATGGTCCGTCAGCGACGTCTCGCGAATGTCATACGTGTACGTCTCGGACGTGTCTACATGGCCTCATGAGCTGTCATGAGGTGCATTTCCGCATACCGGAATAGGTGGTCGAGAGCGGGGGCTCCACATGCGCTGCGACGGGCGAGACGGGCGGCGGCGTCGTCACGGGCTGCGGCGTGAGCCCGAGCATGGACGGGTCGCGTGTGATCGAGAGCCCGAGGTCCTGCGCGCGCGAGAAGCTGCTGTCTTCCGTATTCCGCGCACTCGCCGACTCGGAGAGGCTCGTGTGTCGCAGCAAGAGCGCCTCGGCCTGCTGCTTTTCTTCCATGAGCTTGGACACTTGCTGCTGGAGCAGCATGACTTGCATGTTCATGTCCTCGAGCATCGTGTCCTTGTCCGAGTAATTGCTTGGCGGGTACATGTGCGGCGACATGTCGTCCGAGCGCGACGACGACGCACTGTACGTCCGGTGCGGCGGCGGCGGCGGCGGTGGCACGAACCCGCGCGACGAGCTGCCCGACATGCTGCCTGTCGACTGCGTGCGCTGCATCGTGCCAGGCAAATGCGCGCGCTGCGAGTACAAGGGCGCGCCGTGTGCGATTACGTGCGTGTCGAGAATCGGTGCTTCGACCCGCGTGAGCGCGTCGTGGCAGAGGACGCAGACACGCTGGCGCGACGTCAAGCCAAAGTGGGGCAGCTTGAGCTTTTGCTTGGCCGAGTGGTCGGTGCAGATCGACTGCCCGCAGTTGCGGCAGTGGTGGCGCTTCTTGAACGTGCCAAACTTGCACGAGCAAATGTGGCAGTTGGGTGCGTTCTGCCACCTACAACACACACGGACGTCGAGTGCAGTCGTTGCGACATGACGAGCGATGTACCGAGGCGGAAGCGAGACGACGAGGCGGTTCGAGTACCGGCGGGCTTGCGGGTCGAGCAGATACGGTTGTTCCTCGACTTCCATTGGGATCTGCATGTTCAACGGCATGTGCTACGAAAGCGTCAGCGATCGAACGTGGTGAGTTCAGCACATTACATTCTCCGAGAGCGAGTCGTTGTAGCTGCGCTGCGAGCCGTAGCTGGACGACGGCGTGTTGCGGAAGGCCGGCGCCGAGTGCGACGCCGGGCGTTGCAGCCCATTGCTGTACTTGCGTGGCATCGCATGGTCGTCGTCGAGCACGTTGTCTATCACATCGTATCGAAGAAGCGTGAGTGACGTTGGCAACAAAGACATGTGATCGTACCATCGCCAGGCTCGCTGGACTGGGACCCGAGGCGCTCCGGGAAGCTCTCGCGCGACCCGTGCATCTTCTGTACGTGGTCGCGCATCTCTTCAAGGAGGTGGAGCGTGCGAGGCGGCAGGCGCGACTTCTTTGCGAGCGACAAGACGTCTTCGTTGACGGGCGTCTTGACGAGGACGGCCTCGGGGTAATTGGCGAGCAGCGCCTGGAGCCATTCGACGTTGGCCTGCGCCTTGATCGCAATGTGCAATGGCAGCATCTTGCCCGAGTTGAAGACGCGCGCGCCCTGCGGGTACGCCTTGAGGAGCAGCATGAGCAGCTCCTGGGGCGTATGGCTGTCGGTGCAAGCCCAATGCAGCGGGATCATGCCATAGCGGTCGCGGTCCTGGGCGGCCGCGGGATCGCGCTCGACGAGCGCGCGCAGCTCGGCCCACTTGCAGCTCTCGGCCAGGCGGATGGCCTCGCTCTTCTTCGGCGCCGCCATCTTGTCGTCGAATGCTGGACTGTTCCAGCTGCCAGTCGTAGTACCGACGCCGTGACAGACGCCGATACAAATTTCAAGTCCCCACCTTTATCCGGACAACCGCGTGTCAAATGCAGCTGACGTACGCACGTGAAAAACACGTGCACGCGCCAATCGCATACAAACCGAGCGTTCGCCACGCGACGTGAAAAATACATCGTGTAACTCACTGCGTATCCGGATCCGACAGGGTCCGGGCATACAAATCCCAAGCATCGCTGCAGGCTTGGTCCCCCGTGTCCCGAGTCCGGATGTTAATCCGGATGTTACCGTGTGGGAAACTACAGGACGCGTGGCACGCTCTGCGCGCAGCTCCAGCGCGGGTCTCTGCCTCCAGCGCATGTGACGTACTCGGATCGACTGCAGATCATCGCTGCTCTTGCCGGCGCTTGCCGTCAAGTACTGGCGCCGGTTCTTGTCGATCGCACCACACATATCTCGACGAGAAGGTGATACCACATGCCCGCACCTGATTCGGGGGTGCCTGATTCAACGGGACAGCGGGATCGAGCCGAGCCGACCAGGAACGGCGTCAGTGTCTATACGAGCAGAGTGTCCCCTGAAAGGTCCTGCAGGCAACGTGTCGGCGCCGCGAGAAGCAGCAAAGACGGTGACCAGGAGCTGATGACGTGCACGATAAGAGCTGACATTGGCCGTCGATGCCACTACGGTATCCGGATACCACACCGCAAGACTCACTATGCTTGACGTGCCAAGATGGCGAGGTTTCCCACACGTGGGCGGTGTGCGTTTTCGGATAACGTGCCTTTCACACGTGTGTGCGTGTGATTTACACGGATCCATTTTTCGAATTCAACTTTTGGACGGCCAGTTCGCGTCCGTCCATGATGAGGCAGTGGCTAGCGGTCGCGCTCGCGTCCGTGGCGATAGCGGACCTGCCTCCGGGAGCGCTGGCGCTGCCGCCGCCGGTCCCGCTTCTCCTCCCCGTCTACATCGGTGACGCTCCGCTGGTCGTCCCACTGCCGCTGCCTCTGATCGTTGAAGACAACCGAGACGCGCTGCAGCAGCACTTGGCCGACTTTTGCGCCGCGCATGGCCTGCCAAGCACGCGCTGCAAGGTCGTGTACGAGGCGCTCACGACAGCTGCGTGGGCCACGGACGAGAAGGCGGTCTTCCTCGTCGTCAACGACCTGCTATGGCAGTGGGTCGACATGCCGGCAGAGAGTCTCGCCAGTCGCATCTGCCACTACGTCGCGGTCCAAGCCAACCACCCGCACATGCTCGACCCGTCCATGTGTCTAACGACGCTCGAGCTCGCCTTTGCGCGCACAGAAGCCTGGAAGCGCATGAGCAAGGCCGGCCTGTCTCTGCCATATGCCCCGGCGCCAACCAACGTCATTTCCAATGCAACAGCACCGAGCGTCGAGAATGTCGCCAAGGTCATCGAAGAGATCGATAGCGCCGACCTCCTCGACCCAACGCCCGAGCTGTCGACGACGATCCCAACGGCCGAGAGCGCCATATCCGAGCCAACGCCAGACGCGCTACCTTTGCCAGAGACCGTGGACGACGGCGGCGACGAAGCCAAAGTCCATGCGCCTGTTCTCGAGGTCACCTCGGACGACGACGTTCTCGAGGTCACGGATCTGGACGACGAAGAGTCAGTTCCGACCGATACGCCCATGTCGCAGCCCCTCTTGGCTGGCCCCATGGCCCCTGTTTTTTCTACTGCGCCTGAATCTGCAGCGATCGTTGACGACCCAGCACGCCAAGACGACGATGATGCTGCAGCGCTTGTCGACGTCGCTCCGATCGAGTCGGCGACCGTGCACGATGCGCTGGCAGAGACCGTGCCGGCGCAGGGTACTACACCCATCGAACAAGATGAACAAAGCAGCTACGATGACGACACGACGACGACAGAGACGGTATTGGCGCCGGCGCGGCCCGTGTCCAGCGGCAGGTACCTCCACCACGCCGTCTTGGACCGCACTCGAGGCAACTTGACCAGATCCTATCATGATGCCGACACTGCCATGCTGCAGTGCGCCATCGACCTCATTCCGGCCGTCGACGCTGACGTGCTTGTCGTGGCGCCTGCCGCGCCGATCCTTGTCGACGTCAAAGGCCATGGTAGCTGCCCGACCCATGTCGCCGACCATGCGTCGCCGGTGCTTGTCGTCCTCTGGGCCATCGTGCTCGGCATCATTGCGCTCCTGTGGCGGCGCAACCTGGTCGCGGCCGCGCAGCTCGACGTGTGCGCCGCCGAGATCGCCCGCCTCCACGCCGCGCAAGCAGCGGCGATCGAGGACGCACGCGCTGACAAGGAAGCCCTTGCGATCGCACTGCGGGAGCCAACTGCTTTGCGGCACCAGCTCGCCGAGGCGAGTGCGCGCTTGGCGTCGCTGCAAGACGAAAAGGACGCGCTCGACAGCAGTCGCTGCGCCGAGATGGACGCGCTGCGCCAACAGATTGCCAGCTACGAAGCCGTCCTCGCCGAGAAGGATCGCCAGCTCGCAGCCCAACACGCTCTGGCGTCCTTGCGCGAAGAAGCGCGCGACGTGGAAATGCCCGCGCCTCTACCGGACCACGACGACGACGTCAGCGTTGAAGCTGTTGCGTTGCCCGCGATGCGATCGCCGATGGTTCGCCAGAGCAGCAGCCTCTTGGACACGGTCATTAGCAACCAGGTATGTCGTGGCGACTCGCAATCGAGTCTCAGTACGTTGGGCTATAGGAGGGAAACGCGCGGCCAAAGCACAGCCGGTTCGGGTCGGCCGCACGCACGATCGCCCTCGGCTGGAGTCTCATGCACGTGCCCAAGGCGTCGACGACGGCGCCCGTTCCAGGTTCCGAGCTCGCGACCGCAGCCTAGTTCATGCGTGCCTCTTGTACGTAGCATCGTAGCCACACCCTCCAGTACGCCCATTGTTAACACCATCATATATTCATTCCCACATGCAACATTTACACGGCTTACACAAGAATGTCTTCGGACGAGTTGGACTCCTTGGCAAAGCGCTTGAACTTGCCCTTGCTATAACCATGCGCACGCTATGAGACATGTCTTCCCATCGAGGAATAGAAACGTACAAGTGGCAAAAGGCGACAGCGGTCAGAAGGAGCGCAACACTTAGCACCGCCTGGGGCGTGCCGAGCATGTCGAGCCACGTCGTCGCGTCGCCAAAGTCATCCGCGATGGGTTCTTCCGAGTGCGATAGGATGCTCAGGAGCGGGACCGCGATCGCCGAGAGGAGGTTGCCGCAGAGCTGCTGGAGCGCGGCGACGGTTGCTTCGGTCGTCGGGTGCGCACACTCGACGCCGAGCTCGAGCGAAATCGGCTGCAGCGGTCCGAGGAAGAGGCCCGCGGTCATGAGGCACACGAGCGTCCAGACCACGTGGTAGGGCAACTCATCGGCCACGGCCAGTACGAATTCGAAGAGGAGCAGCGCGATCGCCGTCAAGACCAGGCAGACCGTCAGCGCTTTCTTGTGCGCTTTCGTCGCGTCGACGTACGCCGAGAGGCATTGGCCGCCAAAGAGCGCGCTCACGATAAAGGCCGCGCCAATCAGCCCCTCTTGCGTCTACGATGCAACCCATTTGTATGAGATCGATAGTGCAATAAGATCTGACCTTGGAGAAGCCGTCGACGTTGAGGATGTGCGTGAGCATCGACGAGAGCACGTTGATGACGGTCTCGGCCATCGAGAAGACGAGCACGGTCAAGCCAAAGCCGTCATGGTGGAAGGCTGCGAGCCACTGCGTGGCGTCGTAGGAGGAGGACGACGGGACAAAGCGCGGCGAGCGCTGGAAGAAGCAGCATGCGAGCGTCGTCGAGAGCAATGCGAGGAGCGCGATGAGACCGGACCACGGCGCCACGTCGTCGGGCGAGTGCACCAAGAACGGCGTCAAGAGGTACCTACTCAGCATGAGCGCTGCATCGCATGTCGGAACGAGCGTACACGACGGCGATGCCGAGCTGGTTGCAGTTGACAGCGATCGACGTGGCCGCCGCGCGCTGGGACGGCGGGAACCACAGCGCCGAGAGCATCGGCGGCGAGTTGACCTAACACGATGCATATGAGGAGGCGAGCGCATGAGAATTACGACGATACCATAAAGGGCATGGCCATGGCGGCGAGTGTCTGCCCGAGGACGAGGAAGGGGACTTGGAGCGACGCGTCGACGTGGTTCGCAGTCGCAAGGTACCGCACGGACGCGCCGACCGCTTGGAGGATCGCGCCGAGAAGCACGCCAAAGCGCAGGCCCTTCTTGTCCATGACCCACGAGCCGACGAACGCGAACGGGAGGTACACGATAAAGTAGATGGTGATGAGCGTCGTCGACTCGACCTAGTACGCGCGTCGCATGGGCATGCATACAGATGGAGGAAGTCGTACGCCATAGTCCCAGGACGCTTCGGCCATCTTGGCGATCGGCGCGTACGAGTAGCAAATCGCTTGGTTCAAGCCCGAGAGGAGCGAGAGGAGGGCGACCATGACCCATTTCACGTGGCGGGGCTAGGTCCATGAGCCTTTTTGTGAACGCGCAGTGCACTTTATACCTGGTAGAACTCGGGCGACGCCATGACGTCGTTGTCCTCAAAGGTGCAGTAGGGTGCGGAGGGCACGCCGTCGCTCTCTTCAAAGGTGCCATAGGCTGCGAGGGCATGAGCCTAACTAGTAGCACGTGTCTCGACGTACCGGGAAGGCGCGGCGACGGGTCTCGATGCTGCGATGTCGTATCCAAGGAGGCATGCTTGTGCTTTGGCGGGGCCATGCGATGAGTGCTCGTGCCGGGTGTTGAAATTGAAACTGCGACTGGTCAGAGTCCTTGCTAGTATACTGAAACGCTAGTTGGATTCTTAATGCCACCTGGCGTGTCGCACGTTGCGTGGCAGTCGTGATGTGGCGCGCCGTCGAGCAGCGATAAGATGTAGGTACTCGCGACGGCACGATTACCCGCCTCGAGGAAGCGTCGCGCCAGCGCCACGCAGCCGCAACGCGGCAGATTGCTCTCTATACCGCGCGCCTATTCTGGCGAATCCCGTCCAGAAAGGGGTTGTCGCGGCGGCCCCACGGCCGCAGAGAAGAGACGCCGGAAACGGTTCCGAGCAGGTGCGCTGGACGGGATAGCCAACCCGAGAGTGCTCTCTCTTTGTTTCAACGATAGCGATCGCGCCGACTAGCGTGAAGCGACAGCAGCAGCAGGAGGCGGACGAGGTACAACCGAGATGCCCGAGCGCACGACGGCGTCAGAATTGGCATGTGGTGTAATTTCAGCCAATCGCCGTCGCCCAAGTCGACTGAAAGATTCAAGGACGAGCGGTGGGTCGCGCCACGTCACGTGCCGCCTGTCTCAAGCGACGCCGTGAACAGTGCAGTGTACAAGGTGGGCCGAAAGTGATCCTGGACACGACTGGATCGTCGTCGCCAGCGCTCCGTATCGTCAAAAGCTATAAAAGAGTCGTGTTCTGGACCCTTGAAGCGCGGTTCCACACTGCCTTGAAGCTTGGACCGACAGTTCGTCCCACGGCCGTGACAGTGACTGGATTGCGATGAGAGGCCACTCTGTTGCGCGCTGTCTTTACCGCGAGTCATTCGTTGCCGTCAACGATCTGGTTCATCGCATCCTCCTCCTCTGCATACGAGCAGATGCGTTCTCGTTGGAAGCACTCTGTGCTGGAAGACCGTACTTCCTGCACGGTACGAGGCAAGGACGGAGCAGTCGACACCCGTCGCTCGTCCATTAAGAGAGCGCGATGCAGCACGGTGTCTCCTCAGTCCGCACGATGCGCTGGAAACAGCAACGCTACCACTTATGTTTACGCACGACGACGACAATGACTAGATGCCGAGATGGGGTCTGCCCGGCGGCACAGCCGCGTACTGCGACCGCTTCCACGCGCCGCGACTACGCCAGGTTGTGTGCATCATGCAGAAGAAGAGGCAGAAGAGAAAACGTACTACTGCGTGAAGATGATGCCGGCGAAAAGCAAGAGCAGGGACACGACCCCCACCGGCGTGGCGAGAAGCTGCCACCACTGTCCTAAAACGGTGGGGCCGTCGCTGCTGCTACTACTGTCGTCCTCATCGTCGTCATCGATCAATGCCGCGGCTGCGTTGCCCTCGAGCCAGTGCTGTAGAAGGCTCAGGAGCGGAAGCAGGAGTGCCGACAAGGCGTTCCCAAGCAGTTGCTGGAGCGCCGCCACCGTAGCTTCGGACGTCGGGTGCGCGCACTCGGCGCCTAGTCTTATCGAGTCAGTCGCGTGATTTGCATCACGGCTCGCCCACCAAGCTCGACAGCAATCGGATGCAACGGGCCGAGGAAGAAGCCAAACGCGACGAGCAGCGCAAACGAGCCGGACACGTGCCACGTCACATCGACCGCCGCGACCACGTACCCAAATCCAAGCAAGAGTCCGCCTATGCGCCCGCGTCGGAGGCGACGCAAAGAAGCGGCACGCACCCGCGACGAGGCTGCAGACGACGATCGCGGCCTTGTGCGACCCCGACGCGTCCACGCACGACCCGACGAGGAAGCCGCCAAGGACCGAGCTCAGAATGAACGCCGCACCCATCGCGCCTTGGGTGGTCTAGACACACCTCTCAAATATACACGAGGTGTTGGTGGAGTACGCGAGCAAAGCCGTGTTGGGGTGACGCCAAGCGGTTGAGCAGCGCGGCGAGGACGTTCTCGGCCATCTCGGCCACGGCAAAGACGAACACCGTGAGGCTAAAGCCAGGGTGGTGGAACGCGGTGACCCACTGCCGGTAGTCGTAGGCGCCGGACGCGCTTGGGATCATCGGCGGGTACTTTGGGACGCGAAAGCACACGAACGCCAGTAGAAACAAGGCCGTGGCCGACATCGCTAGGAGCCTGTCCCATTTTGCCAGGTCCGCCGGCCCCGCCACGAGGACCGGCGCGGCCAAGTACCTGTGGGTTCCATTAGACGTGGCGAAATGGACATAGACGTACACGGCAACGATACCGAGCTGGTTGCTGTTGACGCCCATGGACGTCACGCGGGCGCGGAGGTGGGGCGGGAACCACAGCGCTGAGAGCACGGGCGGCGAGTTGACCTACGAAGCGCATGCGTTTATGGTGTCTCGACCACACGCAGAGAGACCATGAACGGCATGCCGATCGCGGCCAAGACTTGGCCGATGATCAGAAAGACCTTGGCGATGGGAAAGGCCATGTCCATGTTGGACGAGACGGCGCGGAAGATGGCGCCAACCGCTTGGACAAAGGCACCGAGCAGCACCTGCGAAAACGTGGTTTCGCAAGGAACGATGGAGATAGTGTCGTACGCCGACGCGCCACCCGCGCAGGTCCAAGATCCACGAGCCCAAAAATGCAAACGGAAGGTACACGAGAAAGAAGATGGTGATGAGCGACGACGAGTGCACCTAATGCGTTTATAGATATGGCGGTATGGCGCTGTGGTACCTCGTGCTGCCACGCCGTATCGGCGATGCGAGATATCGGCGCGTACGAAAAGCAAAGCGCTTGGTTCATTGCCGACAAGAGGCATTGCAGCAGCAGCAGTAGCCATTTGTATGACGACGCCTAGACAGGATGGTCGCTTGAAGGCATGTACATGAAGCGTTTACATGGCCGGCGTCGTTGCGCACGGACGATGCGTCGTAGATCAGGTTCGCCTTCATGCAGTGTATTGGCAACCCGACCTCGTACAACAAGGATGCGTAACGCACGCGACCTTTCCTCGGATCGAGCGGCTGGACGTCGAAGAAAAGAACGCCAACAATCCCTCTGGTCGCCAGTCGCCACCAGTTCAAGATCAGCTTGAGACGCGAGTCCCGAGGCCATGCTGGGATGTTCAGCATCGAGCTGCTGGATGGAGCCAGAATGATCATCGGGTACTTGTGGTGCGCCGACCGACGACAGGAGTACCGCTTGCAACTGCGGTTGCAATGGGTGGTGCTCTTATCAAGACGTATCTTGGCTTCGCAAGCATGCACTACCAAGCAAGCGGTGTAAGCAGCAACATGGTCTCCGGTGAGCGCGCAAAAGTGGGCTCAATTTTTTGCAGCTAAAAATAGATTTTCGAGCCGCCTCCGAAACACGCACCCGATGCTTGATTCGGTGCGTTTACCTTTTATATTCGATCGTTGTGTGTACCTTGACTCCTAGTACCCTTTCAAAATGAATACATCAGACGTGTCTGCCAACAACGCATATCCACTGTCGGGCAATTCGAGGTCGCCGCAGCAAGCCGCAGCATGTCCAACATCTACATCACGGAGCCCGACACGGAGGGCAAGGTGCTCATGCGCACGTCCTTTGGCGACATCGACATTGAGTTCTGGCCCAAGCAGGCGCCCAAGGCGGTGCGAAACTTCATCCAGCTCGCCATGGAGCATGTACGTTCTCCATCGACCAGCCAGCATGCTCATGGTGTTCGCCTTGTAGTACTATGACAACACGATCTTCCACCGCATCATTGCCAACTTTATGATCCAAGGCGGCGACCCGACTGGTTCGGGCGACGGTGGTGAGTCGATTTACGGCGAGCCGTTTACGGACGAGTTCCATTCGCGCCTGCGCTTCAACCACCGTGGCCTCCTCGCCATGGCCAACTCGAACAAGCCCAACACGAACAAGAGTCAGTTCTTCTTCACGCTCGACAACTGCGACTTTCTCGACCGGAAGCACACGATCTTTGGCAAGGTCACGGGCAACACGATCTTCAACCTCCTCACGGTCAACGACATTGAGACGGGCGGGAACGAGCGCCCGGTCGAGCCCGTCAAGCTTCTCGGCATCGACATCCTCTGGAATCCATTCCCCGACATCGTACCGCGGTACCTTTTCGCCTTTCACCTCTTTGACGCCGAATGAATGGCAATGTAGCGCGATCAAGGCGACGACGACAATGACAGCGGACGCGACGGACAAGCCCAAGAAGAACAAGCGCAAGGCGACAAAGGACTTGAAGCTCCTCTCGTTTGGCGACGAGGCTGAAGACGCGTTCGTCGCGATGCCCAAGAAGAAGGGCCCGATGAGTAGCCACGACGTGCTGACGAACGACAAGAAGCTCAGCAAGCGTGTGGACCAGTCGCTCCAAACCAAGATCGCACTCGTGCGTCCCGAGGACCATCAGACGCCGTCGTCATCGACCGACCGGGACGACGCGCTGTCTGCCGCGTCCGGCGACGTCTCGTCGCTCAAGGCACTCATTGCCAACAAGCTCAAGAAGAAGCCGACCAACGTCCAATCGACGGCGACGCCCAAGCTTGCGCAGGAGGCGCTCGAAGACGAGACGGATCTGTCTGCGATCGAAACCAAGGCGCAAAAGCGCGCGCGGAAGGCAAAGGAAAAGGCCAAGTACGTCGTGGAAGCTGTACACATTGAAACAAAAATGGCGTAGAGACGAGTACACGGCGCTCAAGGACGAGCTCAAGAAGGCCAACAAGGCCGTGCACGTGGTCACGGGCGTTAAAGCCCAAAAGCTGGACGACGAGAAGGCGTTCCACGAGATGCTGACGCCGCTCCAGCTGCGCCGGCAAAAGTACCTGGCGCAAAAGAAATCGATCGGCGACCGCCAAGCCAAGACGCTCGAGCGCCTCGAAAAGTTCCGCAACACGCTCATGCACGTGCACACGGTCTCGAAAACCAAGACGGCCAAGAGCACCGAGACGTACCACGGCCAAGTGCTCAGCGAAGACAGCGACGCGCCCGACGACGACGACAACGACCCGACGAGCTGGATGACGGCGAAACTCAAGTTCAAAAAGCACATTGATGTACGTTGACATCGGTAGAATGAGCTCCTGGACGATCATGATGATGGCATTAGGACCAATACCGCATGGGCTACGACCCCAACGCGGACGTATGTTGCAACATGCCACCGACTCGTTGTCTCATACTCGTGCCTGCGTCTAGAACTACATGACGATCGACACCAAGATTGAAGGCAACAAGAGATAGGCGTCCTGTCGCTCGGAGACTAAAACTTGCTCAATTGATCCTTGACACTCCACATCGACTTGAGAGCACAGGCGCGTTGGGCTCAACGCAATGCTGGCACGACGACACTGTTAACGAAACAAGAAGAGTAGACAAGAAGATCATGTCATTATAAATAGTGGCTTAATAAATAGTATAATATCAATGTTTGTGTTGTCATGCATAGGGGGAGGGTCAAATTCGTCAGTGGCTTATCGTGAAGACTAGTCGTGTCCTAAGGGGTCCTAAGGGGTGGGGGTGGCGTCGCGCGTTTTACGGCGTCTTGGGCAAGCTGGCCGAGAGCGCCTCCGTGTTGGCTTCGGGGGCGACCACCGCTTCGGGGCGGACCCACGTCTTGTTTTGGAACCGGGGGCGGGGGTACCCAAAAAAGTTGCCTTGCGGCGCACCGTGGAACCCGGGGCCGGCATCGGCGCAGGCGTCGGCTCGGCATTCGCCGAGGCATTCGTCGTGGCATTCGTCGTGGCATTCGTCGTGGCATTCGTCGAGGCATCCGGAGCGGCTACTTGTACAGGCTCGGCGCCACCTTCTGCGGCCGGGGCGTCGCGTGGCGGCTACCGTCGCCGGGTTGACCCACTTGCGGTTCGTGAACGGGCGCGGCGCACCACCGTGCGGGCCGCGAGGCATGTACGGGCCACGCATGCCATAGGGGGGCATGCCGTAGCCAGGGGGACCGCCCATGTGGTGCGGCGGCGGGTAATACATAAAGTCCTAGTCGTCACTTCATGAGTCATCACAGGACGAGATGCGGCAACGAGGAAGTTTACCGGAGGAGGCATGCCGTACGGGAAGCCACCGCCATACATGTGGGGAGGACCGCGCATGTAGCCGCCCGGAGGGAAGCCACGCGGCGGGCCTTGCCGCTGGTCGTCGAACTGAGGCTTCTTCGATCGGGGCTCGTCGTCGTTGTTGGAATCGTTGGGTCGCTTCCGGTTGTTGTCGCGGTTGTCCATGCCACGGCGGTTGTCATCGCGGCGGTTGGCGTCCCGGCGGTTGGTATCCCGGCGATCGTCGTCACGACGGTCGTCTTTGCGCGGCCCTTGCTGCCTGGTGTCCTGCGTCTTGCCGAGGCGGTCCGTGATCGACGGCTTCGACCCATTCGACGGCTCGTTCTGCGACGCACGTTCCTTTTGGGGAAGACCAAAGCGCTCCGAGCGCCGACGCATGGCCTCTTCGAGCTCCTTGTCCGACTTCTTGCCGATAATGCGCACCGTGCCCTTTGCTTCCACAGCGGGCGCCGGGCGCGAAAGGCTGATGACGCGCTTGGGGGCTTCCTCCGCCGGTGTGGTCGATGCGGGCTCTGGCGCTTGGGTGGTAATCTCGGGCTCGACCGCTTCCGGTGTGGGAGTCGCCTACAGCATACGTGACTAACGGCTACAAGACGGCAGCATCGTGGGTCGTACCGGCGGGCCGGCCAGAAGCGCGTACAGCCACTGGACAAAGGTCTCGGCGCCGTCGGCGCCCATAAAGTCGTCCAAGTCGGTGCGGATCTGACCCATGCTCTTCGAGTTGTAGACCATGACAACGACGTATTCCTACAAGCCATGGCCAGCATGGGCCTCGCGCTCCTGGAGACACAATCGTACCGCCATGACGCTTTCGACCTCAACGCCCAGCACTTCCGTGAGCTTGGCCTGGACCTTGGATTCGATGGAGGCCTTCTCGCTGGCGTCGGGCTTGCCTACGTACTGGGGGTCGTATCCTGCCATCGCGCTTGGGTGGTCTCGGCTGTAGTTTCGCGTCTGCGACTGTACCACCTCCGGCAATTCCGAATCCTCAAATCCGGAGCCGCAAACCCCTGCTGTCGAATTGCACTGGATGTTTGTATACTCTGGCGGGATCCATTTTAATGTTTTTGAGTCGCAATTTTAATACTCTTTCTTTTAACCTATACTTAATATTGGTATGTAATGGTCGATATTAAAAAGATTGTTCACGACCCCATGGCGGTCGTCACCAGTCCGGATAACCTGCTGCTGCTACTGACGACGCCGGCGCCTTCGGCCGCCGCAGACCCAAGTGGACGCAGCTCTCGTGGGCTAGGCATGCTGCGTATAGTAGCAAAAAGCCATCGCTTTCCGGTCATTCTGTTAAAGTATGTTGGTCCCAGCAGTCGCCACGACAGAACAGCTCCGGCACCGTCCCATTCGAACACCTCTCCTGGCGCGATGCACTCGTCGAGAGCACCTAGGGTGACCGACAGCGTCGTGAATATAGTCTGGCTTTGTTCGTGGCGCCTTCACGGCTCTCCAAGGCCGTTGGCATCACACTGGTATAATACATGTATGGTTGCTGCGAGGCTCCCATGCGATGCTCGAGGCTTAACCAACGCTAGGCCTGTGCAAGCTATATGTCGCATCGTTGCCTCAAAGGACCATCCACGCGTCCTTGGGCACAGCGCCCATGGAGGCTGTCTTGTCCGACGACGCCGCGCGCGATGCGAACTCGCATGCCTCCGCCATCCACGCCACAATGACGTGGCAGCGTGTGGGCAGCTTTTTATCCGGATGCCTGGCGATTGGTGCAAAGTCCCTATGAAGTGATTGGTGGCGGGCGACTCGGGCGCTGGCATCTGCACCTGTAGTATTTTCGAATCGATTGGGTTCAGGTTACCGCCGCATTCGCTCCTCGATCCAGATCTAAATACAATGTCTGTGCAAAAGCCCACCAAGCAAGCTGCCTTCGAAGGCGAGGAGTCGCGCATCCACCGCATCCGCATCACGCTCTCGTCGCTCAACGTCAAGAACCTCGAGAAGGTCTGCGCCGACTTGAAGAAGGGCGCCGTCGACAAGAACCTCAAGGTCTCGGGCCCGGTCCGTCTTCCGACCAAGATCCTCCGCCTCACGACGCGCAAGTCGCCGTGCGGTGAGGGTACCAACACGTGGGACCGCTTCGAGATGCGCATCCACAAGCGCATCATCGATCTCTACTCGCCGTCGGAGATCGTCAAGCAGATCACGTCGATCTCGATCGAACCCGGTGTCGAGGTCGAAGTCACGATCGCCGACTCGAACTAAATCACTCGACCATCCTTGTGATAACATGAGACGTTGCGCCTGCGAAAGCACGCGTGGGGCATTTGCACCGATATTCAAATCTCCAGTCTTGTTTCTTAAACCACGGATGCTGCAGAGGAGGAAGGAAGCTCGCCACTATCGCGCACCTCTGTGCTAACCACCTGCACAACGACACTAGCGACTGCACGTGATGTTTAGTTAATCGAGTCTATTGATCAAGAAGAGAATGGCGGCGGCCGCAGCATCTCGAGGAGCTGCGACGTCGTTGTGTAGTCGTTGTCACCCATGCGGCCGAGCGTCGTTGCGCGGCTGCCATCAATGGTATCGTCGTCCGAGAAGAGCGCTTGGTTGACTTGAAACTCGAGTACATCCAGGAGCATGGTCTTGCCGTTGCCAATTTCAAGAACGTCACGGAGCTTGCACTCCATGCGGATCGGCGACGCCGCCACACCAGGCACATTCACATGCGTGCTTGGAATCATCGGGATGTGAAGCTCGTCGATCTCGCTCACGCCGTGCGGGTAGTCCTTCGACGTCGCGTTCATGAGCTCGGCCATATCGGCAGGAACGAAGTTGATGACGCATTCGTTCGTCGCGCGGAGGTTCACAAGCGTGTCCTTGTCTTCGCCTGGCTTGGGGTAGACTTGTGTGATCGAGAGGACCGGCGGGTCGATGCTCATGACGTTGAAGAACGAGAAGGTTGGAGGCACCGGCCGCGCTGCGCGTGCTAACCTAATGATGCATCGTGCGTGAGGAAGGAGTCTCGAGTGCAGGTACGTCGGTCGAGTGTACCCAGGCGATCGGTCGCGGCACGACGGCGCTTGTAAGGAGGTGGTAAAGCTGCCGCGGGGCCGTCGACGACGGAGCGAACGACCGAAACGCCATCTTAAAGTCGACTTGCAATCTGCGCCATGTGGAACTTTCATTACGTTGCGATGGCGAAGAGCGATGAAGTCCCAAGTGCAAACCCAAATGGCGCTGTATCATACGGTCGCGCCTTTTCGAGGTTGCGCGGAGTGTTTTTCTCGAGCGAATCCTTGCGTCAGCATGAACATGATGTTGAGGACAGGACGTAGCGAGGACAAGACGTGGAGCACGAGCGCCTGTTATCCGACGTCGCACCCGTGGCTGCGTGTTTACGGGGTCGAAGCGAGTTCTACACTGTAATCAAGACGACTACTGTACATGTTTTTGCTTGGAACCACTCCTGTACGATAGCGCTTAGCTGTACGATAGCGCGATCTCATCATCCGTGGACCATGTTCCGTCAGTTGCTCCGTCGGTTACAAAAGGAGGCAGATCGCAACCGTCCCCTTCCTCTCGTAGTACCCAGCTCGCTGCTTCTATCAAGCGCTTGCAGCAGTCCAACTGGTATTGGTGTACTACGCTGGTATCTACTACGTAGTCGGTCCTAGTAGACTCTCTTTCAACAGCTCTCGTCTCATACGACGTCCACTTGTTGGCTTGAACACTGCTGCCAGAGCTTGCTGCCAGCTGCGTGGCTGCGCCGATGGATAGAAGCTCGACTTGGTGGCTCTTGCCATATCGGGTTATCGATGCAAGCTCGCTCCTATCGCCGTTGCTGGAACGGCAGCGTGGTCTTGGCAGGCCAGATCTTTCCGGATATTGACATATTATCCGGCTGAAAGTCGTTTTCCCGCCGACGCGGAGCAGAGAGCGATGGCCGAGAAGCTGGCGACCGAGCTCCAGATCCCGGGGATCGTACGAAGATGGCGCCAGCGATGGAAGGTTGACGGCGCGTATGTGTGCATGTAGAGCCCTCTCCAGCTGCAGGACATGACCTGGAAGACGAAGGAGAAGGTGCTGCTCCTGCTGCTCGAGAAGGTACGAGAGCGTCGTCCACGCCAATACAAGAGAACCTGCGCGTAGAACGGGTCGTCCGAGCCCATCTACGAAGAGCTCAAGAACCTTGCAGCCGATCGCAAGCAGGAACGCGCCTTTGAGAAGACCGACGGCGCCATGTACGCGTGCTCGCCCGCGATGATCCAGGAGCAGCATCTGCGTAGGTCCAAGGACGCGCTGCGCAAGAAGGAAGACTCGTATCGCGCCAGCTTTATGAAGGTCGTCGCCAAGGAACTGGCGGTAGGATGCTGTAGAGATGCATGTGCTGATGAACATGTAGCGCATGGGCGCGCCGTCGCTCGTAACATGGCAGCGCCTCGTCCTCGATAAAGACTGCACGTACCAGGCCATTCGCATCTTGCTCACAAAGATCAAGTCTTCGCAGAAGAAACGATCGGGCAGCGCTCTCCTCCCGCTCCTGGAGCCCAAGGCGCGGCCATCGACCATGGACGACAAGCCGATGTGGGTCTCGACCACCGAGCCCGAGACCAAGGCCATCACGCCCCGCGGAGCGCTGCCTTGATCCCGGCCAAGCCCGCTAAAGCTGTCATTAAGCGCCCGGCGTCCCCCAAGCCCCCCTCCTCTAACCAGGTCGAGGAGGTCGCCCCCGAAATGCAGCGAGTGACGACGGCCCCCAAGCCGACCAAGCCCAAAGTCGACCCCAAGGTATATTTTAGAGGCGCGCATCAAGTCCCAATATCGTATTTCCTAGCTACAAGCAGCGCTGCTCGAGAACGAAGCGTTGCGCAAAGAAATTGATCATCTCGAAGGGCTCAATGCGACGCTCCTCAAAAGTTCCGACGAGCCTCTGCAAGGTTTATTTCAAACCGATTTGACGCGGCGACGACATGTCACAACTAGGACCCAGCGCCGAGCGCCGCGTCCGCCTCTTGAAAGCCCAGAACCACCAGCTGCAGCGTCAAGTACGAAGATACAAATTGAGCACAGTATGGACACTGCGTTGTAGGTGGACATGCTCCTCGACGCCGTGGCTGCACGAGAATCGGCGGTCACGGACCTGCAAGCGCTGCTACATGCGTTGAATCAAGCTGTTGAAGTGGGTCTTGCAGACGCCAAGGAGGCCGGTGCCGACCAGACCAAGAAAAATGGATGCTGGCTGTGCCTAGAGATCTCCAGCAGGTACAACACAACGTGTTTGTATAATCTAAGGATATAATGGCTGGGAATAGACTATCAAGCAAATCGAGCGCCAGCTACTTGGACTCAACCGATCGTTGGGCGCGAGTATGGAGCAGAAGCTGCGCCACTCGGACGATGGACTGCTCGACGAAAACTACAAGGTGCTTCGCGTCCGCGATGTGCACAATCAACACAGTTGCCATGGCCCGCTGCGTACGGTACCCCTGCAGAGAGAGACTCGTACGAAAGTGTAGTGTGTAGACATGCCCAACGTCGAGCACTTGCGTTTCGATCGCTTGCAGCAGATCGAAAGCCATCTCTCGCAGCTCACGTCACAACTGCTCGGTTTTGCTAAAGACGCAACCGAAGTGACGCCTCCGTTGATCAGTGACGCCGCGACCATGCGTCTGCACGACCAAGTACGCCCGTCTTTTGTCTTCTTTTTTGCTCACAACCCTTCGTAGGCTCGGGATCTCGCTCGGCAAACACGAGCCTTGGCGACAGAAACAGCATCGCTCGGTGCCGTCGTCTGTGCGCACGCGGTTGGCCCTGGCTTCGAGTACATCAAATGATTATTCCTTCGCGTCGATACAACGCCGTGCCTAGGCGCCATCACCCGTCACGACCAACGGTGGCAGCCATTTTGGCCGAGCTGCCGCCGTTCCCCAGCGCCCACAAAGAGCGAGAGAAGGGAGTGCGTCTGCTGCTTCAGCGTCTCGACGCCTACCTCGTACGATATATCACAGTCAGCATCATGCGGTAAACCACATGGGTAGAGCGGCGTCGAAGCGCGGCTGGAGCAAGGTCTTGGCGAGCTAGCCTCATTGCAGCAGGTGGGTATTGCCTCCGAGTGGACATTCAGTTACGTCGTGGCGTAGAGCGTGCGAGGTCAAGCCTCTGCGTGGCGAACCATGCTTCAGCAATTCGACACGGTATTTACCAAGAAGGTCCAGTGGGCGCAAGAGGTATTTTCACCAAACTGGATACGAGATTTGAGGCAACGTAGGCGCTCACGGCCGCCCTGGATGGCATCGTTAAAGTGTTTGATGCCTTCAAAGCACAGCAAGTCAACGGCGGCACCAACCCGTATGGTGATCTCCTCGTTGAGACGTTCGAGACGCAGCGGTCCGCGCTCGTCCAAATCCGGCAAAGCTACACGCAGTACGCTTCGACAGCACGTGTCAAGCTCGACACGTCTCTGGCCGATATGACGCGCGCGATCGAGTGTGCGACTGTCTCCAGCTGACACTCGATCTTGCGTTGCATGCGGTCGTGAAACTGCCGCAGCACATTGATTTATGAGCATCATATTATGACTACCTTTACACAGAAAGGGACGGGGTCGTGGTTCGGTCGCGGTGCTGACTCATCTCGGCGTCGGACGTCCAGAGGAAAATCGGGCTGTTGTCGGGCGAGAGCAGCACCATGTCGTTGTCATGGCTCGCCGACGTTGCTGTCGACGGCAGCGGCCACTGGATCCATATTTTGTTGCAGATGGTGAGCTGGTAGCCGCGGAAGAACCGGTCTTTCGAGTTGGTGCGCACAAACAGCATGAGGATGCAGCCTGCGATCGCGACACCCCAGAGAACGCGGAGCTGATCGTAAAAGACGCTCTGCTCACCCGCAAAGGTCTCGCCGACGATGACCATGCCAATGGACCAGCTGGAGATCATCAAGCCGTACATGGTGCCCATGTTGTAGACGCCGTACATGTCGGTGAGGAGGCAGATGATCATGGACGCGCTACCACCCGAGACGGCCCGAATGACATGGTTGACGTGCGTCAAGACGTCGCCATCCGTGAGGAAGCTGTCGTTGTTCAAGCCGATGCCGAGCGTGACGGCGTGGACAAGTACGAGGAGCCAGAGACACGTCTTCCGCGCGGCTGCGGGGTTGGCGTACAGAAGGCGAATGAGGACGTCTGACAGCATCGGGTACAAGAGACGGCTCATGGCGTTGATGACAAACGACATGAGCTGGAACATTCTGGCTTCGTCGTCCGATATGTCCAAGTACCACACCTGAAGGAGACTTTTCCTGTCCAGCATCATGCTCATCTCCGACATGATGAGGCCTGCGGTTGCGTTGGCGCCGTACGCCACGTAGAGCAGCAGAAAGTCCGTCGAGAGAATGCACTGCAATAGAGTCAGCGCTTTCACTTGCTCAAAGTACCGACGGTCCGTGCCTTCGAGATGGTGGGTCGTCGTCGTGTTGCTTGACCGGCGGACAATGTCATAGTTGACGAGCGTCATGCCGACGTTGAGGTACTCGTCTTGGATCTTGATCGGGCACGGCGCCTTCTCGACGGGAAGCGAATGCATGGTCTTGCCTTGGACGTGGAACGAGGGCGGCGGTGTGCGGAGCACCAAGCTGCTGAGAAAGAGGACGGGCACTGCCGTGGCGGCGTAGGCCCAGAAAACGTACGAGATCCCGCCGGAGAAGGGTGTCGGGACGATGTGGCGGAAGAAGGCTGAGAAGACGTCGCTCCCAATACTCCACCCAAAGCACGAGATACCAGTGATAACGCCGCGGATGTCGGGACACCACTTTTGCGCCGTCGCGGTCGAGCACAGCATCAAAAAGCCAAAGCCGATACCTGCTACCAGCGCCCTACGCACTCGTGCGATCGGTATCCGTCCTCGCTGGTGACGACGACGTACCCAAGATAAAGCACAGCCTCGCTCGCAACGTGCACGGCGATTTGCAGCAGCGCGCAGCCAACACCCATGCCGACGGTGCCCCAGGCCATGCCCCAGCGCGGCCCGCGGCGCTCCAGAGCCGGACCCGACACAGCGGCGGTGATACCCATGGCTGTACTCGCGACGTACAAGGCGTGAACGACCTCGTTGGCTGTCGCGCTGCCATGGAAGAGCAAGTCCAGTGGCTGTATCAACGCCGAGGCGATCGCGTACATGGAGCCGCTGATCACTTGGACGCAAAAGACAGCGAAGAAGAGGTGCCATCGGCGAAAGCGGATGGGACGCGAGGCCCAGAACTGACTGCGGCCGTATGGTAGCACAAAGAGGTAAGCTTCGGCAGCCTCTTCGGCCTGCGTCTTGGGCGGTACAATGATCGTCCAGTACGCGCCGCAGCCTTGCATGTCACGAGGATGAAGGGAAACTGCAGGTGTCATTGGGCGCCTTGGTCACAAACGAACCACTTGGCTGCGCATCACGTAAGGTGGCTGAATTCTGCCGTACCGGGTGCTGTCAGGGGTGCTGTGCAGTGCTCATGCACGACGAACGTCCTTTCTCTGAAGACTAAACGTAGCGAGCGGACGTACCATACGTTTCGTCGCCTCACGACGGCTACGTCGCATGTCTTTGCGTAGCAGCACTCGGTACGTCGCTCCACCGGGCGCTCGAACTAGGAACCGATTCCTCTATGATAGAGACATTATTGTCTGTTATGGCATTGACTCCGCTCGACTTTTAGCCCAAGCCAACGCATCGAGGCGGCGTGCGTGATGTATACATTCACGCAACGAGGTCTCTTGTGAAGAGCCAAATTGAAGTACTAGTACATCAAACAATCTGATTTAACTTCGACCTATTTGCTTGGCCGCATGTGCAATTTGACTTCGATGGTCGCATCTGCAACCAGCATCCACGAGCACATTGTTTGTTTATACCTTGCAAAGGCGACGATGCGAGCGACACAACAACGTCACCTACTACGTACAAGTGTCACCTACTACGTACAAGTGTCACCTACTACGTAGTGCCACAACCTTTGTCCACCACCGTTGCAAAAAGCACGGACGAAGCTTCCTCCGGCGCTCTGACCCGGACCTTCCCTCCTTTCTAGTCTCAATGTACGACACAACAGACAACGGTCCTAGGACACATTTTACGACGCGTGTCGACACAAACTACATACCGAGACGATCGTGTTCACGTATAGCTAGTCGCACACTCTTGATGACGTCAACCCAAGGCGTATCTTACACTCCCTCTGGCCGGGCACTCCAATTGCCATGGCCCATGCTCGGGGTTTTTGACAAATTGTGCCCAATTTGGGGGTCCGTTAACATTTTGTGCCCACTTTTGCAGAATGTGCCCAATCCAAAAATGTTGCTGACAAGAAGTGCCCAAACGGTCAAAGGCGCACCTATCTTGAGCACTTTCCAACTAAGCCAACCAAAATGACAAACATGCACCCTCATCACTCTGCAATTGCAGATGAGCGGACGATCTGAGGCGGATATCACATAAGTAAATTCATTTGCTGATTGATCGTCTTGTGCGAAATGTATTGAGGTTGTTCGACATCATTTAGTCTTGGTCACTGTTGATGTAGTCATCACTGTTGCGAACTCGTCGTCGTCAAGGAGCAATTGCAACGGCGGACCTTCGACAGGAAGCACTGGTCCAAGGGGGCTGCGCTCAGTTGGGATGGCAGGAGCGAGCTGGATGCAGCGGTGCGTACACTTGCTGCCTTTATGGCCCACGAGTTTGCACTTGCGGCAGCGGTAGACTTTAGCCGCGCAGCTTTTGCCGTTGCTAGCTATGCGAGCCGGTTGCATGCGGCCCGCTTTTGGTTGATGCACGGGCGCCTTGACAACGCGGTCGAGCTCCAAGCTCTCGCTCCGAGGAAGATTGACAACCGTTGAAGCATGAGCCTCGGCAGAGGCCGCCACCGTGTAGCGCATGCCGAAGGTCGCGGGCGCGCGATCGAGTTGTTCCGCCACGCGGAGGACCGCCAACAAGTGACGGCACAGCAGCTCCTTTTGGAGACGGTACGAGCAAGAGCACTGCAACGTTTCAACGCACACTGTGCGATAGCTATCGCGATTGCCCGGATGGCTGACGTAGTACGTTACGCCATCATCTACCATCCAATCTTGATCGCCATGTTCCATGAAAGTGAATTAATGTCTTACTGTTTTTCTTGCATTCGAAAACAGCCGAGGCGTCGAGCTCTCGTCGGTCCCCCGCACAGGGATGCCATGACGTTGCTGCAGGTTGTTGTGTCTGGTTTGGTCAAGCCATGCCAGGCCGATGCAAGCGTGTATCGCTGGAGAGTTATGACTCCAGGAAGCTAGTAGCCCAGAGTCTGTGTAGTCTGTGCGTGCGTGGTGTAGATAGGATATGACGAGGTGCCATGTACGGATGATGTCTGGTAGCGACCCTATACGGTAGTGACCCCAGTTGGAGCCTCTTGGCGACGGTCTCATCCTGCACAGCCTATCTTTCTATCCGCGGCGCAGGCTTCCATAGTCCCACTTCTCAATACCTCTCGATCTGCCTTCGTGGCGTAACGCAATACAACGGCCTGCTTCCTGGGAGATGGCTCTCCCCTCGCTGCGTTGTCTGCGTTGCACCGTGGAAGCCACCACAAGGTCGAGCATCGAGAACGCGATGAATGCCCGACAGAAGCAATAGTCCTTGTCGAGCTCAAGGTCGACGAGGCTCTCGAGGTTCGCCGCCTTGAAAAAATCGGTCGGATTGTTTAGGTCCGGGAGCGCTGGGATGTAGCCGTACGAAACAAGATGTTTGCCACAGTAAATCATGTGCAGGCGTCCTTCGAGATCCGGGATCGTTGCCGCCTAACCACCAGTAAGATGACGAAGATAGACACTTGACAGCTAACGTTACCTTGAGTTGGGCAGCCATAGCATGGGAATGCTAGAGCACGAACGCCTCGAAGGCGTGAATTTTTAGCGATGTCGTTCACCGTGTACTTGGCCACTGGTGTGCACATGTCGGAGTCGTCTAGCTAGTTTCACATCTGCGCAAAGTTTTAATTACTCGTCAGTGTAGAATCAATAAAATACCCTTGACTAGATGCGGTCGTCCTGAGGCGGCGTTCGACCGGATCAACGACACATTGACGAAGAAGTCGCACGGCGTCGCGCTGCTGCAGCGCAGGAAAATTTGCTGCCGCCACGTTTCCCGCCAGGTTTAACGGAATCTACAATGTTGAACTGGTACAAATATAACGTGGAGATCAAAGGGGCAACCTACGCTGCTTGCACGACTTCCCTTTTTGGAGGAGCCCCCCGGTGACATGATCCGTCAGGCCCTTTCGGGACGACCCGAAAACGTCGCCGACACAAGGTTCCCGTAAGAAGCCCGTTCCAGGAATGACTCTCGGCTTATCCATCGTTTCGTTCACGGAAGCAGTGAGGTCTATCTTAGCGTGTTGGACGACTGTATGCATAGAATGTCATTACCTTCACTGCGAGCCTTCTTTTGTTTCTTGTTCTTGCTCGGCACGGTAGATTCGGTAGCAGACGTGGCCGCCTCCTCATGATGCAGCGCATCGTTGCCGGCGAACACTCGCAGCAGCTCGTCGAAACTCACAGGCACAACACCGGAAGGCGCGACATCGGCGGGCGCGTCCGACCCGACGGTGAAGACGATGCCACCGTCCTAGGCATTGCCAATGCCTAGGACGGTATTTATGCCATGGGCAGTGATACCAATGCCGCATTGGTATCACTGCCCATGGCATAAATACTGCTGTGCTAAAACATGTGCGATCCACTCCAGATTGTTGTTGCTTCCGCTCATCTGCAATTGCAAAGTGATGAGGGTGCATGTTTGTCATTTTGGTTGGCTTAGTTGGAAAGTGCTCAAGATAGGTGCGCCTTTGACCGTTTGGGCACTTCTTGTCAGCAACATTTTTGGATTGGGCACATTCTGCAAAAGTGGGCACAAAATGTTAACGGACCCCCAAATTGGGCGCAATTTGTCAAAAACCCCCATGCTCGACCACACGAGCCAAGGGAACAAATAACACAGCTTGAGGACAATAAGAAATGATATATCCGGTTGAAGTCACGTGGCACATTGCGCTGCGGCGAACGGTGGTTCTGTCCATTTCGATCAAATCTTTACAAAATGTGAAAACCGGTAGCTATTGGTATAGTAAAAATGTGGCCGATTTGGAAATTCACACGTTGCACCGGCGCGTTTGCATGCAGCCACGTCATGTCATGAAAAGGGCAACCTCTTTCTAGATTCTTTGTTGCTATAAGATACTTCATTCGTTTATTTAGACAGTCTGCACTCTTGCCGTAGACCGATGCGGCGCGTCCATTTCAGATTCGGAGCTCCACATAAAGGACGACCCCGCGTCTGGCGACAGCAAGACCATGTCGTGGTAGTCGTCGTCGTCGTCGCGCTGAAGTATGTGGATCGACGTCACTAGAATCGGCCACTGGATCCAGACCTTGTTCCAGATCGTGAGCTGGTAGCCGCGGTAGAACCGGTCCTTCGAGTTGGTGCGCACAAAAATCATAAAGACGCTACCAGCGATCGCCAAGACCCAGAGCGCGTCGAGCTGGCGCAAGAACACGTGCTTCTCGCCCGCAAACGACATACCGACGATGACCATGCCGATGGACCAGCTCGTAATGATCAAGCCGTACATCGTCCCGACGTTGTAGACACCGTACATGTCGGTGAGGAGGCAGATGATCGTCGACGCGCCGCCGCCCGTCGCAAACCGAAGCACATAGTTGGTGTGCGAGAAAACGTAAAAGTCCGACTCGAGCTGCGGACTGTTCAAGCCAACGCCGAGCGCGATCGCTTGGGCGAGCACGAGAAGCCAGAAACACACCTTGCGCGCGGCGGCGGGGTTGGCATACAGAACGCGAATGAGGACGTCCGAGACCATTGGGTACAGAAGGCGGCCAACCCAGTTGATGAGAAGGCCCGTGATAAGGAATGTTCTCGCCTCGTGGTCCGAGAGAGCGGGGTACCACGACTTGAGGTTGCCGACTTCGTCGCCGGGGATACGCAGCTCAATCGTGATGAGGCCCGCGGTCGCTGTCGCGCCAAAGGCGACGTACAAGAGCACAAAGTCGGTCGAGAAGATGCACTGGAGCAGCGAGAGCGCTTTCACTTGTTCATAGTACCGCCGGTCCGTGCCCTCGAGGAGCTGGTCGTTCCCGGATGTTGTGTTGCTTGACCGCCGCACAATGTCATAGTTGACGAGCGTCATGCCGACGTTGAGAAACTCGTCTTGGATCTTGGTCGGACTGGGCGCCGACGCGGCAGGAATCGAGTGCATCGTCTTGCCGTGGACCTGGAACGAGGGTGGCGGGGTCCGGAGCACCAAGGCAGCCAACACCAAGATCGGTAGCACGATGGCCAAGTAGAACCAAATGACAAACGAGAGCCCGTCGGCGGACGATGCGACGACGCGACGAAAGAAGATATCAAAGACAGCGCCGCCAATGCCCCACGCAAAGCAGTTGAGGCCCGTGACGACGCCGCGAATGTCGGGACACCACTTTTGCGCCGTCGCGGTCGAGCACAGCATGACAATCCCAAAGCCAGCCCCGGCGAAGAGCGCCCTAAAGAGTCGTATTTACACATGAGAACATGGTCAGTGGAGTCTGCGTTGTACTACCCCGCATAGAGGATCGCGCGGCTCGTGGCGAGAATTGCGATCTGAAGCAGTGCGCAGCCGAGACCGACACCGCAGGCGCCCAAGGTAATGCCCCAGCGAGGTCCGCGGCGCTCGAGCGCGGGGCCGGACAGGGCAGCGGCGAGGCCCATCGCCGTGCAAGCGACGTAGAGGGCGTGTACGACCTTGTTGGCTGTCGCGCTGCCGTAAAAGTGCAAGTCCAGTGCCGGAGCCAAGCCTGTTGTGACCGCATACATGGAGCCACTGACTACTTGGACGCAAAAGACGGCGAAGAAGAGGTGCCATCGGCGAAACCGGATGGGACGCGAGGTCCAGTAGACGTCGGTACCGCGCGGTAGAACCAAGAGGTAGACCTCGGCTGCCTCCTCGGCCGGCGACTTGGGCGGCACGATGATCGTCCAGTATGCGCACCCGCCTCGCATCGTTCTCGAGGGTGCGAGGTCGATTGTAAACTGCCACGAAAGTGGTCGGTGCACTTGAGCTTGAATTCGCGTAGCCAAGCTAATTTTTACAAGAAATACACCATCGGATTGGTGGTTGCATCTGGATTATATTGATATAAGGGAATTCGGCACCGGATGTTTCGCGACGATCCAAACCAGCGTTGGCGGCGACGGCACTCGGTGGTGATCACACCATGGCTCATTGCGAGCGAGCTTTATATACTCAAATCAGTGGAATCAGTGGTGTGCGTGTCCTTCGGCCAAGGATTCATCATCTACTCTGCTAAACATCGCGGACCTCATCTATCAGCCGCCGCAAGACGCACGATTGCAAAGCGACGCATCGTCCACTGATAGCTCGCTGTGACAAACTGGATCAGGCTCTGAATCACCTCTGTTCGAAGCACGGCTACACAAAAGTGGCTACACAATGGGGGAACTCGAGTACTCGAGCGAAGTGACGGTGCTTCGCAGTCTGTCTTGCCAATGGCATCGGTGCAGCCGCCCCTATCAGGTGAGCGGCTTTGGCAATAGCACCGAATGCCCATGCTCGGTCCTCACTTGCTCTTGAACCAAGTTGATACCCGGTGCACACTTTGAGCTCCATTCTTGCTGGTACTACTAGCAGCTCTACAAGCGAAGTGTGAAAATACCACTTGTTTTGATGGGGTACAATAATGTAGCTCCACTGCAAGAAACATCAACGCGAATGATCACGTCAATGAGTCGCTCAACTGGTGCGGAGAGCTTTTAGGTAAGACACAAGCGTGTGAAGGACTTCAATGAAAATGGCGCGTCCACCATGTCATACACACGACGAAGCCTGCTACAACCATCGTGATAAGATACAAGGAAATCGTATACTTCTGTCGGTAGTATCATCGCAGTACGTGCACAAACCCATTTATGTATCATCAGTCATTAGCGCAGAAGACAGAGACATGCTTGGGCCAGGGTTCACCCCTTCACTCGATTGGGCGGGCTTGGACTCGATATAAAGTATGAGCGATTCAAGCCATCAAGAGGCGAAATCAACCCAACCAGTCGAGAGTGCCACCATGGTCATCTCAAGCGATTGTTCCCAGAACACGCTTCCGCCCTCAACAGCCAATCACACACGCCGAATGCGCCTGTCTGCGCCTGTCCCGCATTAAAACCTATAAAACGCCAATAAAACGCCATGTTGAATAAACGCGAAATGGATAAAACTCAACTCAAATCACGAGTCGTCGCCGCTCCCTTGGCATGCAACAAGATCATCGCACCATAAAGCTCTGCGGTAGCTTCACCGCAAGAAAATGGATTCCTCGATTCTCCACTGGTCGATGTCTACTTTACTTTACAGCACACAATACGTCGCACACGCCTCTCCAGGCGCTTGCTTCCACCATTTTGCCCGGATCTCCATTCTTAAAGTAAACTCAATATGCAATTTTGAGTGTCCTGGATTGTCGTGGCGTTTCCGCACTGCGATATTTGCGAAATGGGCGTCCAACGAGTCTGGACCTTCTTGCTGCTGCTGGTGTCGCTGGCCGTCGCCGACCTGCGCCTGCAGACGTCAATCCCGTTCGAGGCAGACGCTTCGCCTGCCGAGGTCGCGGCCAACCGCATGGACTTTCTGGTCATCGTCGGAGACGTGTCGACGTCCATGGCGCGCGTCCTCTACGAGCCATTGGTGTATGGCGCGACCATTGACGTCATCCTCGAAGCCGCGACGGCGGACGGCAGCTTTGAGCACGTCTACGCGCAGTCGCATGCGCACACCCAGCCAATGCCGTACGTCATGACCTTCACCGCCTTAGTGCCGCAGCGCCAGCACCGTGTTCGCTTCGTCTTGGACGGCCATGGCGTGGCCGAGGCGTTCTTCCGCACAGCGCCGACGGCGTCCGATGCCACAGATGTCCGCGTGCTCTCGGTGTCGTGCGACCGCTTTAGCGAGGACGCCGATGACACGCACTGGTCGACGCTCGCCGCCGACATCGCCGACGACGACTCGTACTTTGGCATGGTGCACACGGGCGACCAGATCTACGCCGACCAGCTCGTGAAGCTCGCGGTCGCGCAGATCCACGCCGCCTCGGCGCTGAGCTTTGAAGAGACGCTCTCGGCCTTCCGCACCTTGTACCGGCGCTGCTTTGGCCGGCCGATGCTGCAGTATGTGCTCCGGCGGGGCGCGCACTGGATGTTGATTGACGACCACGACATCATCAACAACTGGAGCTACGCCAACCTCGAGTCGCCGCAGCACGAAGTGCTCGTCCGCGCCGGTCTCCAAGCCTTTTACGAGTACCAGTTCCAGCTGCTGCACGACGTCGATTGGTCCTCGATGGACTTTGCCCATACGCACAACTGGTCGTCCTTGTACATGCCTGGCCACGCACTGCGCCGGGTCGGCAACCTCTCGCTCCTGCTGGTCGATACGCGCCTCGACCGCGGGCTCCAAACCTCGGTACGTGCGATAAGGTCTGTGCAGACATCGTCATGGACCATGTGCTCGGTAGGCTGCGGCGCCGACACTGATGAGCGACGACCAGCTCCGGTTTGTCCAAGAGACGCTGGATGCCAAGTTGAATGGCGAGCACTTGGTGCTCTTCACGCCGCTCCCTCTCTTCTTTCACACCAAGTACTCGGCGGCCTTTGCCGATGCGGTCGACGGCGAGATGTACCCGGGTCTGGATGTCTACCGGCCCTTCTTTCGGCAGCTCTGGCCGCACTTGGCGCACGCTTCGCTGCTCGTGGGCGGCGACTTGCACATGACGGCCGACACGACCGTGTGCGGCCACGTCGGCTCGGGCAACTGGAGTTGTCTCCCGCAGCTCATTACGAGCGGCATGACGGAAGCCTCGACGACGATGCACGAGCTCAAGATCATCTCGTTCCACTTGGCCATCACGCAACTGCTGCAGCCGTTCCATTGGCTCTACGCGGCGATCGCTCCGCGCACGCGCACCGAGTTTGCCATGCTGAGCAAGCACGTCTACTATGGCAAAAACTATGGCTACGTCCATCTCGCGAGCAACCACACCTTGTCGTACGGCGCTGTGGCCCAGCCCTACGCGACCGGCGGCGCGACGCTCGTGCAGGTATGCATCGACTTGTCTCTCCTCAGAGCGATGAAATCGCATTTGCGTAGATGGTCTCGGATACGATGTCGTGGGCCATCGACAACGCCGCGCTCTCGACCGCGCTCGGCCTCGCGTCGTACGTCGCCTACGCTCGACTGCGGTCGCACAGCGCATAGGACCAACTCGATGAGGTTTCGCATTCTAGCATGGCGCCATAATGCTCGTAGTAGATTCAAAGCAATAACGTATTCGTCCATGTATTACCGGTGCATCCTTCAGTCTCTGAACAAGATGCTCAAGGAGAGACGTATCCGACCGGTGCTGATACTGATGATTCGCAGCGTACATGCGTCCTCATACAGCGGCGTTCCTCAAAGGCCTCTAGCTGGTCACGTTGGCATGAAAGGCGTTGTTAGTGACGACCAAGCGTCCACTGCCGCGCCGAAGGGCTACCGATTTCGGCAAAAACCAGCCGCTAAACCTTCTCGGTCGGATCTGGGATCTGGAAATAATGCGCCGGTGCAGAGCAGGCTGGGTGCAGAGAGAAATCGTTTGTGGCCCAGTCGCCTATGAACCACTCGTACATCGATTCACACTCAAAGCAATGCCCTGGTACGTTGCTTCAGGCGCAGTAGCCTGCGGCATCGTCTCGTCGAGACCACTCGAGCATGACGACATCATTGAGAATTCCTCACGGAACGGTCCGCCTGTCGCAGTTTCAGCGGCCGTTGGGCTTTCCGTCGCCACAATTCATTTGCTCAATGCAAACCAGAGGCTTTGACGTGGCGTCGACTCCGGCGCGCCAGGCGTACCAGCTCCTCACGGGCGCCGTCGTGCCGCGCCCCATTGCGTGGGTATGCGCTCCATCTCTCAACGAGTATCGAGTTGATAGTTTTCGTAGATTAGCACCGTGAGCAAGGACGGCGTCACGAACCTCGCTCCTTTCTCGTTCTTCACGGTCGTGAGCTCGGACCCGCCAATTGTGTCGTACACGCAGATCTTCCCGACGCCGGGCACCGACAAAGACACGCTGACGAACCTCCGCGCGACGAACGAGTGCGTCATCAACTTTGTGACGACCGAGCTCGGCGACCTCATGAACGCGACGTCCAAAAACTACGCGCACGGCGAAAGCGAGATCGACGCGCTCCAGATCCCAACGATTCGCAGCCAGCGCGTGGATGTGCCGGGTGTGGCGGCGTCGCCGATCCGAATGGAGTGCTCGCTGCGGGACGTCCTCGCGATCGGCAACGGCAAAGTCGTGCTCCTCAACGTAGTGCACTTTGAGATTGCCGAGGCGGCGCTCACAGACAGCGGCCAAATCGACAGCAACGTCTTCGCGTCGCTCGGCCGCATGAGCCGCAACGACTACGTCGCCACATCCAACCTCTTTGAGATCGCGCGGCCAACGTCCTAAGTTGGAGTACAAGAAGAAGATGCGATCGCGTCCATCTCGTGTCTGTTCGTACCGCGACCGACTACTGGTACTAGCTATGGTTGGACCTCACCGACTTGTCCGCAACGATGCGTGTGGCCATCGATACCACCACCCACGAACCACGTTGACGACGAGCGCGAGCAATTGACGACGCACTGGATCTACCCAGGCGCCAGTGTGTTGCAACCCCATGCTAGCTGGTAAGTCATGATACCGATCGTCGCAGTCGGTGTACGCACGGTGGTACGTGCCGCCAAGGTGCCGTGCCACGTCACCACCTGTCGGCGCCTGACCTTATTGCTGGTGCAATAAGCAGGACCATCGGGCACATATGTGCGTATACTTGTGGCCTTGAGGCAGTCACTGCAGCTGCACGCAAGGTCCTTGCAAGCGGTCGGAGTGCATCCGCAACGAGGCGTCGTGCCATCGACTGTTGCGTGCAGCATGGTGCCAGCTGGCGATCTCTGGCGATCCTGACATCTTTGGCCACATTGCCGGACTGCCGACCACATATACAAATACCAAGTTAGCAAAAATAGCCGGAGGTTTCAGATAGGACATTTGCCTCAAATTAGGGTAGGTCGGCCCTTCGATCTGCAGTCGCCATTCCTGCACGATGACCGAGGCTCCAGCGGCCGTCGCGCCACCGCGGCAGCTCGGACTGCAGCTCAGCCTTGTCATCCTTGTCTTCGTCGTACAGTTCTTCGTGCTGCAGTACTGGTTCGCGTCGACGCCCAATGACCCCCAGACGCTGCGCGAAGAGATGCTCGAGAGCGTCAAGGCGACGCACGAGCCGTTCGTGCGCGCGGCTGTGCTCTACTTGCCGTCCGAGAAGGCGTTCCTGCCGCAGCTGCGCTGGTTCCATGAGAGCTGGCGCGAGATGCAGAAGCACGAGCCATCGCTGTGGCGCACCGACATGGTCGTCTTCACCGACTCGCTGCTGCCCGAGCTCGGCGCACTCGGCTGCGCGTCGACGCCCGCGCATCAAGCAGCGAGCCCAACAAGTGCGTCGTCATCACGAGCGGCTTCCATGCGGCGCCCGTGCCCGGGTATGCGCTCGGCGCGTCCGTCGGCGTCGCCGGCGAGGCGCATCCGTGGGTGCATGTCTACGACTACCTTCTGCGCACCGACCTCGATACGTTTCTCACGCCGGCGTTCGCGTCGTGGAAGCCACACGGACTGACTGTGGGCTTTGGCGAGTATGCGTTCGAAGGCTACAACACGAGCGCGCGGCTCGCACGCATCGCGACGGACCTCGGGTATGCCCCCGTGCATGTCACCAACGTCGGCTCGAGCTGGTACGGACCCCGTGCAAAAGTGCAAGCGTGCGCGCGTCTCGCGGTGCAGACTATGGTGTACCTGCACGAACGCGAGTTCAGCGACGTGGAGAAAAGCGCTGCGTACGGCGAGCAAGGCTGGCCCGAGTGGCACCACGGCGCCATCAACTTGTACGCGAGCCACCTCGCGATCAACGAATGCACGGCGGCCGACGACATGAAGGGCGGCAGCAGCTACGCGTTGGTGCGTCAGGACATGCTCGACGTCCCCACGACGTCGCAAGGCTCGCCGTTCAAGCACGCGCATCTGCGCACGCCGTGGCGCGACGATCGCGAGGCGCCGACCTTTTCCAAGTTTGCCTTTGGCCGCGGCGAGTACGATGCGAGCCATGCAGACCAGCTCTCGCTCAGCCGCATCGGAGACTACGCGCTGCGCATGGCGCTCCGAGCCGGTGCGGCCAATGCCACGACGACGACGACCGACGCCATCCGTGTCCGCGCCGTCGTCGTCTTCCTCCCGGCGCCGACGTCGGCGACGCTCCGCATGGAGTTTCGGACGCTGCACCGCAGCTGGCTGCACATCCAGACGCACGAGGCCGACGCGATGCGCACCGACTTACTTGTGTACACGACCGACAACGACGACGACGGCTTTCTCCACGGCCTTGGCTGCACGACCGCCCATACGCGATCGGATCCGGCCCGCTCGAGCGCCTGCGTGCGCTACGGCAACGTCGTGCCGCAGCGGTCGTCCACGTTCAACGTCGATATGGATCATATCCACGTGCTCTCGTTGGTGCCGTCGGTGTACGACTACATTCTCAAGGTGACGCCGGATGCGATTTTGGCGCCCGGGCTCCACGCGTGGACGCCCGACTCGCTCGTGACGGCGTCAACCATCTACGCGCTGGACAGCGTCGACACGAGCAGTCGGTTGGAGCGGATCGCGACAAACCTCGGCCTCGCCACCGGCAGCAAGCGCAACAACAACTTTGGCGCGACGTGGTACGGGCCCGCCGTCGTGGTGCGCACTTGCGCAGCGCTCGCGATGCGCGTGGCCAAGCACCTGGTGACCCACGAGTTTACGGACGAGGAAAAGAGCGACGCGTACGGGAGTCGTGGCTGGCCGCGCTGGCACTTTGGCGTGCTCGAGTTGTACGCGAGTGACATTGCGATCCACGACTGCGCACCGAACGTCGTCCAGCGACCCGACCTTTTGGAAGCGCCGGCGACGTCGCACGATGCACCGTCCACGCACGCGGTCTTGCGCACGCACGAACACGACGGGGTCTTCAACAAGAAGGCGTTTGCGGCCGGCGATTACGCCTCGGCATCGGTATCGCCCGACAACATCGCTACCAACACGAGCGCCTACGCTCTCTTCATGGCGCTGGACGCGCACAAGGACGCGCTGCCATCGCCAACGCCGTCCTTGACGCGCGTCGACGATGGCACGTTTGTACGCGCGGCGGTCACGTACCTGCCGCCAAAGACGCCCAAGTTTGTGCGGGAGCTGCGCTGGTTCCGCCGGAGCTGGCAGGCCATGGCCGAGCACGAGCCTGCGGGGTGGCGCACCGACATTGTCATCTACACGAAAGCGATGACGGCCGTCTTGCGCAGCCTCAACTGCTCGACCGCGCCGCGCATGAATCGGCATGAACCCAACAAGTGCATCGTTATCACCAACTACACACCGCTGCGCACCAAGGCCTTCAACTATGGCTACGGCGACTCGCTCAACGTCGTGGCCATGGACAACGCGGTCATGGACGCCTACGACTACATGTTGCGCACGGACCTCGACACGTTTGTGACGCCAGCGTTTGCCACGTGGAAGCCGAAGGAGCTCATTGTCGGCCAAGGCGCGTATACGTTCGACGGCACGACGACGTCGGCGCGGCTTGAAAGCATCATCCAAAAGCTCAACTACTCGGCGTCAACGATCCACAATGTCGGGTCGACGTGGTATGGGCCAGCCCATGTCGTCCGGCGCTGCGCCAAGCTCACGGTGAAAACGATGCTGTACTTGCACGAATCCGAATTCACCGCCGAAGAGAAGAGCGACGCGTACGGCATCAAGGGGTGGCCCAACTGGCACTGGGGCGTGCTCACCTTGTATGCCGGCCACATCGCCATCAACCACTGTGCGAATGACGTGGGCGTCATCAAGCGCGACGACATGCTGGACTTTCCGACCACGTCGTCCGAGTCGCCGCACCAGCACGCGCATCTGCACACGTGGCAAAACAGCGAACGCTTTAGCAAATTCTCGTTTGCCGAAGGCAAGTACGCGAGCGAAGACATGACCAAGTTGCGCTTCAACGACGTGATCGCCGACTACGCCATGTACATGGCCCTGGACGCGCACAAGGCCCCTGGGCTGCTGCCGGGCGGAAGCGCTGGCAAGGCCACCGACCCGCCGCGCGATATCGACAAGAGCTTTGTCCGCGCCGTCGTCGTGCACTTGCCGCCCTTGACGCTGAGCCTCGCGACCGAGTTTCAAACGTTCCACCGCAGTTGGCAGTACATTGTCGGCCGGCAGCCATCGCAGTGGCGCACCGATTTGATTGTGTACACGGCGTCGGCGCCAGACTTCCTCTCGAGCCTCAACTGCTCGGCCGACTGGCATCGCAACTCGAGCGACAGCGTCGATGCGTGCATCGTTGTCGACGGCCACAAGGACCTCCGCTCCAAGGCCTTTCCCGTCGACGTCGACAGCTTCCAAGCGCTCGCGGCAACGACCAACCCTCTCTACGAATGGCTCTTCAAGTCGACCAGTGATGGCATTTTGGCGCCAGGCTTTGCGGCGTGGAAGCCGGCCACCATGGTCATGTCCAGCGCCTACTACGCCCTCGCGAGCGCCGACACGACCGAGCGCCTCGAAACCATCGCGGCCAAGCGCAATCTCTCGCGGAGCGACCTCCTCGAAGTGGGCTTGACGTGGTACGGTCCGGCGTCGCTCCTTCGCAGCTGCGCGGCCACGGTCGTCGACGTCGCTGCGTACATGTACGAACACGAGTTTACAGACGAAGAGAAGAGTCCAGCGTATGGCTCTCGGGGCTGGCCGCGCTGGCACATTGGTGTCTTGGCCAACTACGCGGCCGACATTGCGATCAACCACTGCACGATGGATGCCGGGATCGAAGGGCGCCCCGAAATGCTCGAAGTCGCCTCGTCCGAAAGCGATGCGCCGTCGGGCCATGCACATCTGCACACGTGGCACAACACGGAGCTCTTCAATAAGAACGCGTTTTTCGCCGGCGACTATAAGAGCGTCGACGCCTCCTCGCTCTCGATCGATACCAACACGAGTGCGTACGCCTTGTTCATTGCGCTGGAGGCGCAAGCGCTCTCGGTGGCGGCATCGACCATCGACCCGGCGTCCATCACATCGACCATGACGCGCGCCGCCGTCGTCTACATGCCGTCCGAGATCCAAGGCCGGTTCGTCCGCCAACTGCGCTGGTTTCTTCGCAGCTGGCAGGCCATGGCCGAGTTTGAGCCGGCCAAGTGGCGCACCGACATTCTCGTCTTCACGGACAAGCACCTACCGGTGTACGACGAGCTCAACTGCACGTCAAGAGTGCGCAGCTCGCCGGCCGAGCCGAACGCGTGCATCATCATGGCCTCGTACACAAGCGTCAAAAGCGACGCGTTCAAGTACAGTTTCGCCGACTCGGTCAACGTCGTTGCCGTCGAGTCGCCCGCGCTCGACCCGTACGACTACCTCCTTCGAACTGACATCGACACGTTCTTGACGCCGGCGTTTGCGACGTGGCAACCGTCCAAGCTCATTGTCGGCCAAGGCTCGTACCTTGGCTCAACGACGTCGGCGCGCCTCGAAGAGATCGCAGCCGAGCTCAAGTGGGCGAAGCCGACTGTTGGCAACATTGGCTCGACGTGGTACGGCCCGGCCAAGACGGTGCGGCACTGTGGCAAACGCGCAATGGAAGCCATGTACTACATGCACGAGCACTCGTTCACAGACCTCGAGAAGAGCCCCGAGTATGGCGACCAAGGCTGGCCGCGCTGGCACTATGGCGTCTTGAGCATGTACGGCGGCGAGCTCGCAATCAACGACTGCGCATCCGACATTGGGTTCGAGAAGCGGCCGGATATGCTCGACTTCCCAACGACGTCGTCCGAGTCGCCGTTCAAACACGCGCATCTCCATACGTGGCTCGACTACGACCGCTTCAGCAAGCTCGCCTTCGAACAGGGCCAGTACGCGGGCGAGACCACCGACGGGCTTCTTTACCTCGAGCACATCAGCGACTACGCCATGTACATGGCGCTGGACGCCCACAAAGCACCGGGGCTCATGCCGACGCCCGCGCCGTAGTTGCAACACCATTTAACTATAATAAGCTGGCCAAGACTGACGCATGCATAGTGTCGTCATTCTGTGCAGGGCGATAGTCTTGGTTTTGGCAACATGTTTCTTCCTTAGTTTTGGCTTGGTCATGGTAAAAGGACGCGTTGGGTGGCAGCTTGTACCGACTACGACGGAGCTAAACAAGGTATTCTGCTTTTGTGCGGGACTCTGTGGAGGATGTCGGTGCACATTGGATCGAGATGGCCTTGGCAAAAGCGGCTCCACTGCCACCTGCATCGTTCGAAACAGTGTCTATTGGAGACACTGGTTCAACTCGGATCCTGTCTGAAACAGTGTTTAATGAAGACACTGGTTCAAGCAGGTTTTAGGATATTATGTTGTAGAGTTTTTCCGTCTGCATCAACATTAAACTAAAGAGGTTTTCCGCCGAAGCCCAAGATTGCCATTGTCAGATTTTGGAATTCGCAACGAAGATGGCGCAGGTGGTGGTGATTCCCGTGCTCTCGGACAACTATGCGTACTTGCTCGTGGACGAAGCGACGAAAACGGCGGCCGCCGTCGACCCTGTCGAGCCGCATAAGGTGCTGGACGCGGCCAAGGCCCTCAACGTCCATCTCACACACGTGCTCACGACGCACTCGCACTTCGACCACGACGGTGGCAACGAAGAGATGCTGCAATTGCTGCCGCATTTGACGATCGTCGGCGGCAAGAACGACCGTGCGAGCGCCGTCACGCACGAAGTCGACCACAACGACGTAGTGCGCATTGGCGCGCTCGAGGTACTTTCTTCATGGATCCAACTGCTAGTTCCAGTGCGATGTAGGTCCGCGTGCTCTACACACCGTGCCACACGCCCGGCCACGTGCTCTACTTGTGCGAAAGCAACCTCTTTACAGGCGACACGCTCTTCATCGCGGGCTGCGGCCGCTTCAACGGTACGCGACGCCCATTGCTGGAACGAGTCGATGGGATCGCGTGGCGTAGGCGGCACGCCGGCGCAGATGCACCATGCGCTCAACACGGTGGTCGCGCAGCTGCCGCTCGATACCAAGGTCTACTGCGGACACGAGTACACGACCAACAACCTCGCGTTTGCGGCCGCCGTCGAGCCTGCGAACAAGGCCATTGCTGCCAAGCAAGCTGGGCATCGGCGCAGACTATCACGGTGCCGTCGACAATTGCGTCCGAGCTCGAAACCAACCCATTCTTGCGCGTGACGGTGCCCGCTGTGCAGGCATACACACAGGTGTCGGACCCCGTGGATGTCATGGGCCGTCTCCGCGAGCTCAAGAACTCATTTGGCAACGGTGCTGGTCCACGCAAGTAGCTGCCTTTGTAACTCTGCATATACTCGGCTCAAATGTGTAAAGAGCTATTATACCTTTGGTGCAGCGGGTGGTCGTCCCCACTGGTTCGCCTGGACGCATGGAGGCCAGCAGTGCAGTGCGGAATACTGTAGTATCATTTAAAGGGTTTAGGGTTATGCGTCGGCGACTATAGACGAGCCGTCTTGGGGCTCTCCCGGGGCCGCCGTGGGGACGTTGAGTCAAGGTACTCGCACTTGGACACAAACTTGAGTGGCGCCTCAGTTTCCGTGAGGTTGGGCAGCCGCACGGTTTCGATCGCTTGGGCCTACACACCGCATCCATGCATCAACCATACAATGATATGTCGTCTTACCGTCATGAAGCGGCGTGCCATAACAGATTTCTTCGTCTTGCGTCCCGGGCTCGGCTTGTGTGGGGTCAAGGGGTGGTCGCCGCCCTAACAACGGCATTGATTCGACATCCACACGATCTCGATTGCGTCTACGGCCATAAATCGATTGTACTGCAAGACGATCCCGATACTGCGCTGGGTCTTGCTTCGCGCTTCCAGATGTGTCTCGAGCGCCTCTTTCCACGGCGTACCGGGGTCCAATAGCATGGGTTCTGCTTCGGGTGTTGCGGTTTGCTTGGACGGCGACGTGCGGCCGTGCACAAGGTCGTACTTGATCTGTTTCTCCGCGACAGACGCCTGCTGGGCCGCCACAAGCTGCTGCTCGACGGCCATGCGTTCCTTGTAGTGCATTTTCCTACGGCAAAAGTGATATACGTTAATATACAGGTGGACAATGCAGGGCGTACTGAAACAATTTTTCGTAAAATTTGACCTTGCGGGACAAAGTTTCGGTCATTTCCGAGAGAATCTAGTCCCGAGCAGACGTGTCAATAGAAATAGAGAGGCGAGGAAGGACGTACATCCGTGTTGTTGCGTTGCTCTTGCTTTTCCCGCAAGAGGGCGTCGGTCTGCTTGACGAGCTTTTCAATCTTGGACGATTGGTACCGGAGCTCGAGCGTGAGTCGCTCGTTCTCTTCGACGGCTCGGCGCGTTGTGCCATCGAGGCTACACACATGGGGTGATATCGAGTAGTAGGTCGATAGCACAAAGCAATGTCTACCTCTCGGTCATCATCTTGTGCATGTCGTTGCGCGTACGAAGGACTTCATCTTCCTGTTGCTTGCGCATGCGCTGGATGTCGGTAATGTTCTTCTTCTCGAGCTCCGTCATTTGGCTCAAAAGTTGTTGCTGGAGGTCGTTGCGCTCGCGACCAAGTCGGTCAATGTCCGACTGCATGCCATCCTTTACAGCCTTGAACGACCGCATTTCGTCAAGGAGCTCGTCCGCTTCCTTGTACTTGGCAAAGTACAAGTCGCGATCTTGCGTCATGACGTCGAGCTTTTCTTGCATCGCCCGAATCGCGCCGTTTGTCTGCTGCTGCACCTCGGTCTCCAGTCTACGAAAACATTCGACCAATCGGCAACGTGGATGAGACTACATGGCTAGCTTCTCTTGGAGCTCGTCAATACGCTTCATCTTGAAGAGAATGACGCGCTCGCGGTCTTCAATGCCCGCCTCGAGCGCGGTCTGGAGCTCCTTGATGCGCCCATGGAGCTGCTTGTTTTCGACTTGGAGCCGACCAAGCTCAACCACTTGCTGCTCGAGCTCATACTGCACCTTCTGGTCCTTGAGCGCACGCTGGGCTGCGATGCGGAAGGACTCGATACCATCCTTCTCGATGGGGTTGCCCGACGCCGACATTGCACTTGATGACCACGTCTATTTTTAGACACCTGATTTGATGGGCATCGCACCTGAAATAGTGTGGTGCAGGTATTACGGCCCGTAGGCGATACTACGGGTACAGTGTTGCAGCGATTCCAGACGCGAAGGCTTGGGCCACACTGTCCATCCTGGTACATGTCCTGCGTACAAATATAGGGATGCATGCCCTGCGACTCGCAACAGTGTACGACCGGTACTCGTTTGCTCCGGCGCTGCGCTGCCCACTTTACCCCATACACTATTTCGAGTGCGCATGCAAGAGTAGGATCGTCATGTACTGTAGATAGGATGCGACGACTTGGCCGATGACACCAATCACGCTCGAGATGCATCAAGCGTGCTGCGCTGGACGGCCCACTTCTTGGAAGCTCGGCGAACGCATCGTTCTTCCGCCGGCCTTCTCTCACCGGCAAACCGCTGGGACATTATTCTTTTCCACCAATCACACGCACGCTCGCCGGCTCGATTTGGTTGGCAGCGGGCCTCGTCATCACGTCGTCCTCGCCTGCTCGCCGTCGATCGTCGAGCTGCTGCTAATCACGACGATTATGAGCGCGCTGTCGACAGCCCATAATCGGAGCGATTGCGGTGCGTGGTACTGTACTAACACCAGGCGAGCGAGAGTAGCCCACAAGCGACTTGAACGAAACGGCAACCCGCCCGTCCGTGCATGCAATGCAAGCTCACGAAGGTACTAGCCAGTCCCGCGTCGCGTCGGTGCAACGACATACAGTACTCTAGTATAAAATGTGCTCGGGTCGGATTTATTTTCGTCGCCGCGCCGCTTCGCGAGCCGCCGGATTTGAACTCGTGGCTGGCAAACCCTGCCGGCCACATAAAAATTCTCATCCTTTGACGTTATCTATAAAACAACATACAAACACCAAGTGTACAAATAGAAACCAATAATAATATAACCCATGGCAGCCATGTGCAATGCAGCGTATTTCTGTGACGTTCATCGTAAAATAAATTATTTTTCATTTTTCACGCGCTGGTTCCTGTATCCGATAGCATACAGCACAATAGTAATACGAATAATAATATGCATAGGACGCCAAAGAACTGGACGTTTGTATACCGCACGGTTGAAGGCATCGAACACCGCGGAGCTCGAACCATTCTTCGATTTCCTCGGCCCTCGGTACTCGCACCATGGCTCTGACCCGGTCCAGCGTCGTCGCCTCGCGCCAGCTCGTGAAGGCCTGCCCCTTCATGCACGCCTCCAGCGTCACCAAGCAGGCGCTCGTGCCCAACATCGCCAAGCTCGCCAAGATGTGCCCCCACATGTCGACCACGATGCAGAACCATGCGCAGGAGGCCGAGGCCATCACGACCAAGTTCCAGGAAGTCTCGTTCGCCAAGCCGTTCGCCAAGCCGACGCCGGTCGCGCCCAAGAAGGTGCAGCCCTACCGCCGCCCGGCCGGCAAGTACGAGCGCCTCGGCGGCCTCAGCCACGACGAGTACGAGCGCGGGTTCCAGAAGACCATTTCGCGCATCAAGAGCGAAGGCCGGTACCGCCAGTTCGCCGACCTCGAGCGCAAGCGCGGTGAATTCCCCAAGGCCACGTACCACGAGTCACCGACCAAGACGAAGGAGGTCATTGCGTGGTGCGCGAACGACTACCTCTGCATGGGCCAGCACCCCAAGGTGGTCGGCGCGATGCAAGAGTTCCTCTTCAAGTCTGGCGGTGGCGCCGGCGGCACCCGCAACATCTCGGGCACGAACCACAACCATGTGCTGCTGGAGAAGGAACTCGCCGATTTGCACAAGACGGAAGGCGCGCTCCTCTTTACCTCGTGCTACGTCTGCAACGACTCGACGATCGCGACGCTGGGCAAGATCTTCCCGGGGCTTATCATGTTTTCCGACGAGTTCAACCACGCGTCCATGATCGAAGGCATCATCCACTCCAAGTGCGAGAAGCACATCTACAAGCACAACAGTTTGGAGGATCTCGAGGCGAAGCTCAAGGCCGCCGACCCGAACGCGCCCAAGCTCATCCTCTTCGAGAGCGTCAACTCGATGGAAGGCACGATCGCGCCTATGAACGAAATCTGCGACCTCGCCGACAAGTACGGCGCCATGACGTTCTGCGACGAAGTGCATGCGGTCGGTCTCTACGGCAACCGCGGCGCCGGCGTTGCCGAGCGCGACCACTGCATGGACCGCATCACGATGATCACGGGGACGCTCGCCAAGGGCTACGGCATCATGGGTGGCTACATTGCCGGTTCGGCCGCGCTCGTCGACGCCTTCCGGTCGACGGCTCCCGGCTTCATCTTCACCACGTCGATTCCGCCGATGCTGGCGGCCGGCGCGATTGCGTCGATCTCGCACTTGAAGGAGTCGCAGGAGGAGCGCATTGCGATGCACGCCAACTCGGCCAAGCTCAAGGTGCGCCTCGTCGACCTCGGCTTTCCGCTTTTGCCGAGCGTGAGTCACATCATTCCTCTCATGGTCGGCGACGCGGTCAAGGTCAAGCAAGCGAGCCAGCTCCTGATGGAGAAGTACGACATTTACATCCAGCCCATCAACTTTCCGACCGTGCCGCGCGGCGAGGAGCGTCTTCGCATCACGCCGTCGCCCACGCACACGCCCGAGATGATGGACCATCTGGTCGACTCGCTCCTCAAGGTCTGGGACGAAGTGGGCCTCGAGCGCTTTGCCCAGCCGCAGGAGCACCTTGCCGAAGTCCAGTTCTTCAACTATGAGGAACCCGAGCTCCACCAGGCGGCGTAAAGATAGCTCTGTGCACTCTGCAACCAAAATGAAACATTAGCAGCGAGCACTTGAGTGTGCCCGCCGCTGTCTCCACCCAATATTGTCTTTCCTAGTTCAGACAACTTGTGGGAGCAGCAGGAGAGAAACCTAGATCCAAGGGATCAAAGAAGGCAGTTCGGCGGTGTCAGTTCTGAGATGTATGAGATGGCCGAGTCGCAGCCGATGAACTTCAACTTCAAGAATACTACAGTCGGAGTCTTGGGCAGCTCTGGGAGCGACGTCGCAGATGCCATCGGAACGGTCTCGTGCACTGCAAAGCAGCCTCGCGAGTATCATCCGAGCGAAGGTAATGGTCACCTCGTCCCGTCTGATCCGGCTCGTTCAGGAACTTGGACAAGAACGAGCGAACGAGAATTTATTGGTACGGGGAGATGCTAGGATCTTCTAAAGACACATAATGACGGGGAGCGCCGAGACGTCTTTGGTGGGCGGCTGCTTGGGCAAAATCGAGTCGAGGTAGTCTTGCGCAATGCTCAGATGCTCCTCGAGCGTTTGGCGGAGCTGCTGGTTCTCGAGCACGACGCGACCGAGCTCGGCCTCCTGCTGCTTGGCAATGTCGGCCCAGAGCACCTTGCCGCGCGGCGCGTGCTTCCCGTGGTGCGCCTTCATCGTGTCGATCTGCTTGGTCATGGCAAAGATCTCTTTTCGCAGCGTGTCAATCTCATCCTTCATGCGGTTGCGCTTCTTTCCTGCCGACGCCTTGTTCAAGAGCTTCTCGTCGTCCTTCTCGAGCACCTCGGACGACGTCGGTGACGACACGGGCTCGGGCGCCATCTCGTGGGGCGGCGTCGATGCCGCGAGGATCGGTGCATCGTCAAACTCGTCTTCGCGGCGCTTGGTCTCGCGCTGCCACACAAAATGCTCTTCCATTTCACGCCACGACCGCTTCATCGCGGGTCCATTGGCGTGTTGCAGATGCGGATGATGATGATGCTGCGGATGATGATGATGATGCTGCTGATGATGGTGGTGCTGCTGCTGTTGCTGTTGCGGCGTGGTGGTGTGTTGCGTGGCGCTTTGGTCGTCGTGGCCGCGCGGGTACAGCATCGGCTTGCCGCTTTCGCTGTGCTCCATCGATGGCTCCCACTGCGACTTGGGCCACTCGCCGTACCCGCTGTGCGGTCGATGCGGTGGCAGGCTCGGTGGCAGGTGTGGCGAGTAGTACGCGCCGAACGGCTTGGCCTCGTCGGTGGCCTCCCGCGGCCCGCTCTGGTCCGGACGCGGGTACAAGATCTGGATCTTGCTCGGGTACTCGGCCGGCGTCGACGTCGGCAGCGTGCGCTTGAGCATCGTCGTCTCTCGTCTTGCGCAAGTCGAAACCTACGCAAGCTTGCAGAACAGGCTGGTGCACCTTTTCTACTCGTTCTTTTATTTGCCGCAGCGCCGTTGCCATACAAAACCCTATATATTCGAAAGAAACAAGCCATTTAAATGCAACGCGATATAAAAGGCCAGCATACGCGCATGATTACAGCCCACCGCAGCTGATCCAAACATCTTGCATTTTGTATGCAACGAGATAGACTGGCCGCGGCCGCCAATTCGGACTTGTCCGAGTTGTAGGCGCCTGATCTTAGGCTTGATTTCGGACCAAGGCCCCGCGACCAAACCTTCGGCGATTCCCTACCCCTCGTTGCATGCAGCCGCGCGCGTGTCAAGTTCGCCTTGCCATTGACGACAAGGGCAAGCGCGCGCAAAAGACGCGCCATTGTCGTAGCCGCATGCATGCCACGACCCAAAGCATCTGCACGAGTCCAGAGGTAGAAGTACAGGTAAATGCGCCCGACGACGCGTCAATCAGGCTCTCCGCCTGGCCCAAACCTTCCATGGGCCCTGCCCACACACTATTTCATTCTCGTTGTGTGATGGCGTAATCATGATCGTACCGCGACTATGGTTTAACTTCGTGGCGAGGACAGAGATCCATCGTGGACCTGCAATATGCGTAGGGACAACGATATTATTGCACCAAGACCATGTGCACGAGGTCGGGCGCGCTCTCGGGTCATGCAGACTGACGCCCGTGATGGGTAAATCACACTATTTCAGATCGAAACGCCGTGGACTTCGTATTGCATCGTGAGCGAATTTCAAGTGCGCGAACTTGCGAGCTGGGCCCTCCATTGGACGGTTGCCAAGGCGCCTGTTTTCCATCTTCCCTTCGTCGCCATGCTCGCTCGCTCCTTGGGTCGCACGTCGGCGCTCGCGGCTCGCTCCTCGTCGGCTGCTGCGCCCTTCGCCACGAACGCGGAGCTCTCGCCGCGCGCCAGCGTCTCGGACCTCATGGCCCCCAACAACGCCAAGAACAGCGTTGGTACGTGCGTCGAGGTCAATAGGTCTGCATCTGAGGCCATGCTGCTGTAGAGTATGTCGTGAGCAAGGTTGACGACCTCGTCAACTGGGCGCGCCGTGGCTCGATGTGGCCCATGACCTTCGGTCTTGCTTGCTGCGCCGTTGAAATGATGCACACGGCTGGCTCGCGCTACGATTTCGAGCGCATGGGTATGGTCTTCCGTGCCAGTCCCCGTCAGTCGGATGTGATGATTGTGGCCGGCACCTTGACAAATAAGATGGCGCCCGCCTTCCGCCGCGTCTACGATCAGATGCCGGAACCCCGCTACGTCGTGTCCATGGGCAGTTGCGCCAACGGTGGCGGGTACGTGGCTTGCATCCCGCCTGCGTGCACACGATATGCTCATGCGACGCCCTAAATAGCTACTACCACTACTCGTACTCGGTGGTGCGTGGTGTCGACCGTATCATCCCCGTCGACATTTACGTGCCGGGCTGCCCGCCCACGGCCGAGGCCTTGTTGTACGGCATGTTGCAGCTTCAGAAGAAGATCAAGAGCAACAAGAGCCTCTTGCTCAAGCTGCGCAAGTAAGCAGCTCCTGTCCGCGTCACTTGGCAACTCCTCCAACGACGACGACGTGCAGTAATATACGAGTGATTCACATGCGTCGCCCGAGTTCCTCTACGAAATGCAGCAAAATGGCATGCACACCTCTTGGGAGCCCGACGAGTCCGAGCTGCTGCGGGCGGTGCACTACGTCGTGCAGTGTGCGCAGGCCATGCCCGTACAGCGTCTACCGACAGCAGCACGAAGCGACGAGCCACATGCCGTCGTCGCCGTACCTCGATCCACGGCAGCGCGTGCGCCGTGGCAGCCTTCCACACGGATGGAACGGGGCGCAGACGGTTGGCGTGACCGACGGGAGCCATCGCATGGAAGAAGGCGTGCAAGACGAGCAAGTCGATGGGCTCGACCGCTACGATTCCAGGCCAACAAGGTTCATCGCCAAGCACTATTTGTGTCGTACCATCGGCGCTGGCCATCGAGGACTCTGTCGGGCGCGCCAAGAAGGCATGGCCGCAGGTGGCGCACGCAGTGGCGTCGCGCTCGACCTCAAGCATGGCCCAGCAGTGGTCGCAGAGCGTCTCGCCCATGGCGCGATGAAACGTGCAGTACGACGCGAGCGTGCGCGTGTCGGTCGTTGCCGGCGAGGCCACGAGGCGCCGTCGCGCGGCCAGGGCGGTGGCCCACTCGACCTGAAGCGCGCGGGCATCTATGCGAATGGTCTTGCCGCCAGACATGATGATGGCGTTCTACCGTGCCGAGACGGCAGTCGGCGCGACGCTGCGAGGTAGGCGGCGTACGATAGCATCGTACATGCCGCTTCGACGCGACCCTCGATCGCTCGTCGCTGCGCTGGCCGGCTGCTCTCGTGCCGATACCACGCACTCACGCGCTCGAGAAAGGCGAGGAAGAGCCCGCGCCACGGCCAGCGCTCGACCCGCGTCGCCGCGCTGGCTCTGGACAGCCACAATCAGATTTACTACTTGATAAAAATCCACCGAGCACAGGAGGAATACCGACCCAAAGCAGCGACGCGTCGTGTCTGGCAGCCACGTCGACAGCGGATCAAGGCGCGTCCACGGCAAGCGGTACTCGATGGCCCACGATGCCCACGTCTCGTCGTTGGTGGGCTCACAGCGCGCTGCCATGTCTGCTGCAAACGTCGACAGCACGAGCGCCGATGGCACCGTCCCGTCGTCCTGCCACTGCGTCTCGTAGCGCGCGACGAAGGGGTGGAGGTCACTCCGAACGTGCTCCATGTAGCAACGGCGTGCGTCGACCAAGTACCGGCGCGTCACGCGTTGGATCGTTGCGGCGGCGCGGTGCAGTCCCTTCTGCAGCCCGTCATCGTAGAGACGTCGTCGGGCCAGGCGCTCGTTTTGGACCATGTGCACAAAGCGTCGCCAGCTGCCAAAGACGGACCCGAGCCATCGGCGCCACACGCGTTGCCGCACGTGCCTCTGATGGTCTCGTCAGCCTCGTCAAGGCGATGGCATCGTACCTCGACGTGGCGTTGATGCACAGCGTAGCGTGCGGCGCGGGCAATGCGCTTCGCGCGCAGGAGCATCCACGTGACAACGCCGAGCTGCTTCAATGCGTGGGCGCGCCGGAGTCGCAGGCGCACCGGAATCGCTTGTAGCATGCGCCACCAGCTCGCGAGCTTCGTGGCCGCCGAATTCGCGTCCTCCAAGTGCCGTCGCTGCATCGTGGTCGTGAGCCGCAAGAGACACGCGGCATGTGACGTGGCACGCCTACAACACAATCCAGATCGATACGACCATGTTGACAAGGGGCACTGCATGTACCGGCGTTCACGAGCGCGATGAATGGACCGGCGGACGAGAAAGGCCGACCGAACGGGCCGCATGCGGAGCCTGCGCATGCCAGCGTATGGCACGTGCCAGAAGACACGCGTGGCGTACCGAGCCGAGACGAGGGTGACGGCGGCGTGCACGAGCGGCTGCACGAGGCGCTCGTACAGGAGCGCGACGCGTGCTGCGTCGACGTCGCGCTGCAGCGTCGGAAGCCGCCGACCCAAAACTAAGAAATCAGTGGTGCGGGACGTCTACTACTGTACGTACGTGGGCGACAATCGTCGGCGCATACGTTGACGGAAATCCATCAATGAGGGACGTTGCGACGTCTATGAGTACCGCCCGCGCGGTCGTCAAGAGACAAACACAAGTATTCTGTACCGTTGCCGTTGGCGAGCTGCAGTTGCTCCTGCAGCGCCACATGGGCCGCGAGCACCACGTTGTGCTTGGCTTGCAACGCGAGAAGGTCGTGCCACGTTAAGTGGTACGCTTCCCGGCGCGCCCGGAGCCGCTGAAGACGGGTGTCAACGCGGTCCGGAGGTCGGTACACGAGTCGCTCGTCGCCCCCGTAGATGTTCCTTTGCAAATTCGTCAGCGTAGAGAGCATGTGAGAGCCGCGTTACGAGCCGCGCAGAACGTCTTTGGGCCGCTGCGAAAGGCGCTGTCGACAGTGATACCCGCGGTAGACGCGCTGGAGCGTTCTCGCCGCGCGTTCAAACTTGGCCATACCTAGCCTTAGCGTCGTTGGCGCAGCCGTGGCGTGAGTTTGTTGAAAACCTCGTTTGGCGTTGTGGCGCTTGTGGGCGTACAGCACGCGAAAGAAGCGGCGGCGGCGCACAAACCTACGAGCGCATCGTAGGACAACATGGATGAGGTTGCAAGAACCCGCGCCAACGCCGTTGGATGCGCGTCGCCATCTTGGACCGGAAGCGGCTACAGCAAGAGACTGAGCCGCCGCAGACGGAGGCAGGCGCACCGGCAAGAGACCGCGCGGGGCGAGGTGCGAACGACGGCCGAGAGGTCAAAGTGCAGTGCGTGCGCCGTGAGCGCCGGGCCGAGCAGATGAAAGAACTCGGAGACGACAACGACGCATCGCATGGACGCCACGAGCCGCCGCGCGTGGTGAACCTCGGCCTCCAGCGGCCGCAAGAGCATGCTCCCGAAGCGACTAAAGATAGACTGCAGCGTTCGTACCATCATCCCTCCAAGACGCATCGTAGTTGTAGCGATTCTTGACGACTCGGCGACTCGTACGCTTGTCCTTGGTGCCTCCTAGTGCCTCCAAGGATCAAATATGCTTATTGGCCCTTGGTGCCACGCACCGCAGGCCAGAATTGACGTTGAAGCCTATCGTGGCCGCTCCTGTCTGGTCCTTTGAGTGGCAAGGTGCGATCAGCAACAGGTGACACTCGTATCTCTCGAGATGCGTGCGCCATGGTGCCAGCACTGCGAGAAGGAAGCGCAACACGCTCTGTTTTAGCCTGGTATTTCAAAGTACAACCACAGGACGCAAGTGCAAACTGGCATGGCGTGCTGCCACGTCACTGTACTGCAACGTGCACGCAGCGTGGAGCCCAAGACAGCGCCAAGGACGCTCTATGCATGTGTCGCTGGTGCAGCGAGCTCCAGCGCGATGCGCGCATAGCCGAGCAGCGTCGCCTCGACATGTGCAAACGATGTGCCTTTGATCGCGACGACGTCGTAGGCGGGCGATCCATCCTCGAGCTTGGCGTGCATGTAGAGCTCGACACCAAAGCACGCGCTCTCGCCGTACTGCTCGGTGCCATCCCACGACGCGGGTCGGTAGTCTCTCGTCGGTCGCCCCGTGGGCCGAAAGGCCTGGAGGTGTGTCCACTGATACCGCGCATTGGCCACGGGGTCCCGCGACAGCTTGCGCGTGTTGCGGTGAAAAAACACTTCGCGACCAGAGTCGTCGTACTGCACCTACAGCGATGGTGGTGCCGCCACGTCATATCGTGGTTTGGACTACCATGCTGAGGCCGCAGAAGCGAGGGTACTGCGGGTGGTGCACGCCGAGCGCCCCTGGCGGCCGTGCCACCATGCGAAAGCTGCTCGTGGTCTTGAGCCATGCGAGGCGGTAGAGGTCCTTGTCCCCCCAGACGAGGCGCAGGCGCTCCAGCAGCGGCGGGCGCTCGATGGCGTAAAACATGAGCATGTGCAGCGCCCGCTCGTGCCGCCGCCGGTCCACGAGCACTTGGCCGCTCTCTTGTTCAAACATCTCAACGGGCGGGAGGTCCAAAAGCTCCCTACGTAGTACTGTCGATGTTATCCCGTTGCGATTCTGGTCGAGTACCAGAGGAGGCTTTCGTTGTGCACGTTGAAAATCGTATTGGTCGGCTGCCAAAAGTCGGGCCAAAAGACCGTGCCGTGGACCTTATACGCTGGTAGCTCAAAGAGGTACGTTGGGTCGGCGACCGCAAAGTTGTCCGTGTCCAGCAGCAACACATGCTGAAACGCACTAGGAAGAAAGTATTTCGTGCCGCAAAAGTCGAGTGGCCAGACAAGCAGAAGGACCTGTAAAAGAGAGCATAGGGCTTGGTATAAAAGCCTGTCGCGCGCGGATCTTGAATGCGGCGGAGCGACAGAAGCGGGTCGTGTGCGAGGAGGTGCGTTAGGATCGGGTCGGTCGGCGCCGTCTCGTCGTCGCGATACCTAAGACGCAAATCATGGATGCAGCTGAAGGCGAAGAGGACATCAAATACGCACCACAGCTCGATCGGCAAGGTGCAGCCCAAGGCGCGCAGCGAGCGAATGTTGGCAAATGCACTGACGAGCGACGCGTGGTGGATGACCATGACGATGCCCCTCTCGCCCTCTGTTTTGTGTTAAATGGCGTCGCCAAAACCATAGCGCTGACGTACCTAGAGCGTACCACGGCTGCGTAAAGATTGACGCGGTCGGCGTATGCACGTAGCGCTCCGAGAGCGGGCCAAAGTCCATAAAGGCGCGCGCGTCCCGGCACGAGTACTGGACGTAGTGCTTCGTGGACGTGCACGTCGAGCGCATGGCGGTCAGCGCAGCGCTCGACGACCTGTTGCCGACAAGGCAGGCGCCCATCGCCGGAAGCTTCAAGTCCTCGGTACAGGCGTTGCGCTGGTCGCGCTCGTCGCCGCATGAGCCCGAGGACTGCCACCCGATGCACTCAAAGTCGTCGATGGCCCAGACCGGCCGCAGCGCTGGCGCAGAGGGCATGCTCTCTGGGGTCATGTACATGGAGTAGAAGACGTACAGCATGCAGCAGACCCATACGTGAAGAGCCACAAGCAGCGCGCCGACCGATCGCCGCATGTCCGCACACTCGCGAGATCGCAACCACCGAAAACCTGTGAAAGATAATACGCGCGTCTCGGTGCGCCACGTCATCGACGGCACGAGGTGGCGCTCAAGTGACGTTGGCAATAGCAACGATTGCAATGAGATGCTATCAGCAAAGAGATGTTACCTCGCGGGAAGCAGAGGTCCAGATTGCTCTTGAGTGCGAGAGAAGGTAGAAACGTCGTTGCGGTACCGAGTGGAATTAGCGGTCACTGGACCTCAGATGGTCTGGCTCCCAAGATACCACTGGAATCGAAGCCGCGCCGAGACCCGTTGGGTCTTCTTCACACTGCATTTGTCCAATCGAGCACGTCTTGCCGCTCTCTGCACCATCTTGAGGGGCGCCAAGTGCTCGTTTCCGCGGCGGCGAGTTGCCTCGAGGCGCTGTCGGTTGTCGCAACCGTCCGCAATCCGGAAATCGCGTCCTCCCGTATCCGGATACCGCTCGTCAATCCCACAACAATGGTATTTTATGCCGAATTTCTATTCTCAATACAAATACCAAGTATACGTATCATGTTTCTAGGAATGCCGGCCGGTTTAGGAAAGGGCAATCTCGAATCTGGCACCATGGACGACCGCGAGAAGACGACGTCGTTTGCGCAGAACCTCTCGCCCGAGGACCTCGACTACCTCAAGCAGATCGCGCGCAAGACGTGCGCCCGCGTGGCCAGCGCATCGCGCATGGACGCCGGTGCGGCCATCCGCTGGGAGCCGCTGGGCTGCAAAGACGGCGTGGACCTCTACTTTGGCGCGATCCCGGACGAGCGCGTCCGCTCCAAGGCGCGCAAGTACATGTGCGGCGTGACGTACATCATGGCTTCCATCGACGAAGTCGTCCAGCTCTTCCACTCCAAGTCGTCGCTCCAGCGCGTCAAGGACAGCGAGCCACAGGTACGCGACGGCGCTCCATGGCCAGCAATGGACGTCGTCACTAGACACGCTTCAACGCGTTCGAGCGTGACATTCTCAACACGCGGACGCTGCACAAGATCCGCAAGCGGACGAGCGCCAACCCGCGCCACGCCATCTCGCTCAAGTGGATGCGACTCGGGTCGAGCGCCGCCAATATGGAAGACCGCGACTTTGTCTACCTCGAGGTACTACTGCATGGCCAATGCGTCCCGATTCAAGACGCATGCGCGTAGTGCCAAGACACGATCTTTGACGAGAAGCTCCAGCGCCGCGGGTGGGTCTGCAGCATGCACTCGGTGCACCTGCCGAGCTGCCCGGTCCTCGACGGCTACGTCCGCGGCAGTCTCTACCGGTCGGGCTACGTGGTGCGCGAGACGTCGACGCCGGGCACGCTGGAGCTCGTGTGCATTATGGACATGGACTTTAAGGGCACGTTGTCCGAGCCAGCGACCAACCTCTGGCTCAAGGCGCGGGTGCTCACCGTCAGCGGCGTGCGCCAGCACTTCGAGAGCCAATGGAACACGACGCAGTTACCGCCAATGGTCCACGCGCCGCCAAAGGTTGTGCCCGAGGAAGAGCCCGAGGCCGTCGCGACCCACTGCGTGTCGTGCGACGACGAGTTCAACGGATACAACCCATCGACGACCTGCGTGCACTGCCAGCAGGTAACATCAGATCGCCTGCCCGCGACGCTCTCCCAACCCAAGTAACATAGGCTGTGTGCCGGACGTGCTCGTGCGAGATCGACGAGACTAGCCAAGTGTGGTGCACGTCGTGCCTCATCCAGGCCAAGCAAGCCCAGCTCTTTGCGAACGACCAAGTGCCCGAAGAAGTCGACGTGCCCGAAGAAGACGAGATCGTCCACGACACACCAAGCAGTCCGCAGCACGAGCCTGCGCGCGATTGTATTGAAAACGAAGCCGACGACCTTCGGACTGGGAACCAGGTCGAGGAGGACGTGGCCGACTGTGACGCGTCGATCGCGTCGGCGACGTCAGAGGGCCATGTCTCTGGCGTCGTGCAGCCAGCTGGGTTCTTTGCGCGCGCCTGGACCGCTGACGTCGACGACGCCACGTGGCATCCGGACGACGAGGCTGCGCAGATCCAGAGCGAGATTGCGGCGCTGGACGATCTTCCCGCACCGAGTAGCGGTATGTATGCGCTCGCCCTCCGCCGCCTGCAGCGCGCCAAGACGCTCGACGAGCAAAAGACGCGCCTCGCCATCGTCCACGTCTACCACGCCACCGCCGTCAACTAAAAACTGGTTTTGAATACAACGACTGGTATTGCATCTCAGAGTTGTTGTTTCGCACCATCCTCCTCGCGTACTCGCGCCAGCAACGTCACGACGCCGTTGTGACGTCGTCCACCCATGGATAAAGACACGGACCGGGCGCCAAGGCTGCGACTGACATCGACGAGAAAGCATGGTCCACCGTGGGACAGGCCGTCGTCCATGCGCGCCAACCAAACAGACATGGCTGCCTTCCTGGCCTCGACCAGGTTCGCTTTGCTGGTTGCCTGTCCATGAGCTTCTCAGTCTACGGCAATGTGGCGTGTCATCAGGTAGCTTTCACGACCGTCTCAAATGCACCGACCCCGGCACATCTGTCGACACGGGCAGTCGCTGCAAGTGGCCATATCTTTCTTCTCACCCATGCGATAGGCTCGGCAACGCAACCACGCGCAATCAACATGCAATGCGCTTCTCTGGCTGCGTGTCAAGTGACGTCGCCACGACCGTAATTGGGCACAATTCCGTGTCGGCGTCCGTGTCGGTGGGGCACCGGTTCGATCCTGCATACTCGGCGTACTTGTACAGTCGCTCGCTACCTGACTAGCGCAAGTGAGGTAGCATTGTCGTCGTTGAGGAGACTAGACTGCAATACCCCGGTAAGCTCAATACGATGGCTGGACGGCGGCGGTGCGACATGGCGGGAAAGCAATTTAGACGAGGGAGACACAATTGAGATATCCCGTCGTGACCTGCAAGAAGGTCGCCAATCGAACGACGCCGTTGGCGTATACAAACCGCAAGTCAAACGCGCTGGCTCGAATTCGGTTCGATCGAAGTTGGAACGCGGTTCGAAGAGTAACGACGCCGTGTCACGCCCGGAGGCCGCCACTTGTCAAGATGCACTTCGCCGTCGGAGGCTTGAGCAACGAGGCGACGCGCGAGCTCACGGCCGTCGCCAAGCGGTCCTCGAGCGCGCTCCTCAGCGTCGCGCTGCGTTCGCAGGACTCGCCCATCGTGTGGGCCCGCGCCGGCGCCGCCGAGAACGTCCAGCTCTTCTCGGGCGAGGCCAAGGTGCCGAGCCGCCTCGCGCCGCTGCAGTACATGTGCGCCCACACGCAGGTGCACGCGACGCTATCGGCGCTCATGCCGCTCATGTTGTACCTTCCGCTGCACGGCGACTTTCGCCGGTACGTCCACGACTCGGTGGTCATCAACAGCCACACGCTCTTCGACATTGAGAAGCCCGAGCTCGCGCAGCCCTACCGCGCGACGAGCATCAACTGGATGTCGATCCGCAGTGCGTCGTCGCTCATGCAGAACCGCGACTTTGTCTACGTCCAGGTACTACATCGACGCCATATATGCCCGTCGCTCAAAATGTCCATGGCATAGCACCAAGACGAGCTCGAAGGGCCGACGAAAGGGTGGGTTTCGTGCATGCACTCGGTCAACCTTCCGTCGTGCCCGCCATTGTCGGACCGCCACAGTCTCGTCCGCGGCGGCATTTACTCGTCCGGCTTTGTCTTCCGCGCGTCCAAGCGACCGGGGATCCTCGACGCCGTCTTCGTGCTGCAAGTGGACTTTAAAGGCAAAGCGCCGCGCCTCCTCTGCACGAGCACGCTCAAGCAGTGGGCCACGAGCCTCGGCCGCATCGCTGCGTACTTTGCACGACCCAGGCATCTCGTGCGCCCGAGCTTTGCGCTCGTGGACGGCGACGACGACGAGGTCCGGCGCAAGTCGGACGTCTGCCGCGTCTGCGACCAAGCGCTCAGCGGCTTCCGCATCGAGAAGGAGACGTGCCGCAAGTGCCAAGTGGTAATCATGCAACACGTGGTCGTTTGCTCATGCATCGGTAGCAAATCTGCAGCAAGTGCGCCGTGTGGAGCGAGGTCGAGCTCGACGTCGTCGGCATTCTCAAGGTGCTCGTGTGCACGCCCTGCGCCGTCAAGGAGCAGCACCGCCTCCAGTCGCTCCTCGGTACGACAATAATCACCGCGCTAAAGTATCGCATGTCACAGCCAACTTCAACTTTGCTACGGGTGTAGAAAGTGCATTGCCCAAAGCCAAGCCCATTCGCGCCAGCATGCCAGCCGCGGCTGTCAGCGTCTCGGCGACCCCGGCCGCTTGGACCTCGAGCAGCAAGATGCGGTCGCTGAGTCTCTTCGACGAGGGCCTCGGGTCTTCGACGGCTGACGACGCCAAGGGCATGATCCCGCTGCGCTACTCGCCCGCGCGGCAGTCGTATCAAGAAGTGCCCTGCGAGCCGCGCCGGTCCCGCGCGTCGCTGCCCACCGCCGGCGTGCGCTCGTCGATCATCGAGCTCAACGACGTGTACACCAAGCCGATCGTCGCACCCCGTTTTGTGCTCGGACGGCACGCGAGCGACTGCTCTCTCTCCGAGATCAAGCGCGCGCAGCTCCAGCGAACGTCCCTGTCGCTGCCCGTTGCCGAGCCCGACGACTCGACGCGCTGTGTGTACGACGACCCGGACTCGTCGTGGCGGCCGCTCGACACAATTTCATCGACGGGCGCGCGCGCCGCCTCCGAGAGCGACGACTCGGACACACCAAGCATGGTCCAGCTCTACACCCTTCGCGGGTCCCGACTCGACACGACCGACGCCGTGGTGTCCGGCTGCCTCTTGTAGTTCCACGCTCGTCCTATTTACTACTACGCACAACGCAACCCTAACCCTACCGCAAGCAACGTCGGCCTCCTGTTATTAGCTGGTCTTTCGTGTTGGCTGGTCTTTCTCTTCTGTCGAGACGCAGAGCGTCGCGAAGGTCCATGCGCTCGAGGACACGACTACAGATATTGTCTACGTCTTGTCTAGCGTAATGCGACTACTGCGGGTCTTGCACCGCGGCGCGAAGCGTTTCTTTGATTTGCTCCCGCTCGCTCGCGTTGGCCATGCGGAGACGCTCCATGAGCAGCGCCGTGAGGTACGCGACCGAGTCGTCTTCGTTGTTGCTCGTCCGCAGCGGCCCGAGCATGTCTTCAATGCTTGCGCTATGGTCAAAGTTGGGCGGCCCTTCCTTCTGGAGCTCCGTCGCCGGCTGGTTCTCGAGCTGCAGAGTCGTCGCCTTCTTGTCCATGGGCTGCAAAAACATGTCGATGTCTTGATCCAGAAACTTGGAGACGGCGACGGCCGTCGGGCTCGACCCGTTGCCGAGACGGTTGTTGTTCGAGGCCGCGGGATTCGATGGCGGCTGCGACGGCATGTCGACAACGATCGAGTCGCGCTCGTCCGCAATGTACTCGTCCGGCGTCGCGTCGGGTCTCGTCGCATAGTAGCGCGTTTCCTTGATGCGGTACCGACTGCCCTTGTAGACGGACCCCGCCGGCAGCGCGAGCGCATTCCCACTCGTCGGCTCGGGGACGCTGGCTGGTGGCGGCGGCGCGACGAGATTCGAGGTGCTCGCAATGATGTTGTCGAAGCGCATCTGCATCGGGTCGAACCCACGCGGGTTGGACGACGGTCGGTCGATCCAGCGCGGTGGCGCCTGCGGCGGCGCTCGGAACCGCCCTGAAGCCGACGGCGGGTAGTAGTCGCGGGGCCGGCGGGCCAACGACGCGTCGTAGTCGTACTCATCGTTGAGGTGTCCGTCCTCCGCGCCTTGGATGATCTCGAGCCGGACCGTCGACTCGTTCGCGCCAGGGCGCTGGTTGTTGAGCTGCGCGAGCACGTCCGAGGCGTTGTTGAGGTCGCGGAGGTCGATCGTCGTCGCTTCGCCCGACCGCGGCAGGTACTGCACTTGCGTCTGCCGCGGGCCTGGTCGGGGCACACGCGCCGGAGGCGGCGGCACGTATCGGCTCACGGACGTGCCCACTTCGTCGTACAGGTCCAGCACCGACTCGCGCTCGTTGACAAACGACTCGCGCGAGTCGGGGCGCGCCGGCGGAAAGTAGGTCGAGTGCCGATGGAAGCCATTGGGTGGCGGCGCTGGATGCTGCTGGTACTCGGGCACGAGGGTCGTGTTCGTAGCGCGGCGCAAAGCCCGACGGCCGGTTGAGCGGCCCGGACCCAGTCTCGCGGTAGCTGGGCTTGCGCACCATGTGGTCCGGCATGCGCAGGCGCATCGCATACGGGTCGTCGTCCAGGAACGCGTCCGTGTGCATTGGCTTGGACATGGTCGCCCGCGGCAAGTTGGGTTGCTGCAAGCGCGACGGAAACGGCCCCGGCGGACCCGAGTTGGGCGACTTCATGTTGTTGGACGACGAGAGCGCGCTGCGCGCGTTTGGGTTGACGCCGTTGTTGCTGTTACTGTTGTTGTTGTTGTGATTGTTGTACAGCTCGTGCCCGGACCGCGAACGTCCTATTGGATGACGCAAGAGTGCGATGCTGTATACAAGAGATAGGCGAGCGTACCGTGTGCGCCGTTGGCTTGCCGGTTCTCGACGGCACAGAGCGAGCAAATGTGGTACTTCTTGATGCCTTCGACGGGGACGCTCGGGCGCTGTTGCGTGCAGCAGCTGCTGCAGACGACCTCGCCACACACGCGGCAGTTGTGCTTTTTCTTGAGGAAGCCAAAGCCGCCCGCGCAGCAGGCGCAGGTCGAGACACCGTGCTTGGACTTGAGGTGGATGTCGCCGAGGAGCGCGACGCCGCCCTTGTGCAGCGCGTTGTTGCTGTTGTTGTTGCTGCTGTTGGCGGGGTACGACGGCATGGCATGCGGGACGGGCGCGCTGGCGCGCCGCAGGAAATGGTCGTCGATCGCGCGGAGGCAGCCGAGGCGCTGCTTCATGATCGATTGGCGCAAGTGCATCGGAAGGGATCCCTTAAAGTCGATCTGGAGGAGGTAGATGGCTTCGAGCACGCCCGGCGTCTCCGTTTCTGTAAACACAAAGCCGGACCGGTACAAACTGCCGCGAACAATGTCGTGCGTGCGCTCGAGGGACGGCGCGCTCGGGAGGTCGATCGAGTGCATCGCGCAGACCCATCCTCGCTTGTTGCGCTTGGCATCCATAATGTCTTCTTGCGACTAGAACAACGGAATGGGCATGATGGGGAGGAGGAGGATAGGTGTACCTCGAGGTAGACGTAGTCGCGGGGCTTGGCCGCCATGGACGGCGACTCCATGAGGAACCACTTGATGCTGACCGAGTGGCGCGGGTACTTTTCGGTGCGCTGGCGCAAATACTTAAGCGTCTGGTAGCTCGCGAGGTCCTGGTTGAACTGGCGCGTGAACTCGGCCGATGGCGTCACGCCGTGTGTCTGGCTCATGTGGTCGGCGTTAAAGAGGTCCGCAACCTGGTCGATGGTCGCATGCACGGACGTGACGCCGCACATGTAGCTCAGGAATTTCTCTTGCTCTGGCAGCGGGTCGTCGCCGGCGAAGAGCTCGACCTTGTTCTCGACGCCGAGGCTGCGCCAGCGCACGGCGACGTTGCCCGTGTCGGCGCGCCGGGCCGCGTACGCCACCTGGGTGCACACGTCGCGGCCGAGTCTCTTCATGCGCTCGATCTCATCGTCCGTGAGCTGCGGCGCGTTGAAGAAGGTCTGCATCCGGTCGTCGTCGTCAGCGTCGTCGTCCTCCGCCCGTCCAAAATGATGCAATGGGTTATACCGAAGCGCAAGTCGCCTCATAACTCACGCGTGTTACCCAAATTCGGACTTGGACCTAATGCAGGGCGTTGAAGTCCGAAACGAACCTGCCCCCCAATGCGTTTTATAGGTAATACCGGTTTTCGAGTCAGGTTCATCGCTTGGCTCGTTCGACCGAATTCGGTAAAACCGAATTCTATACGGCCCCACGGCAGAGTGCGTATCCCTTCCGCCTACCAAGGCGTTTTGTATTGTATGTACTTGCCGTTTGTATGCGCCGACCGTATTTTAATGCAATGTACATCGTGAGAAGAGCCAGGTGGGGCCTCGTCTCGATGCAGCCAGAGTCTTCGACTCGCTCGTCCTGCTACTTGGCGATGCCCAAGCTGCAGCACCGGCGCCATGCCTGCTGCTGCTGCTGCGTCAGGATCGTTGCCGCCATTGCTCACACCACGTCGTGTCCGCTGCCGCATTAGCACACAGTTGAGGATCCCACGTCCCGGCGCAACCACTGCGGTCACGCCTCTCAGATCGCAGATAGCCGATGCGGCGGATGCGCTGTGTGCACGCCTTGATGGGCGCACGTGGCTGGCCATTGGCGCTTGCCAAGTCGCCGCGTCGTGACTCTGTCCCTGCGCCCGTTGCGTGAAGATCGTTTGATGTCTATTTGAGCCAATGACGTGGCAGCGTCCTGGCGCAGAAAGGTGATGGCCACCCGACCACCATCCACTTGCGTCCAGCACTGGCGTGACGCAGCCAACGCGTTCGAACAGCAAGGCACTGCAGAAGTAGCGTTCTATGGCATTCGCGCTCCCAATCCGGCTGCTCCAGCGCGCATCCTTGACGACACCGGGTAGTAGATTAGTAGGAGTAGTCATGAACGACTACTACAGCGTGTGCTTGGGCTTGGTCCAAAAATCATCGGCCGACACACTTGCAGCGGAAGCCCGGCTCTGAAATGACGACTCGGACGGCGCGGCCACATCCCACGCGGGGCCGACGACTGCTGAATCGTTGGAGACGACAGGCGAGATCGCAGCGTACCGCTTCCCGGTGCCGCTTGCGCCGCTGTCTTCAAGGAACGAGTAGAGCGGCTCTCGGCCAGCGTCAACGCTCAGGCGCTGTGGCTGCTTGCCGCGCATGATCTGCATGTACGGGTCGAGGTCTTCGTCCGTGGACGTCTCATGCTGGCGCGACGACTGCCGGTGGCTGCCACGGTGGTGCGTATCGGTTTGGCGCAGGAAGCTCCGGCGATTGGCTACGTCCGAAGGACCACAAGTGAGACGGCGGCATCAACGAGAAGGTATAACTACCCAGACGCAACGGGTGCTCGTCGCTGCGGCGGTCTTTCTGGAGGTTGCAGACGTTGCACACATCGACGCGCTTGAGGCCTGCAATTGGAATCTGCATGTCCTTGGCCTGCGAACACTCAGTGCAGACAATCTAGTACATGGTTCAAATCAGATCTGAGATACCGACGTCGTCGTCGTACGTCGCGGCAGAGCCGGCACGTGACTTTGCGGTGGACAAAGCTGAATTTGCGGCTGCACATGGCGCAGACCTTGACCTTCTCGAGGTTGCTCGCGCGCGACGTCTCCATGTTGCTCACGATGCGTGCGACGAGCGTGAGCTTGGCAAAGAACGCACTGAGGTGGGCGATGTTCCCGACCCGCGCTCGCAGCATCGACTCGACGTCTTCGCTCGGCACAAGGCCTTTGAAATGCACTTGGACCATGTGCAGCACCTGGACGACGCCCGGTGTTGCCGTCTCGAGCACGACGTAGCTACAGAAAGCGTCTTGAGCATCATAGATGCGACGAGTAGACTACCCGGAGCGGTACAGACTGCCACGCACGAGGCTATGCGACGTGTGGTACGCTGGAAACTCTGGGAGCTCCACCGAGTGCATGCTTTGTGCCCAGCCGTTGCGGCCGTGGAAGTGGACGTCGTTTTGATACTACTGGCGTTCTTGAGTTCCATCTTCTGATGATATAAGGGGCATGGGTACCTGCAGCACGACAAAGTCGCGTCGTGGCACGTACGCCGACGTCGAGTCCCAAACCAACCAGCGCAGCGATATCTGGAGCCGGTCGACGTGCTTGAGCGTGCGCAGATTCTTGGAGACGACCGTATTCTGCTCGAGCTGCGCGTATGCTTCCTCGCCCATCGCCGACTGCTCGTCGCCGCTAAGGAGCTCTGCGACTTCGTCCAGCGTTGCATGAACGGTCGTGGCACAGCACATGTATCTACGGCCATGAGCATCATGACCGACGCTCGCATGGCGGTGTACGTACTGGACGTCCGAGGTCGCCGCCGACTCGCCGACAAAGAACGCGAGGCCTGGATCTGTCGCAAACGGCAGCGGGCGCCACGTGATCCCGTACTTGTTGCGCTTGGCGAGCTTGGAGAGCGAGAGCAGCTCCGTGCACGTCTTGACGGCAGTCTCTTTCAGCGCTCGGACTTGCGACGGCGTCAACGCTGGACAGCTCGGCGACGGGAGGCGGCCGTGCTTTCCGAGACCTAGAAGCGACGTCCGCGATGACCTGGACGATCCCATGCGATGCTAAACTGGCCATTGCACTTGGTTGCCCTCGACCAAGTTACTCACGCCAGTGCATCGTCCGTGATCTCGGTCGCGTGACCGTTTTACGTGTTTTGCGCTCTTGGATTGGTACAATAGAAAATGCCGATAGAAATCCAGGTCACGCAACTGAGATTGCCGATCAGACGTGCAATCCCCAAGAAGCGCCGTCACTACTTGGCGCCACCAAGTCAACGACGTCCATTGTCATGTACACACGACTCTTGACGATGCGATAGCAGGTGGCGCACACAACATCGAAGAGCCGTCGAGACGAGCTCAAAGTGGGACCATTGGTCGGCTTGTCTTTGCCACCGTGTGCCTACGACACGGCGTCCGGGCGGTTTGGGCTTTCCTCCCTCTGGTCCATCACTGCAGAAGAAGGACTGCAGAATGCAACCGGTACCGTACCTTGACGCTCGCGACGAGGACGCGTTGGCAACTGCATCAACTATCGACACATATTCGCGCTCATTTGGTCCGTGGAAAGATGTCCTTCGACACGGTGCTATCCATCGCGCGAGTGGCTACAATATGGAGCCGACAGATCTCCACCGACCCCATACTGACTTGTGGGTGCTGGAACATGGACGGTCGAGAGCCATCGACAGTCGAGGTTGGTACGCAGGGGCTGCTCGGTACCACGTGCAAGCCAACGAGCACACGACGCTTGACAGGTGGTGACACCGAACAGCGCGATCATTGATGAACGAGTGCTGACGACTGCTCTACGGCTAACACGGCGATGCCTGCATCACACTTGTAGATCACGCCCCGATGTAGCCAACCCTATTGGATTCGAGTGGGCTTTCCTGGCTTTGGTGGTGGTCGAGCTGTCTGCATGGTCCGCGACGACATATAATGGTGACGACCGACCTGTGCACAAGGACGGGTGCGACGCGCCAGCCGCTGCCTTGAGACCTGCGTCGTGCTTGCGTGACGGGCGATTATTGCGAGAGGCCCGACTGGCAAGGTTGCCTGTGACACGGAGACTCCTCTCCCCTGATATCTCAATTGATCTCAATTGATGCCAATTTAAGATTCTCCAATTCTTCACGAGTTATGAAGAATTGCCTCACCGCCGCCAGGTATTGTATTAATACCGCCGCCCAAGATGGTTGACCATCTTGGGCGGCCGTGAGTGCATCGTCCTGCTTCGCTTCATTCTACCATCAGTACACTGCATGTAATGGACCACCTGGTTGTACAGCGAGCGAATGATCGGTGTGACGGAATTTGTGAAGGATTGTTGGCAAGGTACCGTACCCAATCGGAAGCGCCGTGTAATGCGATAGGAGCATCTTGCGACGACGGTTCCCGCTGGATCCATCACTGGTCACAAGTAAAATGACCGCTTCGAAACGCCACGCAGCCGTCGCTACCGCGGGCCTCATGGCCTTTGCGCTCGCCTTCATGGTCTTCTCGTTCGAAGTCCGCTTCGTGGCGCGGTCGTCGCCAGCCGTCGTCGCACTCGCCACCGAGCCCGTTATCGCGTCGGACGCGCTGGTGGCTACCGCCGAGCCTGTCATCGTACACGACGGGCTCATGGCTGCGACGCAGCGGCAGCTTGTGCCCGAGACGTACTCGCTCTCACAGGCGCTCGATGCGCACACGCACGTGCACCTGGTCTTTACAACGAGTTGCAACCAACGCAATCGCCACTTTCTCTCGTCAAGCTTGCAGCTTTCGCTCTCGCGCGTGGGCCACCGCGGGCCATTGACCGAGATAGTTCACGGTTGCAGCGCCGATGAAATGCTGCAGATCTCGACGCTGCCGACCTTCTACTATGATTTCCGCCATCACTTTGCACCCGACTTTGCACTTCAAGGCAAGGACCACTACGTCGCGTACAACAAGCCGTTTGGTCTGCGCCACTTATTACAGCACGGCGCGCGACGGGACAACTTTTCCATCGCTCTCATTGACGCCGATTACGTCCTCTTCAAACCCCTTCGCATCAATTTGGGCGTCAAGTGGGGCCACTACTACCAAAACACGACGCTGCGCAACACGTCCGACATCACCGATACGGTCGCAGACGGCGTGGCGCTTGCCCAAAACATGAAGGCCTTTCTCGGTGGCCGCTGGTTCAACGACCGCAACGCGACGATGAAGCAACTCGTGTGCGGCAACGGTCCGTGTGCCAACGTCTCGTCCGCGGATGCGTTCGAGTTTTACGAGCCCGCGGGCACGCCGTACATTATGACGCGCTCCGATTGGACGCGGTTCGTTGAAGACTACGTGGCCTTCACCGTCAAAGGCCGGCAGTACCAAGACGACTGGATGGTCGAAATGTACGCGTATGGCGCCGCCGCCGCCAACCAAGGCATCAAGCACACGCTGCTCAAGCACTTGGGACCGGCGACGTGCGGCTACCACGAGACTGAGCACTGGGATTTCCTTCCGCCGTCAACCCCCAACCCGTGCACGGACCCCTTCGAGATGGTGCTGCCCGAGGACCCGCCGATCGGGATCCACTACGCCATGTACTATGGCGCTGGCGACGACATTCACTCGGGCTTTTGGTACACCAAGCATCGGCTGCCCACGGACCTCACCGAGTGCGACAGTATGCTGCTGCAAGTGCCGCCGGCCACCGAGTGGTCCAAGCTGCCGACATTGGGCTTGTCCGAGAGAGTCCTTCGAACGAAGCGCCACAACGTATGGCTGCAGTGCACGATGACCAAGTACACCAACCAAGTGCTCACCGAGATCAAGGCCAAGATGTGCCCGCTCGGGTTCAACACCCACATGGGCATTAGCCTCGACGCGGCCAAAGTGAAGGACTCTGCGTATCCACGAAATAAATAGTCTTGCTCTCTACTATATAGATAATCCTTGTTATGAATAAAGCTCAGTCGGCTAATGGTGTGCAATTTACAAGTGCACTCGACTTCTAGTACCGGTATGCCCAGCGAAAAGATCCTATTGACACCACGTTGAAGTTGCCGAACGGCATCCGGACGCCATATCCGGACTTCGATTTTTGCGATCTTCCGGTGGTCCTCATATCCAAATCGCCGAGCCACAGCGCCAACATGATGCTCGCCCGCGCCATCCGCACAGCACGCGCGTCTCGTCTGCCGATCTACCGCATGACATGCCGTGGTCTTGGCACGTCCACGGGCTGCAAGGCGTCGTGCCTCTGCGGCGCGTGCCATGTGGCGACGACGACAGCGCCAAAGTGGGTCGTCAACTGCCACTGCTCGCAGTGCCGCCGGGCGCTCAGCGCGTCGTATGCGTCGCTTGCGGGCTTCGATGTCGACGCGCTCTCCGTCACGAAGGGCCACGACCACCTCGTGAGCCACACGACCGGTCGCGAAGAGCGCTTCTCGTGCAAGATTTGCTCTTCCAAAGTGTATGCGCATTTGCACCACTTGAACCACAAGGCGATCTACAACGACTCGTTCACGAGCCCCAACCACGGCCCGGACGGCAAGATCGCGCCAGGGTTTGCGCCGGCGATGCACATCTTTTACACCTCGGGCAACACGAATGTGCTCGACGGCCTGCCCAAGTACGTCGACTTGCCCGCGGCATTTGGCGGCTCGGACAAGACGGTACCCGAAAAATACCACCAGTAATTGGTCCCCGCATGCGCTTTGCACTCGAGTGCACCCGCTTTGGCGTCGAGCGTTTCATGTAGCCCACTTTCATCATTGAATATCAACGGGGTTGAGTTGAGACCGCTGCGACTTCGTTTGTCTCCATCATTGAAGGCATCCCCAATAGATTGAGATGCTGTCGCAAGTCAGCGCGTTGCCGTCCCCCGCTTCGGCTTCATAGCCAAGAGGTATGTCGTCGCGTGGTGTCAACGCTGCGACCGCATCACTTGACACGGGAGCCTTTCTGACACAGTGCTCTTGGTGTTGATGGACTATTGAAAAGTAAATTGAGCAGAGTTAGCTCTAGCGAGCTACAGCTAATATGCTTCTTCTTCTAGCTGGAGTTGACTATGGTATACCAACTTGAGCTGAAGGGCGTATATCCTTCTTGTCGTCTGGACACGCGCACGGCCCCGTGGCTTCCGTTACTGGTCGGCAGACGCGCTTCTGCTGGTAGCGGCTTCTGGTGCGCTTCTGCTGGGTTTAGTTGCACGTTGACGAGTTCGAGCAGCAAGTGGCTGCTCACGACACACAGTTCGTCGTCCATCATCGAGTACTGCGACCCGTGGTGAGCCAGAGATTACAAGCCACGTTTGCTAGGCAGCCGAGGTTAGTGTTGCGATCAGCATGTGAGGTTGGCGGCGCCATCAGCACATTGTATTCAGGATCGTAGCTCGTCGTGAAGTGCCACATGCTGCTCTCGACGACTTGGAGTGAATGTGCGGTTTTTAGGTTTCACCCTGCTGATCCACAATGTGTACTTTCTAAAAATGGACCTTCCCAGTTTGCACCTGTGCGGAGACTGAGTTGTACTTGAGCTTCTTTAGTGATATGCAGCACGGCAGCCCCACCGTCTTTCAGGTGCCCGTGCGCCGCAGCTCGTACGCGCGGCTGCTTCAGTGGGTTGGTCTTGGCTACGTCCTCGTCTCGACGGGCTGGAGTTTATACTGTCTCGTGCTCTTCACGCCGTACGTGGCCAATGACTTCTTTTGGACGGGCTTTGCGACCGAGGGCACCTCACGTGTGCTTCTTGCGCTGCTCAACACGCAGCTCGATATGCGTGGAAGTGGATCGCTCGACCTTCTCTCGCTATCGCTGCCGACAGCTTTCTCAGACACGGCGCCGAATGGCTATGGGCGTCGCCTCCTCTACGACGAGTTAACGACACCGATGACAGCTGTGCGCGGTCTGCGCGCGCTCGACGTGGCCTTGATCAAGTACCTCGCGGCCAAGTACTGCTGGGTCGACTTTGGCCGCGTCTGGGAACTGGGCACCTCGGAGCGCACGATGGCTCGCTGCGTCGCCCGTGACATTCAAAACGGCGCCGTGTACATGGAGGCGGTGTTCCGCAACGTTCATTTTCAAGTGTGGTATGCGCATGACGCGACACACCTCGACAAGTACCTCTTCGACCCTATTAGCCAGAGTGCGCCGAGAGGCCGCGAGTGGGTGAACAGTATCCAGCGCCACACATGGCTACCGCTTGACGACGAAGTTGCTGTGTGGGAGCAGTACAACATCCACACCTTCCAGCTTCTGTACTCGAACCGCGTGCGCATCGGCGTTCAAGAGACGATTTGGATTGAAAATGCCCTTGGGATGCTCAATCCGCTTCTGATCAAGTCGATTCCGTCGGTGCAGCGCGGCCTCCCGGACTGGACAACGTCGTTCTTGACGGGCACGCTACAGTACGACCTCGTCGGGCTCATGATGGCGCCGAATATGAGCCTCGTTCGCAACACCTCCGGCTTCTTCGCCGACACGGACCCGGCCATGCTCGAGCTCTACCTCCTCGGCAACATTAGCCCTGTCAACAAAGTCTTGCACACGGCGCTGGACTTTCTCACCAACATCCGCCTGCGCTATATCGCGCCCCCACCGTCGCTGATGGCGCTCGTTCTGGCTTTCGACACGCTCGTGTTGGAAATGCTCCGAGACAACTTCGACTTTGCGACCGCCTGGGGCAGCGTACCTACCTCAACCAACTTGTTGCCGGCGCCCGTCGCATGGAGAGGCCGCTTGTCGTACGGCGGAAGCCCGCTCTGCGGGTACGGCAACCCACTTTCGTTGATCCAAGAGTCGTTTGCGTTTGATGACGCGTGCGTGGTCCCACTGCCCTTGACGTATACGTGGACGCCCTTCAGCGGACTCTTTGCTGCGGCGCTGACGTCGCTACCTTCGTCGTCGTCGTTCTGCGCGCACGAAGCACCCACGTGCGCGACCGCTGTCGACCGCACGCTGCACGCCTTGTCGTTCGTTGCATCGTTGACGCTCCAAGTACCCGACGACGCCAAGGCCTGGAACGTCTCGATCGCTCAGTTTCTCGCCCCTAAAACCAACAGCAACAACATTTCGCTCGCGCTGCAGCCGCTGCTCGATGACACCAATGCGTGGGCGCCGTACGGGTGGCTGAGTCTCTACGACTGGGCACACGGCAACCGCGAAGTTGTCTCGTTCGAAGGGGACCATGGCACCCTACGGCTCATGTCGGCGGCCCATCCCCGCGTCGTCGCGCCCCGGAGCGCCACTGCCAGCGCAAGCGTCGGCGCATACCTCTGGTACTCGGCGCTCCTCACGTCTATTGTGCTCGTCTTCGTCGCAGCCATGATTGTCGTGCTGATCGCAGGCGGGCGTCGGCACCGAACCCCGCACTGGTTTCACTTTCACCGGATCTCGTCGTCCATTTATCTCAACTGGGGGCTCCTCTTTGTACGCGCACTCGTCGCCGCCGTCTGCTTGTCGAGCGCCCCGATCGTGCCACAGACGCGCGGCGCGACGATCGCCCTCGTGCAGGACCACCGGTCGCTGTGGACGAGCATGTTTTTAGCCGGCGAGACGCTTTGGCTCACGTTTGTCGCGCAAGAGTGTCTGCACCCGATCCTTCTCGAGGCGCTGCACAAATGGACGACCGGTGCTGCGTGGTGCGTCATCGTGCTCCTCGACGTCGCGTCGCCCGTGTCGATCGAGGCCCATCTTGCCCATGTGTGTCGAACCACCGACATGGACATCGCACTCCAATGCGAAGCCGGCAGCGTCCGCATCGGCAGCTTTACCCGCGTACTCACAATCATCGGAATTCAGCTCGGCGGCGTTCTTCTCGCGGTCGGTGGTTCGGTGCTGTGTCGCCCCCGAAGGTCGTCGCAAACGCAGGAGCAGCCGCCGCTGCTCTTACCGCCCATGGTCCTCCAACTGTTCCCGACACAGGAAAAGCTCGACGATGTGACCGCCGCCATGTGCGGCCTGCTCTGGCTGCCATGGTGGCAGCAACTCTTTAGCATCAAGCTATGGCTGCTCGTACCCGCGACCGTGCCAAAGGTGACGGTCGTTCAAAACATGTCTCCGATCCTGTTCAAGCACCAAGCCACGGCGTCGCGCGTGGCCAGAGCCGCGCCATGCATCCTTGTCGCTGGACTGGTGTACATTGTGTGCACGCTCTTTAGCAACGTTGCGTACCTCTCGATCGCCGCCGACTACATGGCCAACGACTTTTTCTGGGCCGGCTTCAACACCTCGGGAAGCTACGCCTTTCTCGCGACGCGCGTCAACGCCGAGCTTCTCGTGAGCGCCTCATCTCTCCTCGCGCTCGACAGCACCAAGTACATCGACTATTTTACAGCGTACGACGGATCCCAGCCGAGCGCGCTCTTGTCGGCAGCCACCGCCACCCGCCGCGCGCTCTTCCACCCGAACGTGACGACATTGGAGGCGGCGATCCGAGGGCTGCGGGCGATGGACCCGTGCCGGCTCCCGTGGATGGCGACACAGTACTGCTATCTCGACTTGGGCCGCGTCTGGGAGATGGCGAGCACGGCCAAGCGCCAAGCGCGCTGTCGCCACATGACGAGCAACGGCGCCGTCTTCCTCGAAACCGCTCTGCGCAATGTACGCGACTGGCACGCGTTTGGCGCGTGCTGGGGCGACGCGTTTACCGCGGGTATCGTCGCTGAGGTCGAGCGCAGCAGCGACGGCAAAGCGTGGCTACAGCAAACGAAAGGGGTCTCCACTACGATCGCGGACGAAGCTGCGCGCTGGCGCCGCGCCAACATCGCAGAGTTTGCACTGCAGTGGCAAAACTACTAGACGATCGGGTTTGACGACAGCCTCCTCGTGGAGAACGCGCTCGGACTGCACTTTTCCTTGCCGCTCGCGCAGGTCGCGGCGTCGTTCCACCCGACACGGCAGACGTCCATGGTCATGTACTGGGGCTTTGCGAGCGATCTCTGGGCGGTCGACCCAAGCAACGAGACAGTTGTTGGCGGCTTGAGTCTGCTCCGGTCCAGTTCTCGCTTTGCCTTTGCCAACATCAGTCGTCAAGCACTGCTTGTTGACAACTTGACGCTGTCAGCGCCGCTGCAAGGCGGCTATGTCGCGCTCTCCGCCGCGCTCGGTCCCTTCAACGCGGTCGACATGCTATACGTCCTCTGCCCGACGCCTGTGCTTCAGTTCTACCACGGTCTTCTCGAGGCCGTCGCCATTCTCACGACGGGCACGAACGTGTCGATCCAAGCCAGCTATCTTCGCATCCCGACTTCGCCGCTCATCATTCCAGCGCCGTCCCCGTGGCTGGCCTATCCGACGACGATCATCGCGGTGGGTGGCAACATCTTTTGCCCTATCAACCAAGTCGGCGGCCCTTTCTTCATGGGCTACGGCGTCGGGTTTGCCGACACGAGCTTTTGCAACACGTTTGTGACCGACAACATCGAGCCCTCGATCAACCACGTGCTCTTCGCCACCGTTGGCTTCAACGCGACCTCGCGCCTTGCATCGAACGACGACTGGCGCGCCATCTGCATGCTCAACACGTACATGGACAGCGACTGTGCGGCCAAGTACGGTGTCGCAGAGCGCTTTCTACATCAGCACGCAGCTGCCTTTACGGGTCTAAAGCCGCTCGCTACGAGCGCGTACGCGGCTGTCCACGCACTTGACGTTCAGCTGCTTCAGTATGTCCTCAACATCACCGACATGGACATGACCGACCCCAACATGTCGAGCATGAACATGGTGACGCTCTTGCAGACCGACTTGCTTGGTACGGACGATCGGCCGTGGCACTTTTACGCGTGGCTCCTCCTCTTCGAGTGGGCCAGCGGCATGCGCGAGGTCGTTTCGTTTCAAGGCGACAATGGCACTTTAACGACGCTCTCGCAAGCCCTGCAACCCATCGCGATGGCGCCCGACCCGCGCGTGATTCGCACGTCGTACGCACCGTTTCTGCAGACGATTGCCCAGTACATTTCCGGTGTTCTCATTGCGATTGCGGGACTTATGCTGCTGTACACCCTCCACATGCGCGGCGTCGTCGAGGGCCTCAACCTCTTTGAACTGAACCGCGTCGTTGGCATGGTCTGGATCGGCCGGAGCTTTCTCATTGTGCGCAGCATCACAGCACTCTGCCTCCTCAACACGGCGACGCTCCAGCTTACGCGGTTGGGCGTTGGCACCCACTTTGCGTCGCCGCACTTGCCGTGGTTCAAGGTCCTTCTCGCGTCGGCCGAGAGCACGTGGCTGGTCTACGTCCTCAACGACCTCTTCAGCTGCGTCACCCATCAGTACACGCCGTACTATGCGTTCAAGAGCTCGCTCCTCGCGTGGGGTATCACCTTTCTATGGACGCTGCTGTCGCCGCTGGTACAAAGCGCGCAGCTCCAACGAGCTTGCGACTTTGTCGATATGGACGCTGGCCTTATCTGCGTGAGTGGCGTTGTGCATCTAGGCAGTCTCTCGCGCGTCCTAACGGCGATGGCCATTGCGTTCGGCTGCGTCGTTGGCTGCTATGGGCTAGAACGTCTTGCGCGCCCGCATTTGGTGAAGAACGAGGTGCCGACGCTAGCGCTCAACGCGCAGAGCTTTTACATTCTCGAGTTGTACAAGTACGAGCACGAATACTTTCTGGACAAGGCGAGCGCCGCCATGGCCGGCATCCTCTCCGTCGCGTTTCGCCAGCACGTGTACATCCTCGACGTCAAGATGTGGCGCTTCCTTGTGATTCCAGAGCCTCAACGCAGCGCCTTCCATCCGTACCATCGTTGCTTGCCACTCAATGCGTTATAGAGAAATAGACTGTATTGGTTCTAATGACATCGTGGTTTCGTGGAGAATTTGTCATTTGGTCGGTGGACCGACGGCGAGCGTTTGCAACGAGATCGACAAGGTACAGACTGGCAGTGCCGCCACAAGTCGTTGGTCAGGGATTCTGGTGGTGTCAACGAGGCTTTCGCAACCAAGGGTACAGGCACGTGGCACAACGAGCTCCCGAGATTGCGAGGTCGACAGCAAATGACGATCGTCGATATTGCACACTATATACAGTATCAATTCAAGCATACACTATATGCTTGCGATCCAAGTGGGCCCCGGGGCACCGCAGGTCGGTCCGATATATTCGCCCATTGAAGTGACGGTCCGGAAGCGGGCATGGGCGCGGTACAGGGATCGCCGGCGTGCGCATGGTGTCCAGGCGCCAGTGGCGTAGAGGCGGACGATCCAGATCTCAAGAGGCGCAAGATGACTGCGGCTGGCGACCACCTGACGCTGTACCTCGACGCCAGCGCCAGCGCGCTCGAGTCTGAGTACCTCGCCAAGTCCACCGAGGCGCATGGCTACATGGGCAAAGCCAAGAAGCGACCACGCGCCGGGTCGCTGGAAGCGATTCCAGTGCCCGACGCGTTCCTCGCCGAGAACCTCCGCGTGCGGCGACCACGTGCGAACACCAACTCGCGCGGGAGCCGCGGCCTCTCCAACGTGACCAGTACGTACAATCATTACAGCAACAATAGTAGCTACGAGACCATACCCAGCGTCGTCCAAGCGTAACAGGCAATTTCATCCACGACCACCATTATCAATAAATATAACGATATGTATGCATCCCGCACCGCCGAGGTGGAGCATCGAGCAATAGGACCAGCACCTGGACGCGCGATGGACAGGGCCCGATCGGATGGAGCGCACGTGACGAGCCGCACGTCCCTGTCTATGGTCACGCTGTAGCTGTCAGCGCCCAAGACAGGTCGATGGGTGACGGTCATGCACCGGTCGCAAGGAACCTGCGCAGATCGCATCGCATGGTCTCTATTACGCTACGAGGCGCGACCGCTCTACTCGGCCGGTGGTGTCTTCTTGGCCTTCTTGTGCGCTTGCCGGCAGTCCTTGTAGGCCTTGATCTCGTCTTCGCACTCGTCGCCGTCACGGAGACCGCCGCTTTCCTGGTTCTTCTTCTCGACGCACCTGCATATGGCGGGCATGAGCGCAAGTAGATGGCATCGTAGCTGCTTACGCCAGGTACGCGTCGAGGGCCGACGCGCAGGGGTCGTTCAAGGGCGCGCTGCTTTGGTTGCCCATTCGAATCACTTGATCAAAAATGGCCACCAGCGTGCAGGGTACCACCGCCCGATTTTTGCCAGGGGGCCCCAGCGAAACCATGGTGTTTACCTTATTTTCGGCATGTTCGTCGCTACACGGCATGTGCCGCATGGTATATGCCACTTTGCACGCGAGATTTCCATTTTGCCGAAAATAACGACGCGGACGAAGCATGGAGCGCCTCCTCGACCGCGAGTTCATGCGCATCGAGTGCGCGCTCGAGAAGAACTTCGAGTACCTCGATAAGTACGACGCTGTCTCTGCAGCTCGGGAAGCTCAGCGCCCCTAGGCTGGACCGGCAGCGGGACGAGGCTCTGCTGCGCGAATACGAGCGGTCCTTGGAACCGCCGCCAGCCACAGACGCCGCCAAGCCCAAGAAGAAGGCGGCGCCCAAGAACACGAGCATGTATGTCATGGGCCTCACAACCTACATTGCTTGCAAGCAGCTCGGTATGTTTCGCCTACCATCGGCCAGCGACCGATGCGATCATCTTCATCTTTGGGCACAGAGTCGATCTGCGCACGTCTTGGCCGCGTCAAGCGCCTACAAGGACGACCGCGGTGGGCTCAAGGTACGCTGCTCGCCTTCTTTCCACTTGACGAGAGCTGGTCCAGGGCGACGCACTGGTCACGTTTGTGACCCACGCGATGCTGGAAACCGCGATCGCCAAGGTACGGGCTTGGCCCTACGATGGACGCTCATGCTTCGCAGCTCAACAATGCAGAGATCAAGCCTGGCGTTCGCATCACGTACGAACGACTTGACACAATCCGATCTCAGCTTAGGGGCGTCTAGTGCAAAGGCAGCCGAGTTCAACAAAAAGACGAGACCGACGCGCCCAGTATCGCGCCGCTGGAGCCGCCGCCAATGGCCGAAGGCGCGGACGCGGTCACAGCGTTCCTCAACGAAATGCAGCAGCGGTTGTCAGGGCCCGTTGCCGCTGCACCAGACGCACATGTGGTTGCCGCAGCCGACCCACCTGCGGTTGCCGCACCCGTCATCACGACTGCGGACGGCGCACCCGAGCTTTGCCATCATGACGAGCACGTGCTAGAGACGCCGTCCCGCTCGATTCTCTTGTACAATATTGTCGATGACGGCGACGCCGACGACGAGAGCTTGGACTTGGAAGACGACTTGCAGATGGAGTGCAGCAACTACGGCAAGGTCACGCGGCTGCAGATCTTCCGCGACAAGAACGTCGTAGCCGTCGAGTTTGAAGCGCTGCCCAGTGCGATCAAGTGCCTTGAAGTCATGAACGGCCGGTGGTTTGGCGGCGCGCAGATCCGCGCGTGCTACGACCCGTCGCGGCCTGAGGAGCCTGAGGACGAAGACACGAAGCTCCTCGCGTTCCTCGCGTCCGTTTAAAAGTAATCCTACATCCAGCAGTTTCTGCGCAAGCCATGGAGGTCATTGGCGATTGTTGCTTTCTTGCGCCTCAAAGAACGCGTCAAAGATCACAAAGCGGTTGCTCTGCGGCACGAACGAGCGCAGCTGAAAGTGCTTGGCGAGGAATGGCCCGAGCTTGGGCGACGGCCGGTCATACGCGAGGTCCTTGGCGGCCACGTGTAGCCGCTAGAACGAGCTTCGTCATGTCCCCCGCGCATGGAATAGATGGCCTCGTACCTCGAGCATCGAGCGAAAGAGCATCGCGCCATGGCCTTGACGCTGCTGGACGACGTAAAAGTCGAGGACGCAGACCGGGTCCATCTCTTTGTATGCACCGGCGGCCGTCTACGGTGGCCATGAGGCGCGCCGCGATCGTAAGGTATCGCAGTACTACCACGTAGTAAAGGTGCTTGGTACCCGTCTTGAGGTACCCCACAATCGCGCCATCATGCTGATCGTCGACGAGAACGTGGACGTGATGGCCTTCGTCAAGGCTCTTGGGCGATTGAAGGAGTGCCATGGACGTGATGGGCTGGCGCAAGCCTTGTGCCTACGCCGCATATGCGGGTGGTGCCCATGCCAACAGCGTCGTACCTCGGCCGACTTCTCGCCCAAGCGGTCGAGCTGTGCTTCCAAGCGCGCGCGGTCCGACGGCAGCGTCGCGAGGAGCTCGTCCAAGGTGCAGTAGCGCATCGATCTTGCAGGATGGCTAAAACAATGGGCTAATCCCACGCCACTGCAGGTCCATATCACGGCTTGCGCCAGATGGTTGCCTGCCGCGGGTTGCGTGTTTTTGGGCACAGGACCCACCGCAAAATTTGAAAGAGTGGCCTGCAACACGATGGTGCTCCTGCAAGTCCTCGCGCGCGCGGCCACGCCGGCCTCCATACTGCGCTCGGTGGCGCCGACGAGCTCGGTGCTTGGCAGCGCCGACCAGCGCCGCTGCATGGGCCGCGGTCCGACGATCCAAGGCAAGAAGAGCCTTACGGACGCGGTACGCATGAAGGGCTATTCGAAGATGATTGCTCATGCGGCGCCGTCCGTAGAAGCGGACGCTGCTCTTTGGGAAGCTCGCCAAGGAGCTCATGGTCACGTCCAAGCTCACGGCGGGCGATACCAACAACATTGTAGGACGATAGACGCTCGTCTTGACGCTCATGCGGGGCCTCGTAGCGCCTCGCGTCGGTGATTTCCAAGGCCAAGGCGGCCAACATGCCCCGCGACAAGATCGAGTACGCGGTCAAGCGTGGCGTCGAAGGCAAGTCGGGCGTCATCACCGAGACTGTCGAGTACGAGGCCACGGGACCCCACGGCAGCGCCTTGATCGTACGAGTCCATCGCGCGTGCACCGAGCTCCTATCGCTTGTAGATCGAAGCACTCACTGACAACCGGAAGCGCACGGCGCCAGCGCTGCGCCACATTCTGAGCAAGCACAACGGCAACCTCGGCGCCAACGGCTCCGTCGCCTGGATGTTTGAGCGCAAGGGCTACTTTGAGATCCAGAAACCGGACGACGACGCCTTGGCGTGGGACGAAGAGAGCGTCATGAACTTGGCCGTACGACCTCTTCCCATCCGAGCTCCGTTCCCATGGTCGTCATTTTAGATTGAAGCGGGCGTCGACGACGTCGAGTACCGGGAGACCATGGCGCAGGTGATACTTGTCCCCTTCCCAGAGCATGCGTGACGACGCATTATCGTCTCTAGCTCATGTGCGAAAGCAGCGAGCTCGCGGCCGTGCGCAGCAACCTCATGGAGGCCGGCGTCGTGCCGCAGGTGAGCGAGCTCATCTACTCGCCCAAGGTAACAGTGCAACCCACGCCTCTCCATCGCATCTCATGCTGTCGTCGCAGGAGTACCTCGTGCTCGAAGGGGACGCCAAGGCCGAGTTTGACACGCTCCTCGAGGTATCGCATCGCCTCAAAAGGGTCGCATCATGCGGGATGCATGGGCGTAGGCGCTGCAGGACAACGAAGACGTCAACGAGGTCTACCACAACGTCGACGAAGACTAGGACGAGACGAACAACAGTAAATAAGACGCGCGCGATTACAGATCCACCAGCGTATGCGGCTCGTCGTCGTTGCTGCTACTCGACGCGTCGTCGGGCTCGGGCTCGACGACCTCAAACACATAAATATCCTCGAGCGCGCTCTCCTCGGACGGCCACGTCACGCTGCGGGTCGTGTTGCGCTTGTGCTCCTTGACGACGACGCCCGACATGTCGGCGAATTCCAGCGGGATGCGCGCCTTGGCTTCGGCCAGCTGCCGCTGGAGCGCGGTCTCGGCCGTCCGCTTCCGATGTCTTGGCGCGCGACGCAATGTCGCTGGCGACGCCGAGCTTGA